TGTAATGGAGTGCTAACTACTGGCCACCTCGCGAACCAGCACACCTTCCATCGACGAGGAAGGTGGCCGAGAGGGTTGAGTGCGCGCGAGAGAGACGGAACACCGTGAGCCGGTGTGCGCGGGAGAAAGAGAAGCGACGAAGAAGCGGATGAACCTCGTTCTCTTCGAAGGCGACGCAGAGAGAATGAAAGGGACGGGAGGAGCAAATGGGGCAGAAAGAGAAGAAGAACGATGCGGTAACGAGAGGAGAGGAATGAGAGGCGAAACAGGCACTCGTGCAGGCATGTCTCGTCTCTTAGTTTCTCAAACAAGGGGGCGGTACCTCGCAGACCAGTGGCAGTCAACCGGGAGACCGAAGAATTTCATGGGCTTGAATTTAGTTCTATTCGATTCGCTATTAAAAAATCATTTTTCAGGAACGGAAACGATGAGATGCACACGCGTTCGACAAATAAATGCGACACAAACGATAAAGCAACGGTTTTCGGCAACATATGTTTGAATAACTCAGGCGTGAATAGTATTTATTCAAAACTTATTTATGCTTATTATTTATTACGAGTAGAAATTAATTAATCTTTGCTATATTATTGTTGTATCTTATCGTTACATTATTCTGCATAAAAAGTTAATGTCTGACCAATTAGAGAATATACGCGCCGCATTACTGGCGTTATCATCGAAATTTCCGCTGGATGTTGAAAAATAAATGTTTACCTACGCAGACATGCGCATTTACGGGCTGGTGGTGAGCTAGTTGCGCGAAACCGCTCATTATCGTTACGATCATCATCATCATTATCGTGGTCATCATCATCATCTTCCGCGCTGGAGTGTTTGTTCTGGTTTGCTCTGCGCGCGCGGCGATAAGCGAGTAAAAAGTAATCCGTTCGAAACGGAGCCCATCATTACCGGGTTATTACCTAAGTATCGAAGTGGAAACAGAGCCGCGCCGATATCAAACTAAATGGCGGGGGAAAAAAAAGGATTCGACCCGCCCGTTTCCGTAGATTTGATATCATCCTTAAACCGCACTTTTCCAAAGTTGGTATGAAATCGCGGCAATCGAAACTTGGAAGATATCTTATCATTATGGTAATAAGATGTGTTTATTCCAGGAATACGTTAAGTGATTATTAAGAAAGGTTTTATGAAAAAAACGATACAAGCATGAAATTTCACATGTGAAATTTTCAGGGAATTTAAAAATAATAATACACGTGAGAAGAAAGTGTTGGCGCGATAAGAATAATTGTTTATACCGATCGATTAATCGGGATCCAGATTTATATAGAGCAACCGTCACGAAAACTCATTGTCCCGAGAGATTTTCTATCAACAATCCTACTTTCAACGCCAACGAGATCGCGGTTTTATTTCGATATTCTCGCGCATCATCCGACAATTGCCGGTGCACCCAATGATTTGTAATAATAAAATACTCTTTATCTCAGGTCTTACAAAATGTACGTTATTCAATCGGACATTCTACAGCACTCGGGACTGGCCTCGAAAATTCGATAAATCATAACCCAATTTCAGAGCGATATCAATCGCACGGTCCCCCCTCTTTTTTCTCTCTTTCTCTCTCTCTTTTATCTTACTCGCCTCCCTGCTTTAAGGACCCCTCGTTTCGAGCACAGCATCCGTACTCTTCTCTCATTCTCTCGTGGTTCAAGGCACGATTTATAAAGCAAACACCGTGCGGCACCCTGCAATCAACCTACACAACATACCTCTTCGGTTTATCGGCCCTCTTTCTCACTCCTCGTCTCCTCTCCTCTTCCAACGTGCATCTTTCGACCGTGCATCGAATCGACCGATCGGCACTTATACACCGCGTATCTCATACCTCCGAGCGCGTTTACACCGTACTTAGGACTCACTCGGCAGAGAATAAATTAATAGTTTCTCCGGATAACAGCTGGGGCACGGAGTTTCGACGATTGCCAGGGACGCAGAGTTCAATTCGTGGGCGCACGAATCGCGATTCGTCGTCATTGCTAAATTTCAACGATTTCCTAGTAGCGAACAGGTGCTGTTCGTATTTCCGTTGAGGAGCAGCAAAATTTGAAATGAACGCCTACATCGAGATTTTACGTAAGAAAATTTTCAAAAGACTAAAAGTAGGAATTTTAGAATTATAAACTTTGAGTGCTCGATGATTTAAAACTCAGGGACCCCCCCAATAATTACAATAGAGAATATTTTTTTATGCTTACGAAACGCAACCACCGTCGGCGTCTAAATTTATCTGTATAATTTCGATTTAGAACGATCGTCTCGATCTTTCTGCGAGAAAGATCTTCGTGATCGATGACGGCTCGGAATAATTGGCCTTAGCCAACGTGGAGATGCCACGCATCTCAGACGCGGATTCAGGATTCACTTCGCGGGGTACGAATTAGCGGTTCTTCGCTGAGATAAATTAATAGTTTCGTAGACAGCTGGCATGGAGTTTCGACGATTAGTACGTACGCGGCGTGCACGAACGTCTCTCAAGTGCTGTTCGTGCTGTTCAACTGTTATCAAGGAGCGATCGGCGGTTTTATGCCCGTCGACGGAATAGGGCCGATCTTTATTCGCTCGTTGCCGATCGTTGCCGCTCGCAAGCTGCGAATCCCGCGACTTAATTGCATATTAAATGAAATCCGCGTAGTTAGCTGCCACTTAAAACTCCTTATCTCACGATCTCGCATGCCTTTACGCGAGCTGAGACGATTTTGTTCCTATTCATATTATCAATTGTCTTCTTTAACCAATTGTATTAATTATAAAAAAACTGCATTTCGCAACTTTACCTATAATTTGATTGAAAACTTAATTAATTTTATCCTCTCTCTTATGCACTACATATGAAAATTCACAACACCTAATAATTGTAATTGTATTCCTTGTAATTTTTTCTTTTATGACGTGTATTATTTTTTTAGGACGGTCGCTTAATTTTTATGAGATGTAAAATCTTTCCGCACAAACAATAGCAAACATAATCCGTTCGGTTTGAAAAATTCGCAAAAGGAAATCGTTGCCTTGCGCAATGACGATTCCGCGAACGACGGTCGTCGTAAAGTTTCGAGACGCGAGCGGGAACCACGTGATGACCGGGCGATTCTGCCTCGAAGAGACGCTCGACTTAGTCACGAAGGTATCCTAATCGTTTGACGAATCATGTCGTAAACCGTTTTGCGGAAGAGGCAGCCAGGACGAAGGAATTTGAGGAGCAAACTCCGCAATAGGCTTTCAGGAGCAGCGATCGATTCTAAATGTCAAGGTCCCGTCGCGGACAGGAAGAGGATCGGCGAACGGGGGCCCGATTGTGAGACTTCCGAGGAACCGCAGGGTAATCGTTCATAGAATGCTTAATGACAGGTCATTAATGAATAGCCGATCGTTTCGTGAACCGCAAGCAGGTAGAACCACAAAGTAGCCGAAAATATAATTCGTCCGGTGAATGCCGATTTCTCCCTTCGTTTCAGCACGAACTGGCTGGCACCGAAACGCGGGCACTTTCGCGGAAACGCGTGTGGACGTTGTAAAGAGGTATTCAGAGCGATACCGCGAACATCATGTAAATCAGCGTAATCGCCATAATCACCGGAGCAATTCTTGGGCATAATTTCTGATATTGCGGATGTGCTAAACTACGTCAAAAGTCATTTATGTCTGTAACATCGAAATATGATCCTACCCGCATTATAATCATTTTAATTTTAATTTTTATACATAAATTCGTTCGCGTTTACGCATATTTAATAAAAGAATTTCGAAAGAAGTTTTAGATTTAAGAAAACTTAAAAATCAAATTCAGAAGAATCAATTAAATCTAATAAAATTTTTAAATCGAGCTTGGCTGCTGCATCTCGCAATTTCACGTGCGAAGGATAATTCTCCATTTATTAAAAAAAAAACGAGCGTAATACAATGGAACTTGTATTGGTTTCTTTCGAGAGGAGAGGGAGATCATTAGAGCCCAGGGCGAAAAGTATTTCTGGCCGAACGCCGGAGTGTTGCTGCGAGGTGGACGGTTCCGATTCCGTTTCGTTTGCTGTGATATATATCCGATCCCACCCATTCCCCCGGCGATGATTACAGGTTGCTCGTGCATTAGACCCGCGTCTAAAACAAACCGCTCCCACATCTACCAACAGTTTAAAGCCGCGGGGCGTGACTGCCGATGCTCTATCGGATTTCTGCGTGTATCGCCGGACTCCTATTGCGGACGCTATTTGGACTACGACGTCAATTGAGGGATCGAAGGATCAATCGCGGAAGTTACACGCAATATCGCACGTCACGCCGGCGTGACCGTGTTACCATTATACATATCGGAATCGGTAAATAACGTTCGAAAGACCGATCAAGACTCACCGTGAATCAAAATTAAGATTTATCTGTACATGATATTTCTTAAGAAGAAATATCAAGAACGTGCGGAGCAAGGCGTTTGTGAAAAGTATATGAATGGATACTTTATGATATAAATTATGTTTCAGACAGCAAAGGAAAATTATTCAGCTATCCGAGCGCTATGTAAATTAAATTACATTGTGTTGTGCGATATTTACACACAATTCTGTTAGCCGCACTCAAGTAGAGGAAATCCTTCGCTATCAATTTAATATCATATAATACGCGTAACGGAGCATAAATGCTTATTGACTCTCTCTCTCTTTTTTAAGTTTCCTGTTTAACCACTGTACTTTCGTTGAATCGAGATTTTCCAGATAGGAATTTTTTTTAATACGTTATTTTTAATACGTTTTATAATAAAAATAAAATATCTGTTAAATATTATAACTGAAACGTTTTTATCCAACATAATCAAAATAAAGCTATCTACATTGAATTATTATATTCTATGATATTATTTTTTAAAGAATTGATTTTTCTATTAAAACATTATGTATGTCAAAATTATAACTTGCAATCTTTTGTGCCATCTTTTCTACTTACGAGATCAAAACGTAAAATAACCAATTTTTTTTTTTTAATTTCAGATTGAGGATATTTCAAAATGTGTTTTCTGATGCGTGACCACCGCCTACGTCAACTGTCGCGAACGAACACGGAGAGAATGACTTGCATCGGTCTGTTCGTAGAGTAGCTGCTGAAGATGCCATTTGATAGCAACCTGGTGGAGGCTCGCTGGCATTCATCATCGTAGGTCCTATCTGCGTGAGTATCAATATTCCCTTCGTTATATTATTGGGCGTCTATGTCTTCATAAAGGAACTGAGAAAACGCCGCATATTATCCGTTCAACTCGCATTAACGTTATTTATCGCGAGCACATACGCGACGATTTACATATCTAACGAGACTGCGCGCGGTTGCGTTCCTCACCGAAAAAAAAAACGCTACATGATACACGATACGCTATTGAGCAACGTAACTCATATTCATGTAAGAAAAGATATTAACGCGTTTAATTGAAATGCCTGAATTTTTAAATTGCAGAGGCAAAACGTAGAACGCATTATGAACTTTGATCCAAAATATATTTTGCCTTGTCGCCTCAAAATTAGAAATATGACAAAATAGAAATAGAAATTTTTGCAGGTTTTATTATTTAAATTACATTTGAAATATCGTTTGATTATCGAGATTTATCAAGTTCCCGAGATTAGACAGCAATATCCTCTAAAAGCGGGACTATCTGGAAAAATTGGGACGTTCAAGCAACTTGCGTTTAACACGAGACTTCCACCTGCGATTATTCCCTCCTCTTTCCACTGTTACTGTATAGTTAGACAAACGTATTATGGAGATCATTATAACGCGCGCACGGTCGAAATATTTAGTCGGAGTTCCCCCCCCCCCCATCGGAATTAGGGGGAAAGCCCGGCGTTGTAGGAATTCCGTTTTTCTACTGCCTTCTGAGGAAAGGAGGTGGACCCCGGCCCCGTGTTAGTCCACGGTGTAATCAACATGTCAAAATAGTTTCTCGAGTAGAACCGAACCTGCGGCTCTAATATATCGTTCGAATAAAGCTGCTTCGCAGCAAGCGGACGTCAGGAACGTGAGGCTGCGGGCCCTCGAAATGTCAGTTCGAAAATTAATCTTCGCGTAAGTTTGCTCCCATGTAATGAATTATGATAGTGAGTGTGTGTACAATGTACACATAAAGGAAAAAAAAAAAAAGAAGAATCTATGTAAATCAAGATTGCGTGAGATGCTAATCAGATCCATCATCACGATAATCGGCATATCATTTTTCTGACAAGATAATTATCGGAATATTTAACCAACTGTTTAGCTTTAAGTGAGATAAGATGTGAATTAGATAAGAAGCGAATTTCTTCGGCTGAAAAAAATAATTTAAAACAGTCGCACGATAAATACGTTACTGTTGCGAAGGGAAAGGGAACCGAGAAGGGGCAGCTCTCCGAGAGCCGTACAGGTCAGGCGGTCTCCCGGGGTTAAATGAGAGGGCGTTGATTATGAATTTTGAAGGATTCTTTAACCGCTACGTCTTTAATTAAAGTTAATTACCGTCAGAATCGCCGCTTGCTACCCTAAACGTCGCTAACTCTCGTCTCGCGGCGTTAGAGAACCGTATGATTACAGGGCGAAATAGTCGCGTGATGGATCTCTCGGCTCGAATGTAGCCGAATGTAACAACAAGTCATCTCTCCCTCGTCTTCTCTTCGTCCGCCTTAAATCAGGAGGGAAGGAGAGGAGACGAGAAAGAGTTAATATCGTAAATGTTGGAATAAAAGCACGTTAACAGATAGATCAAACCTTAAATTACTTTATATAAATCTTTTCTATTTAATCTTTTGATCAAAGAAAAGAATAATATCTGTGTTAATTTAAAATATAAAAGATGCTTTAGAATTGCTGTATACGCAAGCAAGTTAAATAACGCTTGACTCGAGAGAGAAAGAGAGAGAGAGAGAGTTGAAAAATGTCGAATCGTCGAAGAACGAGACGTCGCGATGCGAGGGGTGAAGGATCGAGGCGTGTCCTCAACGAGATCGAGATCGACGATCTTCTTACCTGGGACGCGTCGCGTCGTCTCCCGCGAACGATGCGCCAAGGAAAAGAAAGGGAAAAAAAATATAAATCAGACAACGGGGAGTTGGCGCGGTGCACGCTAATAATAATAATAAACAACGATATCGACGGGGATTAATGCCCATCTTGATAGATCGCGCGATATACGATCTGAACTTCAATTTCGGCCGCGATGCGCGAATTCACCTCTCGCATAACTGAACGGCATGAATAATTCAGGCCGAAATAATAATGTGTGCACGTGCTATAATCATACAAGTCAAATATAATTACACCGAGGCAGAAAGCGGGGGGACGAGGAGGGCTTAACGGGCGTCGGCGGGCGAGCGGGTCGCGAGTAGTGAAATATCAACGTGTCAGGATCGCGCGCGCGTTATCAACAACGTAACTCGCGATAATTATGTCCGCCGAATTACAATTATCGCCACGGTTAATTCATATTCATTTTTCGTCGTCGTCAACAGATGCAGCTCACTGTCGACGTACACATTATTTTTCCATAATAACTTGTGTCTTCAATCGAAGAATCTACAGAAGTGAATCTGTGAGAATTGATCTTTTGTAAATAAATTCTTATCATTGGCGAGTGAATCGGGTTTAGTGTTCCAAATCCACTCGAAAATGAAGACGACACCCACGCTCGCAGGTGTGAATCTATTCGGATAGTTCGTAAGGCCATTCAAACGAGCAGTCGATCTCTCGCGCTGACGTCGTCAAATTGACTGTCTGATTGACTCCGCAACGACAACGCGTTTTCGACTACGCCTATCTGATTCCATCTTTTTTTCGGTATCCCGGCCGATGAATAATGTATGTCTCAATTACTAGCGTTACTGCCCCGCCAATGACGGATCACAAGGACGCGGAGAGGTTTCTCGGTGAGCATGATACTACGCGTCTTTACACCGAAAATTGAGCCGCGATGAGTTTTATATTACATCTTATCTGTCATTTGATTAAATCAATTTTAATTAAAATTAATTAAAAAATTAATTAAAAATTTACTTTCCTAAATATTTATCAATACTGCTCACAAGCGCGAAGAAACGTTGAAATATTAATTATAATCAACCTAAATTGAAACGTCAAACTCATGCCGTCTCATGTTACTTTTATCGATGGAATCGTCCGCGACTCATTCTCGTTGTCATTCGCGAGAAGTCACATTTGCGACTCTTCGTTCTATATTATTACATAATTGCACGTCGTTTCATCACGTCGGTAACCTCGGCGAAGACGAGTAGCTGCACTGCGTTGATTAAACGTCATTCTTGCGCGCAGATATTCGTAATGACCTGCCAGCCGGATATCCCGTGAAAAAAAATCCGCGCCTAATGCGCGCGCGTGTATATGTAAAGCCGCGCCGCGATTAACCAGCCAGAGATCGCATCCGATGATGACGACAATACTTCCGATTCTCATCGCTGTTTTCCTGTGTTACATCGCGGTGCTTAATTGGCATTAGATGTTAATCTGCGTACGCTTGTTATACTTTCATAAAAATAAAACAAAATCGAACGGTGCGAACTTATATCGCTTTCGCGTATCATTAATAATACCATTGAAACAATAAACAACTGTAAAGAATTTTAATTTTTTCGTTTTTTAATTCCTCTTTTTTTAAATTGTAATTTTTAAACCTGTCAAAGAAATCTCCAATTTGTTTAACACCACGCGCAATCCTTGTTTCGAAAAAATATATCAGAAGATTGATGACCAAATGTGATGAATAATGGAGGCTTTTTGATAAATTAATTTTGAGCATAATTGTCGGTTAGACAATTCGATCGGTTGCAAAAGCGAGGAGGAATTAAGCCGGGCACGAATATGCATACACGTCGTGTTCTCGAAAGATTAGCCACCTCGCTCGATACGATCACGCCCGCAAAAAGAATAAAACGACAAATTAATTTGCTCCCGGGTATGCTTTATCTGCCGCTTAAATGCAAATCGGCAGCAATTCGTCTTGCTCATTCCGTTGCCGCGAGCAATAAAATGTTTTCGTAAATTAAGACGTTAGCCAGACACGGTTATCCGCCGGAAAGAAGCAGTAAGACTTATCGCGGATATACAAAAAAGCGAAACAATGGGATTAGAAAAAAAATTAACTAAAAGTAATAAAGATTTTCTTGCAAACTTTTAAAAAAATTTCTCGCGCGTACGAAAATGTTTCAAATCAATTAAATTCTTTTTCAACAAATTTAGTCGTCTAATTTTGCAATGTAAACTTCGTAATAAAATTATAGTTAATATATTATGATTTTTGATACATGAAGAAATTAATACCTCTTTACGAAAATGTTTTTTTCTTTGGAATAAATTTTGCATATTGCTATGTAACATGTTATAAAACGTTAACTCGAGTTAGGGTCGTTTTTCTTATCTGGCTTGCATCTGCCGTCCTAAAAGAATGAGCGCATCACCAGGGCCGAATGTACGATTTTGTGGTCCCTAAGCTATGATCTTAAAGAGGCCCTCTCTTATTAACAAAAAATACATTTTTTTAAATCTTTTCTACACTAAAGAAGCCCCCTTATAATGTGAGGCCCCTAAGCTGTAGCTTATCTAGCTTATGTGTAGATCCGGCACTGATTGTGTCATTGCTACGCAAAGTGAACGTGAGATGTCACCGCATTTCTTGATACCTATTGAATAGGCTTGACTGCCGTATCATTATTTACATTCAAATGAAAAACTACAGCATGTTCCTTCATTTGTTTTCTTCTTCCAAACACTTCGTTAGAAAGGCTCCTGTATATCGTATTCAGTTATCTGCAGCTAGTCAGTTGAAACAGACACAATGTCACAAGTAAAATTAACTAAAGACAACGTGTGGGATTATTATGAAAATCCGCAGAATTGGCGAGCAGAGTGCAAGCTTTGCAAATCAACTTTGATCTACATCAATTTTGGAAATTTTTTAAGTCATTTACGTAAACAGAAGCATACAGACCACTTGGAATTCATAATAAACAAAAAGCGAAGCGAAACGCCAGATTTATATTACGACAAATTAAAGTCAGTATGTTTAGTTTGTAACCTCATTGTTCCTCATGCAAATTTTCCCGATCACATACAAAACTCACATTCTGTAAAAGAAATGATAGAATATCAAATAATAACAAATAATCGAGAATATTGCAAACAAATTAATAATTTTGACGTGGAGTGTATACTGCTGAATTGTAATGAATCTATACGTCTTGGTATTCAAAATCATATAAAACAGCATTTAAAAAGTCATAAGAACAAATTGAAAAACATGCAAACGGGCGGAATGTGTGTGCCAACTAAAGTCACAAATAAGGAGAAACTATAACACAATTACACATTAATGTTTGAGAATTTTCAAGCAAATTACAAATTTGAAGGATGCACTTTTCGAGGATGTTATATCGATACTACAAAATTTAGAGAACATGTAACGAAATATCATGAAGAAGTTTCTTCATACGAAAAAGAAACGGAGAAGGATACCCGTAGATGTATTTCAAATATTATGACAAATGTAATTCACAATGTCTTCTCTGTCAAGATTTCAATATTCCAAGGCCTCATGACGACTATTTAAAACATCATTTAACAAAAACGCATTATGACACATTCCCCTTTGATCATAATAGCAGTAATTGGGTGTGGAAATACTGTACAAAGAGTGATGATTTTCGTGTACGATGTAAACTTTGTAACTTTGAAATGAAACTTGATGTTAAATTAATAATTTTAAACTATCATTGTCAAGATACAGATCTGAACAAGCTGACGGAAAGAGCGTATGACATAGCTGGATCATCAGCAAGCCAACCATAAATGAAAAAGAGTGACAGTAAGTTTAATTAAAATTATTGTTAATACAATTATACATATATATATGATTAATCTTAGACATTATTCGAGTCGCATTCTAGCAAAACAGAACTATATATTTGACAGACAATTGGTTTCTCAAACAAATATTTATAAATGTTTATATATGTTTATCCAAAGGTGAATAATGCTAATGGCGATCATGACAGCTAGCACGACAACCAGTACAAAAAACAATCTTAACTTGATGATTGAAACAATCTATAATATGAAAATGAAATAATATATCTCTGACGTGTGATTATTCGTTTCATGTTCATAAAATTATAAATATGTTTATAAATTTACGTTTTATAGGAGATGCAATGTTACATTTTTTAAATTTATTAAGCACGTATTTGAATGTATTTGGTATATTTTGCTTATGTGTAATCTATCTTGAAGTTTATAAACAGTACTTATAATTTTATAAAGTAAAACAGTTTTGTGAACTTACAATCGAGTTTTCGGTAGAGACAAAATTTATCTTATCGACAATAAGTTATTCAACACAGTCACAATACTTTATTTTAATCTTAATTTCTTATGTTTCTACGTTTAGCTTGGTCATATGTGTAGCCTGAACATTTATTGTACTTTAGGTAATTTAGACTTATTATGACTCCTTAATTATTATTATATTATATTAGAGGTTTCCGAACTATGATACTAATATAATAATGATTATTGGTAAAATACGAGTATGTAAATTTAAATTTTCTTATTACATTTGACCTATAAAATTGATAATGCTTTCAATATAATAAAAATATAAATTTATCACTAACGAAATGCATGCTGTAACAGATGTGAGATGATTTCTTTATACAACTGAAAAATATTCAATACAAACGCTAATTTTATTATTTGATTATTTTATTTAGTAACTTTTTTATTCGTTTGTTTAATCAGAAACTAACGCCTGTCAGTTAAATTCGACAATCAAGATTTCTCAAATGTTTACAACCAACAAAAATCTGCAAAATATTATAACGACACATTTTCTTAATTATTATAATCAAAAATATAATTGAAGAAATTAAAACGGTTTGAACGACTTATAAATTCATTGAGTTTTAAACTTTATAATTATTTTTTATTAAAAATGTAAGCTGCGATCATGACACTTCAAAAAACTATAACTTAAATACATTGAGAGAAATGTAAGCAAATCTATAAATTATGTATTAATCTCTGAAATATTACAAATATCTTTAAAATTAAATCATTTTACTATTTTAAAATTACGCTTATTTGAAATTTTTTAAATTACTTACTTAATGCTGTCAATGCTTGCGTGATGTTCAGTTTGATACATAATTTTAAATATGGTAATAACACATTTTCTAATTTATAATAATTTAGCATAATTAATAGTATTAATATAAGTGTAATTAGAGATTGAGTGTGGAAGTTAATACATGGCATGCGATAATAATTATTGTACTTCAAATACATATGCATCAAAATATACGTATAAAAATGATTCTTTATTTGATTATTCTATACAAATATTTCGTATGACCCTAAAAAATAAAAAAATTAAAAAGATTTTCTTCGAATAACTATGCACAATTTTCTTCTCTACTTACATTTCCGCTTTACATCAGAAATTTTAAACGAAATAAAGGAAATCACATTAACATATTAATAAAATATGTAACAAAAATTAATGTTATTCTAAGCAATATAGTTTTAACACACACACACACAAAATATTTATAAATCATTAAAAAATCAAATTATTTGTAAAAAAAAATAAAAATATTGCATAATATATGCAAAATGACAAAATACAAAAAAGTATAGATAAATACGCATTTTTATATATCTGCAATTTACGTACACTGAAAGAAAGTTGTGTAATATTTGGATTATAATAGCATACTAATAATTGTAATCACGATACTCATTTTTATAGAAATTGTTAGTATAACGTTAGCAATTTAATAACCTTATACGTATTGTATTGACAAAAAATCAACCATATTGTTAGGATATCTATAAAAATAATCGGTGCCAAGGAACATTCTAAAAATGGGTTGCTGCTATCATTCATCTTTCTGAGTGTATGACTTGCATTTATCGCAATATCAATACATTTGTCAAATTCTATTGTATTTGATACAGTAATTATTTAAGATATAAATAATTAAATAATAATATTTCTTCAAATATTAATTGTTCAAAGAATAAATAATAACATGTTTAGTGCAGGATTGTGTCCAGGGTCGGATGTACGATTTTGTGGCCCCTAAGCTATGATCTTAAGGAGGCCCTCTCTTATTAACAAAAAATACATTTTTTAAAATCTTTTCTATACTAAAGAGGCCCCCTTATAATGTGAGGCCCCTAAGCTGTAGCTTATCTAGCTTATGTGTAGATCCGGCACTGCGCATCACGTGCCGCCTATTAATAACGTCAGACGAATAAAACTTTTCGCGGTATCTGCGATTGTCATCCTGTGACGCGACGAATTCCGCAGCGCCACACCAAAATCTCCCGAATCATCCTGATCATCCTGTCTTGCTACTATAGTAGCACTGTTTTGACTTTCACTATATATCGACGCTTCGCTTCTGTACGCTTCGACGTGCCGTACAATTCAATTGAATTAATGTCGCATTTTTAGTAGTTTAAAAATTGTTAATCTTGTCTGATTATTTCGTTTTTTTTTTTTTACTAAAAAGTGAAACTTAATATATTCGGCGCTAAATTTTATTCAGCCAATATTTAAAATCCTTAAATTAATCACCAGATTGTTGTTAATAGCTCCACATATTTATACTTTCTTAAATTTATCAGATCTTATTATTTGTCCGATAAGAATAAATTTAGAATGAAGTTAATATTCATGGATGTTAGAAGAAAAATGTGGAAAGAGCCAGGCTAAACGCTGATTGCCTGAGAAACCACATGTCTCAACCGGTCTTAAGCAGTCCATTCTCGTATCGTTTACTCTATAAAACTCACAAACGACTCAATTCTCGTTCCTACAAGCCCTTTTCGTCCTCCCGAATTCGTCGGAAACGTGATCAACATCGCGGAGCGGGCTCTCTTAATCTAAACTCCATCTCCCCGCGACCCTTCCCGCTTCTACAACGTCTCCGGGAAAGCGGACCCGACCGTCATCACGACCCAGTTCACTTTCCCGCGCGGGAGAATCTTCGGTGCCGGCCCGGGCAGGAGGGACTCAGCCGGAGACCTCGCGGGGGCCCCTTTATGCTGCGTGTTCTCTTCGGCACATGTCACCGCGTCATGCGGCCGCGATTTCGGTCCCCGCCCCGTCCCGCGCGTACGTGTCGCGCATCCGCGAGCATCTGATACAGCCGTAACAAATGACATCGTCGAACCGGGCGTACAGTATAGTCGAGGGCCGGCTATCTCTTCATCTCGCGGACGACGGCGACGGCGCAAGTATTGCCGGGTCCGACGGCGCCGCGGGCCCCGTCGGACTCTGGACAACACTTGGCCGGTCGACCGGGACGGCCGAGCCGGCTCAAGGGTTGTCGTGCGAACCCGCGCGTCGACACGCAGCCCGACCGGTCAGTACTTTCGCCGCGCGTTTAAGGGTGGCTTAAGCGGAGCCCTAGTTAGAAGACATGACGCCGGGTTATGAGCCCGACGCGCGGAGGAAGGCTTTCGTTGTAACACGTGTTGCTAACCGGTTCCACCTTAATTGTCTTAAACAGGCACCATCATAATTCTGAGTTTATCTCTCTGCCGGGCAGCCGGCAGGCGCGCAGTCAACGTCGCGACGTTTTTCGCCGTTCGTCCCCGCTCGCGGCGACTTCGCGCACTAATGGCGATTTTGAAATCGACGAGGCGATTCGTTACACTTGATAATAGTATAACGAAAGGAGTAATAGAGATCGAACTGTGTTCGGCGGTGCTGAATTATAATCGCGGGAGAGAAAGCACAAAGCGAACACTCGGCGCGGCGCGAACATCATTATTATCATCATGCCAAAAGCGACTCGGACTTCCAAATGTAATGAAATATGATCGCGTGTGATTTATAACGCGAGCGTCGACTCGCAGGCTCAGTCGCTTTCTCGAAGTCTCCATTCCATAAATTACACAATGATTTTCACCTCTCCTCCGCAATTACGCTCTTTGTAACGCTTATTTGCGCGCATTCCTACTTCTGCGCTCTTATACTTCCGAAGAAGGTCCTCGAACGTTTAATATAAAAAGCGTTGTTTCAGCTATATTTTAACAGCAAAGGTTTTCAAGCGCGCGTGCACGCGGCAGAGTATGATACTTGATAAGATACGAAAAAGGGTCGGGCTGAAAAATTCGGGACCCCGGGGTCGTGTCCTGACGATCGTGAAGGAAGGGCCGGGGCCGAAATTAAGTTTGCGAGGCACGTCCCCGCGTCGTGGCGCGGCGCGAAGCGAGCGCGGCTTTCGGTTCGCCGTGCGACAGTGTCAGGACATTAACCGTGAAGTATCCATCACTGCCTTACCGAGAAACCCACGACACGACGGTGTTCCGACTTGGGTGGATCAGGTCAGATAAATGTAATAGTCCATAGTTCAGCTTGCTAACAAGGCTAGTCTCCCCTAGATCCGAGATAAAGCCGCGGTACAGCTGGCTCCGGGACCGCTCATAATGAGGCCTAGTAGGAACCGATCGCCGATTAGGGCATTCTTCGACGATACTTCATCAATCATCCGGAATCGCCGCCGGATTCGTTATGCAAAATCCGCGCGCGCGCACGTTTAATATTTACAATTTCGTGCGCTCGCTTCATCGTTGAATGTTGAAGAAAAAAAAAATTTACGAAGTATCTCTCAAAAATTTCTATGTCCTTTACGCATGCTTGCCGTCTTCTGATGTGAAAAGATACAGCATAGTTGCCTCGATATTATTCGCTATAATTTTCAATGACTCACCACAGCGAGTCACCGAGATGAACGAGGCGTTTGGAATGATTTGTCGCACCTAGTTTGATAAATATCGCAAACAAAATGACTGTTAATCATCGCGGTTTATTTCAGCAGAACGCCGTATTAATTTATGCCCGAAAATAATCTGTTAGCCGCCAGTCGCGCTCTTTCGATTAATGATATCGATAACATTATTATCGCCGCCCATTGTATATACAAAGTGTCCCGAAATCATCGAGTTTTCAATAAATACGTTGAATCATTTTTTTTCTTAGAAAAAAGTTCAAGCAATTTTGCAATTTGCAATTTTGTGTATCTTAGTAACTAAACTTTAAATTGCACTTCTATTAAAATTTAATTACTACATATTGATTTATTATTTATTTACTATCTCAAAACTTTTTATTTGCGGAAAAACCTTTATTCTGAATTGTTAATTTCTTGAAAAATATTGATAATTGATCTTTTTGTTAAAAAAAACGTTGATTTTATATTAGTCAAACAATGATTAAAAAGATATCCGATGCATTTAGGACACTCAGTATGTGTCTCGCGCGTTCATCTAAAAACCGGACTTCTCACATATTAACGGCTCATCTTTCGCAACGCAACAAAACGAGACCCGCGAGATACATCGGCGCGCGTTTCGTGGAGCAGCACAGCTTCCCACGTGTTGATTAAGTTGAAATTTATTATTAAACCCCGCTGATATGTGTTCGCCGTGGCATTCGCAGCGCGATGCGATCCACTCACAGCTTTACGACGAGGAGCTTTAATTTACTCGGGAACGCGCATTAATCATTTATCGATGATTAACTCGTAGCCGCCGATAAAACTGGGAACGGTTCTCGATATTGTACACAAAGACCAACGAGAATCGAGTGAAACCTTTTAAATATTTTCTTTACAAGCACTGAATACTATTGTGCACTATTTGTATATGCCATGCAATTTTTCCGATATAAGATTAATACAAGTTATCTGTTTTTAATTATACTTATATTAATTTTAGAGTTTTAGCAAGAAAAAATAATTATTGCTTTGATCAAAATATCTTAAATACATTTCACAATATCTCGCCAAAAATGTCGTAAAATAATTATTTTTACTTATTTATCTACTGCTAAGTATTAGAAATTGTATTAACTCTTTCTAATTCTGGGATTTTATTTGAAATCATTAATTTTTAATTTATGTTGTGCTCGTGCTATAAATTCTGCATATGTAAGGTTAGTTTTTTTGCATTAATGCATTTCCAATTGCAATTTTTAATATATTATAACTGGATTAGTATTAGTAATAAAATATATAATAAATCAGAAAATGTTATCTTAGTAGTCAAAATGCAGATGGAAAAAGTTCAATATGATTACAAAACAACGACTGACCTGGTGATGACCATGCATCCATTACGCTTTCAATGTATCACCAGATCTGCTTCAATCAGTAAACAATATAAGATACACAAAACTGAATATGCGAACACTTTATTAGACACTTACAATGGTTTTTCGAGAGAGTCACTTTTACGATAACAATCGCGAGAAAATTCGATTCGAATGCGAATTGTGATGCGCTGCGTTCTATCACGATTAAAAATTTATGCATAAATGATACTGCGGTTTTTGAAGTTGCTGCTATTTTAATTACTTATTTGCACTGAACCGCCATCGCGCATCATAGCGCTGTTTGCAATCACGTGACTATGCGACTACTTATAGCAATAATGCCAACCTGAAAAATTACAACACGTGGTCAACGTAACCTATTATATTCTGTCAAATATATATCATTTTTATTAGATTTCATGTTTGAAAATGAATAATATACACACCCATACTTTTTGATATCTTTTATATAAATTATTAATGTATTATCTGAATTAATATTTTCTATAAATAAACTTTAAATTATTACTATATATTATAAAATAGAAGATCATGAACGGAAGCGAAGAACTTATTATCTGTGTGCCCGGTAATTATTTTGACATTTTATATAAGTTAATTATATAAATTTAAACTAAATTTTGTTAAATTTTTCAATATTTTATAGGTCAAAGATTATGTGTATCTGACAAAGTTAACATAGCCGGACCTGGAACTTATGAGCAGCAAGGTTACATCTATTCAAAGCTTGCTGGAATTGTAAAATTAATAACAGATGACAAAGTAAGTCCTGCACATTCTTGTATGTAAAATATTGAAACAAATAAATTTTAAATGCACATTGTTACAGACTCGCACAATTGAAGTACATGGCATAACGGAGCAAAGTATTGTTCCCGCACCAGGGGACATTGTAACAGCTATGGTCACTGTGGTGAATCAAAGATTTTGTAAATGTAGCATCAAGTGTATAGGTGACATAGTATTGACAAGACCTTACAGGGGAATTTTGAGAAAAGAAGATGTCAGAATTCTGGAAAAAGACAGAATAGAAATGTACAAATGTTATCGACCTGGAGATATTATTCTCGCGAGAGTTGTATCCTTTAATTCTATATTTCTTTTGTATGAGACATTTATATGTCAGGAGTACTTATACAATTTTGTGGTTTCCTATACTTTTCAATAGATGCCAATGACAGAAGCACATACTTACCAATTGAGTACCGCAGAAAATGAATTAGGAGTAGTTATAGCTCATAGTGAAGAAGGTGAGAATTTTATATCTTTTTATCTTCCCTTTATTTGTTTTATTAATGATTTATTTTATACAGGCCATGTCATGGTACCAATTAGCTGGACACAAATGCAGTGCCCAAAATCTTTTAGCAAAGAATTCCGAAAAGTTGCTAAAGTTGTGCCAGAACATGTTGTAGCAGAAACCAATAGCAAATGAATTACACACAATACATTATTCTTTTTATATATTTTGGACTATCAAACAATTTTGGAAAATCAAACAAAAAGTGGAAAAATATAAGCATAATATGATAAATAACATAAGCATAATATGATTAATATAAGCATAATTAATGCTGCTAGAAAATAATCAGTAATTTATTGCAACGACTAATAAAAGTTCGACTTCTTCAATTTCAATTAATTTTTTATTTATATTTTTGTTTTATTTAACATTTAAGTGATGATGAACTGTTTATTCATCCTTTTCCATTCCTTTTCCGTCAGTTTATTGTTAGCGCTTAACAATTGGCAGCACTGGCAGTCTAGATGTAAATATTTATGTACATGTTGGTGCATACAGTTTACTTTTGTTAAAATATTTCACAATAATTGTCATTGTCATATAACACAAATAAACGAGAATGGCAGAAGCATCATTTTCAAAGCCGCTAGACACTGAAACATTAAATTACACTGCTGGTGAGTGCTAATCATAATTTGTGAGGTTAGATATTGATTCACGTGTATATACATAGAATACATAGAAAAAGAAGTATGAAAACAAATAGAGAAAGCACATTTCTGACATGTTTTAATTATTAAAATTTAATTAATCCAGATAACAAGAATTAATTTCAAATAAACTATATTCTCATTTATTGACTAACTTTACCACAAATTGTTACATTAATAAAACAACATGGTTCCTTATTGAATATAACTATTGCAGGATTAATGTAACAAAATAAATGCTCACTAAATCTCTAATATTTTTTTAATAGAAATTCGACAAATGATGCATGGATTTGGCGATAATAGTGAACCATTGCATGAGTCTGCAAAAATCATAGAGGATGTTGTGTTGCAACAAATGAGAACAATTGTCAGGAAAGCATATGAAATTGCGGATAGGCGAGCTGTTGCAAAAAAGAATAACATCATTAACGGAGAAGATCTTCTCTTTTTATTGCGCAAAGACAAAATCAAGCTTCAGCGTCTTGTGAGATATCTTGGTAAATATAATAAAATCTTTGAGTTACACATATTATCCATTATTGCTCTTTATAAATACAATAACACCTTTTTTCAGAACTTAAGGAACTGGGAAGCTCAGCTCAAAAAATTTTGACGAGTGATATTCCACAAAACATTGTAGATTCTTCTGAAATAGACAGCAAAAAGAAACTGCCATTTCAGAGTTTCCTGGAACAGATTGACAATACAGGTGAACTTCTTGAAAATTCATCTACTGTGGATGAAATCAAACACCGTCGATCCATTCGTGCGGACATTGCGACAAGAACAATGGACGAAATACGTTACATGAGATTTAGCAAATCCCGTCGCGTATCCTTTGCGAACAAAAATCGCCACAAATTCAGCGATTGGATTTGCTTGGACGGTAATGTCTTAATCAACTATATTGTATAATTTATTATTATATAACTATATTTTGTAATTACAGGCGATTATACAATATCAAAGCAAGCATACACAATCTTAAGTTATCTTGCGTATGAGACAGTTGCTCAAATTGTTGATTTCGCTTTTTTGGTTCGGCAAGATCAAGAAAAAATGCGTAGCGATGCCATAGATCGGCAACGACTCAATTACATTAATCCGTTCACATACAAACCATATTATCATGCAAAAGTACGTATTATAATTATTGAAAGATGTATAACTTTAAATGACAAATTACATATTTTTCTTTGTAGAACTTTGTAACAAAAGCACTGACTCCTTCAGAGATAACTGAAGCCCTTAGGAGATATTGGTCTCCGCAGTTAGATATAACAGGACCATTCAACAGATGGTCGATGAGAAGACCGCATTTAAAACTCCTTTCCTGTTAAATCTAAAGAAAAAGGTAAGAAGCTCAATATAATGTCAATCATTAAAAAATTTCAATGAAAAAAAATCTTCGTAAAATATTACTGTTGCACAATCATAATTATCTAGTTACAAAAAACTTGGGGAATAATACATCACACATACAATTTTAAAATTGACTCGTATTTATTGACATTTTCTTGATCTCTTGGACACGTTTCTCACTTCCCTAATCGTGATTTTACACGAGACCATTAATTTTTTATTATATTACAAAACTGATTGTGAGTAAAATTGTCATGTATCGATAATTTCTGAGATCATTCTTCCATATAATAATTATAATATCCTCTGTACATTTCACATTTTGTAGTATCCCTGATTGCTTTTCAAAGATAAAAGACAAATGATTCGAGTCACCACTTCTCAACTACCAGTAATACGTTGGCATTCATTGTATTTACCATAAAATATTTGGATTTCTTTTTCTTTTACACAAATTATCAATACTTTGCGAGTTTCATACAGTGAATAAGATAATATCTACAAGATCTTTCATTAATATCATTAGCAACTATCCGTTTTAGGAATTTACACAAATGCTAATCTTGTTTTTATATCATGGTGAGAGTAGCGTCGAGACTCGCACTTTTCCTTCCGCACCCCCGGTTATGCAAATTCCCGATTGATTGGCACTCGACCAGTCGCAACACAAAGTACCCTTGTGTCCACCTAACTCCAAACTCTTTCCTTGTGAGCCTGGTGGCACCTAGTCAAACAGAAACATCACACATATCAGCATAAGTTATAAAAATCCACATATTTTTGTGTTACTGTATAAAACAATCTATACCTTATATATTTTTCCTCCCGCCTGAGTGCAGAGTAGCATATAATTTCCGCTCTGATCAAAAGTGAACAGTTTTCCGTGAACAGGGTTTTTCTCGATGTCAATTTTGGTCTCCCACACTACATTTTTCGGGTGATTCAGGTTTCTTTTGATTAAATTACCGTCTTCGCTTTGCGTACATAAGTTTGTAAAGTCGTTTGTTAACTCTATATCGATTATCGGGCTAGAGTGCCAGTCGGAAATGTCTAATACCTCGTATCGCCTCAGATCATATACCAATGTATTACCATTAGACAGTCCTGCGATAAGTAATTGGCCGTTATGATTAAACGTGGAACATAAAACGGTGGCACACTCATCCAGCGGCAATGTTCTTTCAAGTTTTTTCGTTTTAATGTCGTATAGTAATAGTTTGCCCTCGTTGGCATCCGACACGGAACAAATGAACGTCGATTCCATTGGATTGCAAAGCAAATTGACGATTCGCGAATTCTCGTGCTGGATATCCCAGAGTGTCTTGCAGTCTCGAGTGTCGTTCAGCTGGATCAAACCGTTGCTGTCGCCGTGCAAAAAATAGCGTTCGTTTTTTGATACCCAGTCCAACGAAGTAATAGCTTTATTGGAATTTGTCGTGCCGGAAGTGAATGTCCTAACAGTCCTGATAAAACGTTAATAGTAAGAAATACGTGTCAATGCTGTATCTGTAGAGAAAATTATGTAAACGTGTTATTACTGTGGTGAAGGAATCGGTGTCCATATTTTGATGATACCGTCGGCGTCTCCCGTCGCGACGTAGGATCCACTACTGTTACTCTTACATTGAATTATGGAGGTTTTATGCTCGGTATATTCCTCCTATAAACATTATACACGAATAATTAGAATTAAGTAGCAATAGAAATTTCTCAGGTTTAGTAATGATTTGTCACCTGACTTAGAAGGATATAACTGGAGTCCATCTTTTCCTTAGTTTTCCTCTCGACAGTAGTATCTATAGAAGAGTCTCTTTTCCTAGAACTACTTAATCTTGAATCACAGCTGATGCTCCTCTTGGCGGAGACTGCCTCAGACTTGCTGACCGAATTCATCCGTCCTTTCACGTTTGTCCGCTTCGTCGAGATCGTTTCAGATTCCGCAACTCTTTTTGCGTTTGTTGCAGATTTTCTACTTAAAATTGGACTGGACCCGCCGCCTATGTTTCTTATGAGATTCCTCAGGGTCTTAGGATTTTCCAGTAATGGCGATTCTCTGTTATTTAAGTATCATTAAGCATGTTAGATTATAGATCATTATTTTTTATAGTATAATCGACGTGAACGTACTGAGCAATAATGTAAAAATCGTCCATAATTGGGGGATGTTGAGGTGTTGGGCCCGGATTTACATCCAATACATTTTCTATCCTAACAGATTCGCATAACCGTTGCTTTAGCATTTCATTCTCCTCTTGTAATCGTTTTAACTTATTTGTGTCCTCGTCCATCGTGAGTAATGTCGGCACTGGCATACACTATAAAATAATAGAGTACATTAAATTTTGTAGTATTATATTTTATACCATAAGCATAACTTATCTTCATTATATGAAAACATAACAAATTAATATTATAAAATACTCATTTAAAGACACATTGGAATAATGTGTGTATTTATTTTGATTGATTTTTTAAACGATATATTTTTATAACGAAAATAATATTTCTACTTTGAACACATATGCAATAAACTTAGGTATCTTTTTACCTACTTGAAAAATTGTTGCTAGGAAATTATGTAAGGACATCAATATAGTATCGTGCCACTGCTTACTAAAATAAACGGAATAAGTTGGATTGTCTTCAGGATTTTTAATAAAGGGGAGTGCTGTAATATAGCAAAACATACAAATTATAATTTTATAAAACCGTGATATCGTAAAAGACCTTGCAGAATTCTTTTGGAAAATGGCTTTCGGTTAAATTTTCTGAAAATTTGCAATATGATAGTTCTTCATGTGTAGATCAAAAGTGTCAATGGGTGCAAAGTCTGAAAAATTATAGTTTTTGAGTTATATCCGTTCGAAGTTGGTGTTTTTCCGCACTATCGCTCGAGACTCAATGGCCGAGTCACCGATCACGCGCGTGACGCTGTGCTTCAGGAGCATCGCCACATCATAATGCAATATGCCTCATACTGCTGTAAAATGCCCAAAATACCAACTTCAAACGGCTGTAACTCAAAAGCTATAATTTTTCAGATTTTGCGCCCATTGATACTTTTGATCTACATATCAAGAACCATCACATTGCAAATTTTTAGAAAATTTAACCGAAAGCCATTTTCCATAAGGATTCTGCGGGATCCTTTGTGAATGAATATGAAACATACCAAACCATTCTTTCCATTCTGAGTGGCCCTGCAATTCCGGCGCCATTTTAGTAAAAAATTCCAGAATCCTATCTTGCTTGCCATTCATGGATGCATTCACCAAATACATTTTTAACACAGAGTTCTCTAATTTCCTGATTGCAAGAGTAAAACAACTGTCTAATCGACTAAATATTCTAGTATCGAAGTGTCCCCATAGTTCTCTCAATGAGGTCAAATCATAATTGTGTATGTATTGGACTAATTGATCAACCATTTTATCTACCTGTTAAATATTATCAAACAGAACAATTTTTAGTCAATTATATATTATAACAATTGAGCGTTGCAGAATACTTTTAAACTATTATGCTAGCTTAACATAAATATTCCTAAGCATAAATATATACACAATTAATAGTAAGGTCTTTGTTAATATATAAAATAACATATCTTTTTGCATAAAAAACATATAAACATACAAAGCATATCATATGCATAATGAAGCGAATATGACTGATAAACAGTGATGTAAAACCGACAGAAACATATTACGCGATTATCTTGAACCTTGACTCATTTTAACAAGCGATATCCTTATCGTTATATTGTTTATTTTTATTTTGCAATTTTTCTCACCCTAAATCCCTTTTCCTTATCCGCCTTCAAGTCATTGTCGAAGACTTTCAGTGTCTGAGTTAAACCCCTGAAGATCAAATAATCCTTGACCAATTCATCCACATACTGCACGTGAGACATTTTCCCTCCAAAATACCAGCCGTTTTCGCCAAGTACCCACAACTGTATGTTGTCATCCTTCAGCCATCTTGGCTTCCAACTACTTCCAACTGAAGGCCATCACACACAAAATGACATAACTGCATATGCATAGCATAAGACCGTTTTGACCAATGAACATCTAGCATAAAGGCACCATATTGATTTACATAGCATGCTCATTGGTCGAGAAGGTCTTATGCTATGCATATGCAGTTATGTCATTTTGTGTGTGATGGCCTTGAAGCTGCGTAAAGCGCAAATGCGCTTTACGGAACGCAACCTGAAAGTGCTACCTAGTGCTACCTGAGAGAAGACTGAGAGTGGACATGCCCGCATTTTACGTGTTTTCGTGGGTTAGCGCCTCTATGTGCACAAAACATGCACATTGAACTACGTAGCCAATGTCCACGAATCCCGTAGGTAATGTCCACGATCTTTTGGGTCTCTTCCGTGCTACGTCCACGACTTTTTGGTTTCGATATGTGCTATATCTACAAAGTGTCGGTAATGCATACTTGTAAAACATGATTATGTATAATATACATAATCATGTTTTACAAGTCGATTATGTATATTATACATAATCATGTTTTACAAGTATGCATTACCGACACTTTGTAGATATAGCACATATCGAAACCAAAAAGTCGTGGACGTAGCACGGAAGAGACCCAAAAGATCGTGGACATTGCCTACGGGATTCGTGGACATTGGCTACGTAGTTCAATGTGCATGTTTTGTGCACATAGAGGCGCTAACCCACGAAAACACGTAAAATGCGGGCATGTCCACTCTCATGGCCGGAGCACAGACTTTTGCATAAAGCATAACGCATAAGCATAAGGAAATTGATTGGTCCATTTCCTTATGCATTTGCTTATGCTTATATATAGACCAATCAATTTCCTTATGCTTATGCATTACGCATTATGTAAAAGCTTGTGCTCTCGGCTTCAGTCTTCTCTCTGGTGCTACATTCGTCCATGCAGGATTGCCAACAAAAAAGCATGCAAACTTTGATCGATCAGCTGTTCGCTCGAGTAATCGATTGTTGATGAAAAGCGAGATGACTTTTGTTGATTTGAACTTCAGAGAAGTTCAAGATTTACAGTATCTTCTAACAGAGTGTCTCTAAAATCATTTAAGTAACAATTGTTTGAAATAATTCATCAAGCAACTATTTCAAAAAATTACCAAGCATTATTTTTAAAAGAAGAGGCTTAATTACAAGTAAGAAGCTCAAATATCATAAATATTAGATAATCGAAATTATTAAGCAAGAAAAATAAGGAATAACAACAAATAAATATGAATATTAACCTTACTTAAACGTTTATTTGTACGTAAATTCGATAATTCGATAATTACAATAATATAATTAAATATCTTATTATCAATAAATTTATACACTTAGCTCTCATAATTTAATGCGAATTTTCAACGAGTAGTAAAATTGCGAAGACGTCATATATTCATCAAGCCGTCCACTTTTGTTTTAACATAGAACAAAAATAATATTCCTGCCAAGTAGCGACGATTAAAGGTGAAACTTTATCACACGCAGGAATCTTTGCCACACATCCACCATAAAATTTTAATAACTAATTTGTTTCATCTTTAAAAAGGCACGAGTGTTTTTTTTTTTCATCGCAGAAATTGGAATTCTCCCGTCAGAGATCAATCCCCCCCCCCCCCATTATTACATCATATAATGACACATCTAAAACATTTAAGAAAAAAGATTTTTAAAATGATAAGAAATTATTCTATAAAATTAATAATTTCTAATTTTTATAATTTGTGATTAGCTTAAAGATCTTTTATTGTCTCAAGATTTTAAAACTAATCTTTAATTTTAAAATTAGTATTCCGCTTTTATAGAATCAATTTCTGTCAATTTTTTAAAATATGAAATTTTTAATATATATGTATATAGATAATGAAAGACTGTATTGGGGGGATTAGCAATTATTACGTAAATTAAACATTTTTACACAAGAAAGATATATTACTATAGCTTTCTTTCAATCCTGTTCTCCAACGAGAGAATCATTACAGAAATTATAGAATAATTTGTTGCAAAGAAAGGATTAAAATTCGCTTACCGAGGAAATTGATTATTTTTTTAAATTCACATCGCGAGATATATATATAAAAGTCAACTTAGTGCGGAAAATCACATCACGATAAACTACAAAATATACAAAATACGAATTTCCTTATGTTTATTGTCAATAGACACTACACTACGAAAAATAAGTCGCGAGATGTATATCTGGCCCGCGAGCATTTGGCAAGAGAGCGTTTGCGGAGTAGCAATATTTTCTTCGTTCGATGTACTCATGTGATAAAAATAGTATTTCGCATTCCATCGTATCAATAGGTATAGACTATCACTGGAGATATCGCGAAAACGGAAATTTAATACCGTAGATTCGAAAATCACTACAACTCGCCAATAACATCGTGGGATATCTAATAATACATAATATTACATATATAGAAATATTAAATTTCCTCTCTTTCTCTTATCTTACATATTCACATTTAAATAATTATTACATAAGTATTCGTAATTTAAAATTCTGTAAAATCAAAGTTATAAGTTATATTCTAAAAGATCAATTTTCTTATTTTTAAATTCACAAATTGCGAAATAAAATAGAGCCATTGATATTCCACAATACTATTGGCGCGACTTTCCGTGAAAACTTCTTTCAAAATCACTTGTTTAGCGCCTGACGAAACGCGTTCTGAATACATTTGTGCGTATAGTTTCGAACAAATTTGTTTCGATACTTTCGTTGAATTGTGCACAATCGTTTTACACGCGAAATTCGATCGACTCATTGTCTAGAACTCTTCAGGCAAATGATCGTGTATTATCACCGACCGTGATGACGGACGCACGCGATCGGATCTCCAGTTTCACAAAATCACTATCCGCATTTTTGCGCGTCTCAGAAATATATACATTTGAAAGAGTCGCGTTTGTTCGATGCGATTTCAGCGATAGACGGACGTGTAGTAGCGTACGGTGCTTCAAAAATTTCACTGTCGAAATGATCGAGATCGTCTTTATGTCGATGGAAGAGAATCGGAATTAAAATTGGATTAGCGAATTGGCATAGCAAGTTAGCTAATTAGAAGCAACTGAAGTTATTAATAAGACTTCACTGAAATCCATCCACAAACTTAATCTTGAAAAACGTCGAACATTCTAAAATCACTCGTCTATCGAATAGATTTCAGGCGCGGAGACGCGTAAAGACGATCCCGTGACGACGATTGTTCGTCGAGCCGCGAAGCTTGATTGCGTGCGTGTTGCAAGATGATTAGTGTTTATTCTCGTATGTTGCGTAAGCCAGCGTACGATTTAATTTTTTTTTTTTTTTTTAAGACCGAATAAACGCACGTGTGATTCGCGAAACGAGCGAGCGCTCGATCGGGATGTAGTTTCTTCGAAAGAAATGCATCTATAGGTCGACATCCTCTTGCTTAGCTTTCGGCGCGATTTTCTCGTCACTCTCGGACTCTTTCACGCTCATGTGGACATCCGCGATCTCAACCGGCGGCGGCACCGCCGGTTTCACCGAGTTGTCGTCCTCGGCAACTTCGAAACCGATCGTGGCTCCGATCTTCTGGCTCGCCTGCTTGAACGAGTCGGACAGCATCACCTGTTACAATGCGGTTGGGTTAATTCGATCGGATTTATGAGCACTAATTTTTCCGATGCGTAGCCGCATCGTCGATTTTAATTTTTGCGTCAAAATTAGCACAATTATAAATATATATAAGAATATTATAACAATATATATTATAACAATATATATTATATATATATATATGAACTATACAAGAAATATCATTACATATTTTTCATATATTACTCGCAATTAAAATTTACCAATATAAGTTATTCCATTTAGAAACAAAACTGAAAAAAATGTTATGAATAATAACAGCAAATGATCGTTTTGATATATGTAGCTACATTTATCGTAATTGAAAATTTTTTAAAGAATAGTGATCAACTGTGATTTTTTTGTGGCTTAGAATACATCTATCCTACGTTTGATGCAGAACTATTTTTCTCTAAATAATTATATATATTCTAAGTAAAAAATATTTTTCAACATTGTCATCACTCACCTGTACAACGTTGATGCACATCGATGTGAGTGCCAGGCCGAACACCAAGTATACTATCGAACACATCATGTATATGGGGTGCTAAATCAATCAATGAATCCATTAAGTGCTGCGAATGGATCTCACGATTTGTAAATTCATTAATTAACAAAACGATATACGAAAGAAAAAGCGTGTGAAAAATAACGACATATACGATGATATATACAGTTCTCGTGGAGAAAGTTCTTGTGTATCAAAAAGCTTACCATCTGAACGCCACCGTGAAAGAAAGAAATATGAGAGTAAGTTAATCATTTACTGTACAAGATAGCAACTGTCATGGCACCGCAAATAAAATTCGAGAGAGCGAATTCAAAGAGGCGCTAAGGGCAAATCAAATGAAATTCACGGATTCGCTCAAGGACGTCGCTTTGTCCCTAGGCGAAATGAATATAACGTATGAATATAACGTATAGCAGCGAATTGTAACGAATACTAAAGTATGTAGCTCTCCCACTAATTCCTATTAACATCTCACTTCTGCATTATTTACCTTTCCATTTATACCAACCAATATTAGCGTCTATAAAATCGCTAAAAATCCCAATACAAATTTTTTACACAAATTTACGGAGATTTTTCGCGTCACGAAGAGAGTAACTATTTGAACGGAACGATTGAGTGCGAAGATAATCACCTTTGGCACGTAATCGCCAAAGCCGATAGTGCTCATGGAGATGAAGACGAAGTAGAAGCTCTCGAAGAAACCCCAATCCTCCCACATGTAGTACAATGTGGCCCCTATAAAGATGTAAGCCAGAAGAATAACAATCGCCACCGAGATCGGCAGATTGAACTCGTCGTCGATGGCGAACGCCGAGAGTGTCGGTGTGCCCGGCGTGTCCGACGCGTTCGCGTCTAGATTTAGGACCGTTTGCGGTTGTTGCACCTGCTGCCTCTGCATCTCCTCGATCTCCTCGGGATTCATTTGCGATGGCCTCCGGAATTTCGCGAAATCGTAGACCAGTTGTACGCCCTTCATGACTTCCTGCGATTTTTTATACACAGGATATGAAATTAATAATCGGTTGAATAAATCGATTGACAAAGCAATGAAAAATAAAAAATAATAAGATAGAAGTGAAATGTAAAAGATATTGAAAAGATATCAAAATATTTTGGGGATCTTTGAAATTAAAGAGGAAAAAATTCCGGAAGGTCAAGAGTTGACTTAATATCTTGTTTGAATTGTGTGAGAATTTTCATCGAAGCACTTGAATCGTCTCACCTGAACGGGCCCAGTGCGACGAACTTTACGACAGCTGCCAGTGTAGTATAGCCTCCTCACGAATGCCCACAGGAACTTCATACCACGCGTAAATAATTTACCGAAATCAGCCAGAATGATAAGAAACATGGGAATACCGAAGATAGCGTAGACAATTGTCATGGCTCTTCCTGCATTCGTACTTGGCGAAATGTGTCCGTATCCTGAAATAAAAAAAATCTTTCCGTTTATGGCACTATCACATTAACGAGAATATTAATTCTGTATTTATTAATGCAATATTTATCCTGAAATCAAAATTATTTAATTCAATAGCTGGATTAAAAGTCACACTTGGATATATTAATATAAAATAAACTTTGACACATTTTAAATACGCATATATACGAATGAAAACGCAGTAATTTATCTTGTTTGTGTTGATGTGCCGCAAAAGTGGCTTGTTTGTGCACGTCGCGAGTAAATCTAAGTTTAGATTGTTCAAAGCAACGGAGCCTGCGGCGGGTTATTTTCTCGGACATTGAATGCACTTTGATTGTATGATCAAATAAGAGAAGACTGAATCAAAGAATGCGATTGCGCTGTTAATGCGCTTTTCTGCGAGTTTAATCGGAAGAACTGTGAACGTTACATAACGCGAGTCGAAGACGAACTTCCCAAACTTTTTCGTCCACGATCCAAATTTATCGCCTGGTGACCTGAACAACACGAATGCACACGTATATTCATCCCAACAAATCGGAATTTGAAACGTAACATATTGACAAAAATGTTGTAAATTTAGTACTCATTTATGATATTTTTTATTTTATTATGCAATTCTTTTATTTTATTTTTTAAATGGTTTTTAACATTTTTAATCAACTTTCCATTTTTTATTAAAGTTTTTGGTTTCAGTATTGACATGCGTGCGCATTTCTTTTAAAATATTGCGTATAGACAATACCAGAATTCTACTGCATTCTGTCAGAAAATCAATACACCACCCATAAAATCTTTTACGTCAAACGAACTGCGAAAGCTATTCGCAGGCTCGCACATTGGATGCGTATAATTGTGTGCATGTCATTGTGGTCGCATTGAATGAAACATTTCTTCCATAAAACAGTAATTATTTCTTCCACGATAGTCAACGTTAAACTGTTAATACGAAAGCTATCTAATAAAAATTTAATAGGATATTTATTTCAATTAATAATATTAATAATATTCAATTAATTAATTAATTAATTCAATTAATAATATTAAATAATATAAATCTAGAAAGAAGAATCGTTGAAAATTTTTTTAAGCGTGTTGGATTTGCGAGTTAAAGAATAAATAAAATTAGTCACAAAATGTAATTTTATCTTAAAATTGTGCTTTTTATAGAAGTTTTGCTTTTCTTTGCACATTCGTATTGTAAATAACAAAGCATCTTCAGCATTTATACTTCGCTGAAATAAAACAAAGACACATAGAGATTCACAGAATACCAAAAACTTCTTTGATTCAAAGAAATCCAAAGAAGATTTCCGATTGAACTTCTGCCAGAATATATTCTTCCCAGCCTTGCGTTATTTCACTCTCAAGAATCGTACTTCGTCGAAAATTTAAGAACCAATGAAGAGAAATATATTAGAAGTCGATCGTTTCAATTTAGAGAAATTGTTTCCTCATCGAACCTTCCTCAGGACGTATTCTCACCGATGGTGGTGATGACGGTGAGACAATAAGCAACCGCGTTCAAGAAACTCCAACTCTTCTGGCCGCTGTAAGAGTGCATACCGGCCTCGTGAGCGGTGTGAAGCTGCTCTTCGAATTCCATCAGCTTCCTGCGCGCCATACTCTTCCAATCGTCCTCTCTCATATTGTGACTATAGTTCCACAAGCTGTCCAGGAAGTCTCGCTTGACGCGTTTCACGCCGCACTTGTAGAACGTCTCAAAGGCGCCCTCGACGAACCGGAAGACAAAGGCGCCGAGACCGCAGTAGATCATCACGAGCAGCAATCCGGCTAAACAGCGATTACGCAGCCGCCGGATGATGGTCGTCTCGTGCGGATGCTGAGCCACGAAAGCCTTGAATTCGCCGACGATGTCCCTGAGCGCTCTGAAGAAGTCCATCAAAGTGATCTTCCCCGGAGCTTCTTTCTTCTCCGCTTTGACAATTTCGACTTTTGGTGCCGGTTTCGGTTGCTCTTCTTCCTCGTCAATCTTTTCTTCTGCAATCTCCTTGTCCTCTTTATTCCTGCGCCAGAAAGGCAACCAGGAGAACCACGATTTCTTCTTCTCATCGACTACGTCGGCGGACTGCTTTTCACCCCGAATGATCTCTTCGGTTTCGCTCTCGCCGTACGGCAGACTGAATTTCCGTCTCCTCAAGGAACTGGCTTCGACTGTTTCCTGGAACACATCTGCAGGCTCCGGGTCCAGGATGCTACGCTCCCTCAATAGATATTCTCGCTGCGCCTTCGCGAAATCCTCAATCAGACTCTCGTTGCTCAGCGGGATGATCTGTTTCTTCAGCTCGCTCGAGGATCGCTTGATCACTCGCTCCTCCGTGGGCCGCGGGAAAGTCTCGCTCTTCTTCATTGTCTTCGGATCCTCAGCCGTGTCGTCCGTCTGACTGTACGGTTTTGCGCGTGGTTTGTCGCCATTGTCTTGCGTCTGCGAGTCATCTTCCAGCTTCTGCCGACTCGACGACCGTTTCTCTCGGTTCATCCGTTCGGCGTCCCTCTTCTGCGCTTCCGGATCATTGGCGCGGCTCCTGGCGCTCGTCTTCTTCACTCGAGGCCTCGCAGCTTCCGGAGATTTTGTTCTCATTCGAGTGGACTCGCTCTTCTCGTCCGCGTCGCTCGAGTCCGTCGACCGACTGTATCTCTCCGCGCGTTCCTTCGACTTTCTTTTCAATCGTCTCTCGACTTTGCGGACCTCAACGGATCGCGCAGTCTCGCCGTTCGTCTCCCGCGGCGTCTCCGACGTATCCTGGACGATCTTTTCTTTGGCAACTTGAACGATTTCGGTTTTAACGGTCTCTTTTTTCGTGATGCCGTCATCGGACTTGGTCGTCATTTCGGTGGCCTGCTTTACCGGTCGCATGCTACTGTTGTCGTCAGCCACGACATCGGTCTCACGTGTCTTCAGACTATTCCCAGCCGCCGTCGACTTGGCGGCTACTTCGGCGCGTATAGCGATCATGTCATCCACGTTCGCAGATTTTCTCGCGTCAGTTCTGTCTCTTCTTCTAACAGGCTTCTCCACTTCGTCCTTCTTTCTGTCTCGTTTCTCTGGTTCCTTCGCGGGTGAGAGCTCCTGCTTCATCAGTTTACCTTCCTTCTGCTGCTGCTCTATCTTCTCCGCCTCCTCGGCCATTCTCTCCATCCTGGCGCGCCTTTCTTCATCTTCGTCGTCCGTAGTGTCCCTACGCGTCGCGGCACCCCTCGACGACGGATCGGGCGTCTTCTCGCGCTTCCTGGCGGCCGCCTTGCGACGCCTGTGTACCGTATAACTGTCTTCCATCGCGCGGCTCTCCGTCGTCGCTGTCGACGTCGTAGTTCGTGTACGCGGGAACGACTCGCGAGCGAAAGGAAGCGTACACTCGCGAGACCGGCCCGCAGCGAGGCCGGGACAGAAATAAAACGGAGGCTGCTCCCACCACTGTCGGTGATGTTTGCCGCTACCAGCCGCGACGGAAACGGATGACCGACCGGCTTTGCCGCAGCGGATATCGAGCGGTAAGCGCCGCGCGCAACGGTGCCCGGTCGCTCTGGCGTCGCGACGCCGCCGCCTGCATCCACCGCAGCCCGTTACGCTACCCTGCGTTTTACGCTGCGGTTTCGAGGAGGCTCGGTGACCGTTTGACCCTGTGACCCCGTCAGGATCAGAAGTATTTGTATTGAGGATCAGAGCCGAGACGTGAATTACATCGAAAATGTGCTTTTGGAAGTTTAATATTGACAAAAAAAGTTGACGTGTTTGACGTTAAAAATTCAATTGTTTACTGAATAGAAATAATTTTTAATATAATTTTATATATTTATAAAAGTAATGTTTTATAGCTAATTATATGAACAGCATTCTCATGTGGAAAAGTATAGATTATCAACATTGTTATTGCTTCACAACTTTTTATAATCGGATTATTATGTTATCGATAATGATTAAACTCTCAAATGAAGCAATTAGCACAAGAGAGAGAAAATTACAAATACTGGGGTGATTTGGACTGATTGTAATAACAACCATTCAATTCAAATGAAGCAATTCAGTGAGAACAATGAAAAGAGGGAGAACTGCGCAATGATTTCAAATGACATCAACAACTTGAAGAAGAACTAATCTCCTAACAGTTTTATTTATGAGTAGAAAGAATGCAAAGTGTTAAATACATTGCTCAATCTTCTAAAATGTTCCGACAGGACATTGAAATGATTAATGAATCCGCTTCGCGCGCAAAATACTGACTATAAATAATCCGAAAGAGACGCTTTGCAGAATTGTATACATTTTTCGTACATCTGCAGAAATTAAATAAAAAATGATTTTAAATAAAAAAGATTAACCAATTGAGATTATTTACATAACGCGTTTAAATCATATTAAAGCAAAAATTTTTTAAAGAAAAGAAAATAGATTAAACAATTCATATATTTAAGTAGAACTTTTTCATTAAACTTGTGCGGATCTTCTGTCATCTCGTTAGTGATTCGAGGTTGACTACAATTTATAAACTAAAAATACAATTCACCGAAATCTGTTTTCATCTACCACATTCAGAACAAGTATACATATATATATTTTTCAATCTTTCTTCGTTTTGTCGCCGCGACAACGCGCTACACGATATCCATCTATAACCATTATCGCAGATGGAATCACAAATGGCAGAGCGCACAATAGCAGGTTTTTCCGATAGAAAATTTGATTACGTCGAATTTAATCTTGAGATATCAGCGTAAAATTATGTATAATCGTTTAAATCAAAATTGTTTCGCAAAACTAAATTAATTCAGTAATCTAATGTTTTATTAATTTACATTATTCTTTATTATATAATATTATTAGCAAATCCAATTTTATTTATTGAGTGGAAAGAGGCATATCGGTAAATAATATACATTTGTTTACGTATATATAACAGCGCATATAAATTTCGAATACGCTGGTTCAAATATTTGGCACCTGGTCGCTTTAATTACAATTTGCCGAACGATTTCTCATCTAAATAATCAAACGATCTGAATTAATTACTAATTGAATGTCGGTGTGTCCAATGTATTGACGCGTATTTTTTCACGCGATATTTTCCACCCGATATTACGAAACATTGCATTCAAATGAATGTGTTTAATTCGGTCGAGAGCGAGAAAACATTGCGAGAGAAGCTCTCTCTCGCTCTTCGTACATCCGTCAAGAACTCGTAAATGATAGGATGCCTTGTTTTCGTACGATCATCTTACCCATCTTTTTCGTTATATAATGATGAGAACTCGAAATAGTATCGTGGACATACAACGTCTTCGTTGGTGCAGAAAGCTGCACCATAGATATGCGCCGTTTGAATCGCAAAGTTTTAACAATTGACATAACAGAACACACGAAGCGTACACATCTCACTCACGAACGTATTGTGCGCTTGTAAATGCAATCAGAGAAGTTGCAATGCTTCTTTACAATTGTAGATATTTTAATTTGAATTTGAATGACAATTGAAATTTTTTTTATTTTCATTTTAATTTCATCAATTTATTGTTGCGCTTATTTCAAATAACTTTGTATGCGGATACGCGGAGTACGCGTGTACTCAGCGCGTATATAAATAGTATGCGTATATCTGTTCATCCGTGGACAACCACGAAGAAACCGATGTTCCTAGATAAACTGTGTCATCAGGCTTCTCTGGACTAACATCGCTCGTTTTGAATTTCCTCGGTCGTCTGAGATCATAAATTAGATCAGTCTTGGAAGTGTCTATGAACACACTCTTGAGAGTGTGAGAAATTATGAGTATACAAAACAAGAGTAATTAAACAGACGCAAAGATTTAGATATTTTTAAATCTCACATACTGCTTGCAAATAACTGTTTAAAATTTTTTCTTTTATTTATCATGTAAGAAACCGTCAACTTCGTCTTCGTCTTCGTAAATGTCTAAATATTGATCGAACGCATCTTCGATGCATGGTAATACATCGTAGAAGATTTTAACGTATACTTGTCACATGCAAAACGACGATGTGTCAGCGAATAAAATATTTCCTATACTTGAAAAATATATAGACCATGCGCGTGAGAATGAAAATTGTGGAAAGCACTCACAAAACTGGGTCATATAACAGCCAGTAGTGCGAATCATTCGCGTAAAAATTTGCAGCAATGTGTGTTATTTGATCTCATTGTAATAAAATTTATTAAATTTCCATTATTATAAAAGATTCGTTAATAGTATTGTACAATCACAAATAAATTGTACATTTTAATTAAAGCATCAAATATATATCTTACATACTATTATTTTATTTTTCAAACAACTTGGTCCATTAAGATTAATTAATTAAGCATTCAAATCAAAGTTGAAATTCAAAGTTGTATTCAAAATTTAAAAAGTAATAATCTCTCCAGTAAAAAATTAATATCACTTTGATAGAGTTATAAATAACAGCAATAATACCATTTCCGTTTTTATAAAACGTCGCTGCGCAAAGGACTTCCAATTAATACGTTCCATCAATAATGTAATGAAGCCACGCTCGCGCACATGGAACAAACTTGAATTAGTTACATCCAACAGGTTTCAGAGCAATGCGTTTATTACCAGAGCTTCGCGCAATCTGATATGAGCAAGGCAATAAGCTCGAATTGAGCTTGAAATCAGTCGTGTTGCACATGTGGCATATTGATACACACAGAGCGCGATACACGTTTCTCTTCCGATTTGCATTTACTACGAGCATTCGTCATCTGCATGAAAAAGAACGCAAAATAAATAAACCAAGTCTCCTCGAGAAACGTATAAAAATAAATAAAAATAATTCTTACGAGCTTTGCACGAACTCGACATACACAAAATGTCGCAAAATGTTTTGCCAGAATTACATTTTAGCATAATAATCGAGTCTCTTAAGCACCGCCCGGTTTTTCTGCTCTTGACGTGTGGATAGAAATATGTCTCACACACAAAAATCGCTCTATTCCGAGCTGGACGTATATCATGCACTATTACTCCATTTTCTTTTTGACAGAAGTGTCATGCTTGTTTTCTTTTCTTGAGAAGAAAAACATACAGCCTACAAATCTTGTGTATTTAAAAATATCTTAGAGAACCGTGAAGACAAATTTATTGTTCGTAATGAAGATAATATCGTTGATGTGTGCACAGTCGCGCATGTAGGCTTGATACCAGAATATTTTCTATTAATTTGTATCATTGCAAAACCATGTTTGCAAAATTTTGAGAATTATTTTGCTAATTGCTAAGACCAAGGGTCTTAGAAAAAGCTAGACGAGCTGCCAACAGATGATTAAAGCGAGCAAAAATATTCTACTTACCAATAGTCGTGTAAATAGTGCCGCAGTAGAAGACGGCATTCCAAAACGTCCACACTTTCTCGCCGCGATCTGTCACTCCTCGCTTGAAAAACTCGTACAGATGTTCCTCGTACTTCATCAGCTCGTCCGCGGCTCGTCCTTTCCAAAATTCTGTGTTTGACGCAAGCACCGAGTCATTGCAAAGTTCGCGAATGACATCGAGCGTTTTGTTCCTGTCAATAAACGAAATTTAAGATAATTAAAACTGAAAGCTTGCGACTCAATTTCAAATTGCCATCATATTATAATTTGAAGATAATATAAACATTTAGTTGTAAAAAATAAATACAAATTGAAGGAACCCTTCTTTACATTTTATAAAAATTACATTAAATATTAATATTAATTAAATTAAATATAAATTATTTATATTTTTCTCTGTATTATTCTAAAATTTATTTTAGAAACCTATATATTTCTAAGTTTCTTATTGATACAGTTTGATGATTGAGAAAAAACTCGAGTTATCCTTTTTCATAAATTCACCGATAGCAACCAGTCTAATTTAATTTTCCGTAAAGTCTTTGACAGAGGGATCACAAAAGGCGATATCGAATCGTAAGGATGATTGCCTTTAAACCTTTGATATTGACATTTTTACCTCTGTATTTTCAATAAAATTCAACGAATGTGTAAATGTGATTCCGCTATATTAATTTTATCAATATAATATTTGCTCATGAAGACAAATGTTTTTAACGAAATACAAAATCATGAAGATAATATCAATTAAAACATTACCAAATTTCACTTATATCCGAAAAATACAAGGCGCGTCTGACCAATAACGAGCAATTCTACTCTAATCTGATTTAATGGCACTTTATTATCACTGAGAAGGCGGAATCGTCTTCAACCACTCCTTGATTTCGGGGATTCGTTTTAGGGGAAACGTTCTAAATCTGTTCTCTGCTCAATCAAATATACTCTAAATACGTAATCGTCATCATAACAGTGCTTAAAAGTCATTATTTTCCAATTTGAATCATACAAACGTTTCAGATTGTGTCTTGATTAAATTTAACTCACGATATAATATACTGGGACGCCAATCATAAAATGTAACTATGCTATTTAGGCACTGTGGCTATACTTTCTTCTGATTATTAATTGGGGGCAAACATTGACCCTGGCCTTCGTCGAGGAAGAATGATTTCGACATTTCTCGTTACCTTTCATGTTCCTGATATCATGCGCATATGAATGTACAATTGTTCGAGCATTTAACCGGTTCACGCTACGTGTCGTGCGTCCCGCACCTGTCACGCAAGGTCAATTATAGATAAGAACAACCGTGGTTTTCGGCCTTCGCAATAAGGTCAATCGATCGAACTAGAAAATTGTGGGGATTATTTCACGTTCAAAAAAGCGCGTGACGCCGCGCGTATCGCCGACGTGACGATAGTACCAAGTAACACAGCGCAAAAATGTCACATAAACATTTAATTTATTATTACGATATCTCGTGAGCAACTTCGTCCTCAGTTAAATTTAATTAAAATTAATTATCTATTAGCGATATCATCGCGAAAATAAATAACATCACGAATTTTTCACAATTGTATTTTTTACAGAGAAGAAGTAATCGTCGTGATCAGTTTTATTAAATTATCAAGCTGTGGAAAAAATTTAATATTGATGTATTACCTTTGTCACAATTTGCGGAAGCAATTTTTTGATCAATGAAGTCAATTTAGAGTGTGCATTCTTCGGAACAACTGATAAAGCTTTATAAAATACAGAAATTATACGGTGAAGTCAAAACGTAGTATTAAAGCAGTTCGGCAAACAATGTTGCTTGGTCGACCGCAAATTTCAATACTGGTTACGGTGAATATTTGTTGTACAGAACTATCACGGGACCAGGAATGACATTATTGACAACAAAATTAAATCGAAACCGCAACCTCGTCAAGTTCATCCGCCATTGAGGATCAGATTAAAATTTATACATGCGTTAGCTAACGCGTAACCGGGATGCTAGAATTGCCATTGTGTGCGATCGTCGGCGCGTGTAAAATGGCACTTATTTGATTCGCAACAAAGGATCCACTCGATTCGCTTATCTGTCTCACATTTTTCCAGAACGATCAACAATTTCTTCTATCGCGATGCGCATCTTTTGGCACGTGTCCCATATAGACTGCATTTTAATAAAAGAGTAAATAATAGAGCTTTTAAAAAGAAATAAAATTTTTGAAGAGCTTTCTTGCTGTTCTCGAACTCTGATATTTTGGTACTTGACATGTTTTACCGTGCTTTATATTAAATCAGAGAAAGTAATAAAGGAATTATTTTATAATTTTATTTCTAGCTTTTATATCTTTAATTGGGTGTAATTCAATCTTGTGTTATTCTGTTTTCTTAACAATTATAAACTTTACGTTTTGCTTCGAACATCTAGAGTATACCTCTCTTTCCGAATGTTGAAATGAAGAAGTTCCTCGTGCGTGCCCTCGACTGTAATGAAAATCATCGCTCCAGCGATGCTGTACAGAAGTACGATAACGAATAAAAAAATGTGCGTGAACCATCTTCTGCTCCAGGAACTAACCTGCACACAATATTGATAAATATTGTCTATATAAATATATAAATATACAAGTATATAAATTCAATATTTACTACCTTCTCGTAGAGCCAGAAGGCGCTCTTCTCCCCCACACTGAGCCCGGACTTAGTCAGATCCTTGATCCCCTTGAATACAAATTTGCTGGCGCGGTTGGCGTAGATCATCTGCGGATGGCCGGAAACCGGCGTCATCGGTATCGGCGTTTGCCCGTACGGCGTCGACACGTAGCCCATGCCGGTCACAGGCTGCGGGTAGTACTGTCCGGGAATCGGAATCGTGATCTTAGGTCGGGGCGGTAGGTTCCGTACTCGCGGTGAGCTCGACATTTTCGCGGCGTATTGTGCAGCTTTCCGTTTCTGTGAGGGTGCGACACGAAACACTTGACACTTAAACGAGCGTGCGTGTGCCTTGGTACCTTACGCGATGCAACGATTTTCCACAATTGGTTCTTTAATCGTCGGAGATTCTCGCTGAATCACGAGGGAGAATAGTTGCCCGATGACGGATGAACACCCGAGAGACGCATTGCTCCTCCAACTGTTTCTCAGTTCGCCCGTGGAACACCTCGATGCAATCCTCGTCGTCTACAAGAAATACGTGGTCACGATTTCAGCTGTTGACTAGAAAATTCGACGTGGTTGTGACGCGCGTGCTTGTACGTGATCTACGCGATTTGCGTGAAAATCCCCACTTATTCCCTCCAAATCACTCAGTATCCGTACATTCACTGTTCACATACATTGCATAAATTTGTCGGGCATATAAACGACTAAGTGTCACTCTTTGTGCTCTTTTTGTCCCGTCAGTTATTCCGCGGATCTATGAATTTTATCCAAGCGCTTGTATAAATAGACTGACAGACGGAAGAATGTTGGCAAGCTCTTAAGAGCCAGGATTCCGTGCGAGGGATTTGTCTCGAAAAACGGTGCCGCGTGACTATCGGCACGTCTCTCCACAGAGTTTACGAAAGGGGTCATTCGCGGTTTCCAAAACGGCCTGAACGATCGCGAAGAGCCATTAATACATCGTTAACGGTTGTTAACGCGGCAACAGAAACTGAAATTCGGTTAAAATATTGCAGTAAGAAGCAGAATTGCGATGAAAAGAAAGTCGTCCTCTCAGAAAGCAATATTGGCTGGAAGTAATAAATCAATCGTCATAATGAATCTTTATTAAAACGATCTTATTTTCAGTCCAGATATTAACAAAAAAATTACAGAGATATTTCATAAAGTAGAAAATGTCTTTTGAATAATCGAATATTTTAATATTTAATGCATTTTAATATCCAGAGAATATTAACTCTCTTGTTTCAAAGAACATTTATCCAAAAAATATTAATTAAATACTTTAAAAACATTTATTTAACATGTTCAAAGGCTATTATTTTAGATAATTGAGCTTGTTAGCATTCCGGTATTCAAAGAATATTAATTTCAGCTTAATCAACGCGTACGACCGTGCCAATTGCAGGTGTTCATTGATCTCGACCGTGCCAGGTGTGTTTCTTGTAATCTCGAACTTGCATTCCTTATTACGCGAATCCTGTTTCTATCTAAAATTATTCGGTCGACGAACATAGCCATAGGTCGACGGCCCCCTCGGATGCATTCTAGCAATAGATAGTACGACTAAGTATGAAGTACTAGACAGAATGAGTGGTAACGGAGACGCGAAAACATATCACGCAAGCAATCGCACTTCGTTGCAATTACCTACAGTATTACGCGATTTTACTTCAGTAAAGCTCATAATACAAAAATGCATAAAGCGAAAACTATACGTGATTAAAGCGACATTCTGCTTTATCATTTATAAAACTGTGAATGTAAAACCGAATTACATTAAGCAGTAAAATATGCGACGTGCGGTCAAGTGACGCCACATGTAGAATGTGGGCGGTGAAATATCATGGAAAAACATTCTAGCACAGAAAATATTATTTGGCATTTTCTAAATACTAATATTATTCTGTCCTTTATTTAAATGTGTAAAACATGTCTATTGCTTTGGAAAATTTGCATCTTCGTTGCAAAATGATCTAGGAATTCGACTTGAGAGAAACTTGAGAGAAAGAAGTATTTTTCCGAAATTAATTAAATCAGTTTTCAATTCGAATTTATAATCACATGTGTGCTGTGTAACTATTTTTTCTATTTTTTCGTCATTCGCATGTGATAGAAGAAAAATATATCTTATAAAAAATTATTTGTATAAGCGAGATAACTGTTCACAAACAATAATGCGTGACTGTGCAAAGGCAGTTATGTTCATTGCCGCAATTAGCAATTTTAATCCACATAGAAACGTGTGATAGAAACGTGAATCAAACGTACATCTCAGATTCGACTTATCGATAGAAGCGTTATAAAAAATATTACATCCGCGAACGTGATCTTTCATCCCTGCGGGAATTGTCGTCGATGATTTATCATCTGGTACGAGCGACGAGCAAATAAAATCGCCAGTTTTCTTAACGATGCAAGTCGATGCTGCTCTTTTTATTCTCTCTTTTTTTTTCGCTGAAACTAATCTTTCCGTATTGCTACAGTATTTTCTGTTGTATACCATCTGCTACAGAAAATTACATTAGTTCTCAGATCCACATTAATCATGTCACTTTTTTTGTAAAACGGACAAATGCACTTTCTTTGCGAAAACTTTTGTGTACGTTGCACGATTTTTATAAGTTTACACACGCCATAAATTTGCCTTCACAACAGTTTTATACTTTTTTATTTTATTTTTTTACGTATATATTTCAAATAATTTTATTTTCCCTTTTATTATATTTATTTTTTTCACTTTTATCTTTAATTATCATCTTCAGTAAGACATCACCTAGAGTATTCACTTTCCGTCTCGAATAATCGAGTCAGTAACGCGGAACGGGAGAAAATTACTGGGGAAAGCCCGTCGCGATATTTCCGTCAGCGAAGGAAGGTCGTCCCTTCCTTCTTCCTCAACGCATGTCCTTTTCGATTTCCTCCGGCGGTCCGTGTTCGTCATTTGACGTCGTGCTTCGTGTTATCTTTTTCCACAACATTTGAAGGAAGAAGACTTCATCCCCCGTAAAAAACGGATCGAATATCTCGTATTACCCTATCATTTCGAATTCTGTGATCCAGAAGGAATGCGTTGACGGTTCAATAACGTGTGAAAAAATTGTCATCTTGATGCCGAGGTATTGACGATATCCGGAATCTCTCCGCGAAAGGAGAATTTCAAATTTTCCGCGATCGCTCCTTGCTCCCTTGATACACTTTTTTTATATCTCGATCTTTATAGAGCCGTTGGCCTTAAATGCACTATTGCGACACATTTTACGATAGTCTTATATTTTTGCAATTTTTATTTTTTTTAATACATCCAAATTTTGAACAGAAATTACACAGCTGACAATTTATATTCCGAGTAATTTTCTTTCAGACAAGCGACTTTCTTTCCGATAAGAGTGGATGCTGCCGTCAGGTGCTACCGTAAACGCCTTCCGCGTACCTCCGACGGCGGCGTCGCGACGCCAACTGAGGAGCATATTCGATGCCGGAACTCGGGTGGCTTTGAAACCGGCGCTACCAACCACAGGGCCGTAACGCCTACATTGAAAACTCATTAAAGGTAATATATACAAACTACGCAGCCTCTATACGCATTTAATTATGTTATTATAACTAATATTTATGAGAAATTAATTTTTTTTTCTCCGCAAATAATATTAAATTTTTTTCGAGTGTTGCAACACTATAAAAATTTTTTAATTAATATAGTTTCATAATTATCAAACTAATTATGGAATAGTTTGTAATAATTAATATGCAGCAAGAAAAATCTGCAAAATAAACAAGTAAACTAATTGGTAGGATTCGTGGCGTTGATTGAATCCTTTCATAATGCAGAAAAAAGCTAACGGGTACTTTTATATCTTGAGAATGAGAAGGATACACCTTGCCATTTTACTCATACCATCGTATCGATTTCGGCTGGCCTCTCATTGAAATGAATTTTATTCGCAAAAGCATCTGTCTGTTTCGCCGGAACGCAAACAAAATAATCCTTTTTATTTTTCCCCGCAATTGACACTTTAATCAAACGCAAATAATACAATCGTATTTATTCAAGATAATTGAAAAGCATTATCTTGAGGTATAAAGAATACTCATCTAGGAAGAAAATGCATGTTTGTTCTCCGTGTAGTAAAAAAATAATGAAGAGAAAAACTAATGGACAAGGAAATAATAGGTGGAAATACAGAAAAAAATTTGCAATTATATCAGCAGTCATTATTAACATCGACGATAATAATCATCATTAAATTGATGGAACTTTCATTATTTTATGAGGACAGAATTGGATAAAACCTATAAACATGGGAATTCTCGAGACCGTAATTGACGAGAAAACAGACACTGACAATGCATTATATTCATCATTCTTATCTCGTGCGAAAATATATCCAAACATGATGCTATAAGTACTTAGATAAAAATAATATATTACGTAATTCTTTCTCCAGCTATCGACTTTTCATATCACTTACGCTTCTGATAAAAATTTCTGCCAGTGCGCGCAGAATTGCAAGCAACACACCAAATAACGTCGGTCTCAATAACATCACACTTCGGCGATACACCGTCGGATTTCAATCGAGCTTTTATTCATCTCTATATAATAGATAACCCGGCCCTGATCGGTGATGCATCGATTAAATCATATCACCTAATTTTTTTCGAAAAAGTGTTTTGTGTATTCACGAAAAAATTTTTGCCGCGACATTAAAAAGTTCTTTGCATATCTATATCACTATTTTTATATCCAGAAAATATTGAATGACGTCCTTCAACCTTTCAATATTGACACAATTATTTTTTAATAAATATTTTGTTAATTTACATGTTTTGATAGTATTTTATAAAATTTTTATTACCATTAATTTAATCAAATTTATCGCAACTAAAGTATTAAAATATTAAAAATAAATATTTCACAAGATTTTACGTATAATAATTGGGCGTTTATGGATTCAAAGTATAATAAAGTATGATAATTTTATGTGAATCTGTATACGATAATTACAAAGCATTTGTTTCCCCGAAAATTAACCACATAAATTCAACTTATGTGTTAACTTACAATTCATTTATCGTTATCTATTTTTGCAGCACAAACGCAAGGACACAAGCAGATGTTGCTCGTAATGTCGCTTGATGCTCCAAACGATCGTACAAAACGAGTCGTAATCGCTACCGAGTTTGTATCATCATTCATATTCGTAGAAATAGCTACCGGAAAGTTAACACGAAATGCTTGCCAGCAATACAACCTCAATGTACTTCCCAGAGAGTTGAAACGAAAATCGGACCAGAGAAAGTGACTCATCGTGATTTACGACGATCGGTGTCATTTCGGGGAATCTAATGTGCGTGATGGAGATTTATTATTAGATATAAATGACTCATGAAAAGTAAAATAAAAAAATGTTTGCATTGTTCTCTCGAATGTAATAATTGAACGCTGTCAGTGAAAAAATAATTTTGTCTTTTGAAGAAAATCCAGTCATGCACCGTGTACATGGAAAAGCAGAAATGAATCGCCTCGTTAAACGCATTTGTGAGAAAACTGGTGTTTTATCGAATCCAATCGTAATAACAAGCGCGGTGAGTTGAAGGCAAGAAAAATAGATTCAGCGAATGCATTTGCATAGAACTTTCATACGCTTTGATGCACATTTCCATTAAAATCCTTGTTGTGCAGAGCAGATGTCTGTAGAATATCTCGATTTAATATCTGATTGATGTTAAAATTAGTTTTTTTTATAATTTTCTATTTTCTATTAACTACTATTATTTTAAATTGAAAAAGAAATATTTGTTTACATGTAACTTATAGTCATATTGTGTCATTTCTTTTCTTTATAGAAATATCCTCAAATAAAACTTCTGATATAAAATAAAATTCAGCCACATTTTCTTTATAATATTTTTATAGAAACGTTTTATGACAGAAAATCTCTTTTTCTCTCTTTCTCGCGAGAAACGCAAGAAATATATTTTTTCTCGTTTCGCAAAATTATTAGCTTTCCGTCTTCCGCTTCCGCTTCTATCTCCTTGAAGAAAACAAGTTGCTCAGAAAGAAAGTGTTATTTTCCTGCGAAACTCGCTCGAACATAACTAGAAGCAGGTGTTGCAGAATATTGCCTGATGTGTAAACGTAGACTTTATTTACATACACTTTATTCGTACAGAATGCTTCAAAAATGCGCATACATCGTGAATGCAAATCTATTTTTTTAAACACTCGTTTGCGAACATAACATAACATCACTATCCTTATTGCATAGGAATTAGGATTAAAGGTAAATATGAAATGAGCAAAAATCAAATTACTTTGCAATATATTTTGAAAGCACGCTTTCAACGTCCCGCTAGGATTTTATACCTAATATCGGGAAATCGGACAAGAAGCGAGGATAAACGTATATATAAGCGACATAAGCGGATATTCAGAGCATATGAAAGCTTCGAGTGCGATTACTGGCAAGCATGAAAAATAGTAATGCATACATTTGATGCACATCTCCACTTCATTGGTAGTGGAAATGCAAAACTATAGTCAGACAGATGTAGGACTCGCGCGTGCCTCACCATGACATGCCTTTTCCACTTTATATCTCCGGCAAGAATGCTTTATCGTTTTACGACGTACTTTCGAGGCTCGTGAAGTAACTGGATCATTGTTATATATGATCATTAATCATGTGTAACAAAGCATAAAGCATATGCATGAATAAAGCTTATATGAAATGGAGTACGCGCGCATAAAGAATTTGATGTATTTATACATCACAGAAATTGTATATATATTACATTATATATCATAATATATAAATTAGCGATTATTGCTTTTCCTCAATAATAATAATTTCATGACGGTTCTAAATATCGTTCTATGTATTTATAGAACACTGTAGCTTCTCGAAATTTTAGCGGAAATAGAAATCATGTTCGAGTCATTTTCACTTGGCGACATACGAGCGACACAAAGGGTTAATTCTCGAAATAACGGGTGACTCAAAAAGTACGCCCCCGTTCGCGACGTCCAGCATCAGATTCTATTTATAAATACATATTCTTTCACATCGATTTACTTATATTTGTTTCAGAATCCAATGATCACACTGCACAATATATTTATACATCTTATTTCGACTTTAAAAAATTTGTGTATTGCTGCATCCCCGAGATTAAAAAAAAAGTAAATTACAAAAAGTCTGCCTGAAATAGCCGTTCGAAGACTCATGTATAACGGCAAAAGAAAAAAATTAAAGTATCGCTGTCTATGTGATAAAAATAACACAAAGTTTAGCGGTGAAACTCTGTTGTGCTTTAAAAACTAAAGGACAGTTTAAAATTTATGACCAAAGCATTTCGTTCGTCACTATGACATAATTCTATTAGTCATAATGATGAAATAAGATAATATACATATAACAGGATATTTTAAAATTATCATTATTTGCTTCATTTCAAAAATTTTCAAATATTCTAAAAAATATATACATATTTAAAGAAATATGTATATTTATTTCTAACCATTGCTTGTGTGTATTTATAACCTGAAAACCTGAAAACCAGTCCTTTAATTTAAATATTTTAATTTCTACTAAAACATTTAATTTACCTTCATGGCCATGGCGTTCAGATGCTACCGTGTCTTGATTATTTAAAATAAAGATAAATTTTTTTAATGATAATTATAATAATTTTTAAAATTATAGAGAAATATTTTTTAATGTACTAAGTAATTCTATATTAAAACACTGCAAGAGGAGAGAGGAAACACATATGTTTAGGCGGAAATAGAAACGTGGGATTAGCTCCATCTGTTGTCGGACTTTTGAAATTACTTGCAATTTTTAAAGATTTATCATATGAGCTTTTTATTAGCAATTGTTAAAGAAAATATGTATAAAAAATACAAAGAAATGCAATTGTACAATGCATTCGAAAAATAAACGTTATATATGTATTATCAACAGATTTATTAAAATAATAATCAAGATAAAATAAAAATAATTAAATTAAATACTAATGTTTTATATAATGTAAAAAACTTTTACAAGGATGAAAGTTTGGTTTTTTTTATGAGATTCTGTAAACTTTTCACAACTTTTCTCTTTCTTTTCTCCTTTCAGGTCTTGAATATGTATTTATTTACTATAAAGGTAGACAATATAATGCACCGCTAAAAAGAACAGACCAAATGAAAGACGCTTAGCGTGCTCCGTGAACGTAGACTGCACGTATGCTTTTCGCGGCGATCAGCATCGCACGAATCAGAGAGCGTATTGCAGCACGCAGCCGTGGCGCGCAGTGACCTTGGCGGGCGCAACGGCTGCGTTCACGGTAGGCGCCCGCAAACGCTTCGGAAAGAGGCAGCATCAGGGTGCAGCGCGCGTACTGTGTCGCCCATTGTTGTCCTCGTCGCGTGTAATGGCCACCGTGAACATTCGTTAATCGCGTCGCGCCACATTGCGGCCCCGGCCTAGCCCGTGCTACGGATATACCGTGAGTCGAGTCCGGCCGCGAAGCACCGCGTCGGCAATTTTATGCCGCCGCCGCCACCGCTGCCGTTAAGACGGGACAGAGAGCGAGGGAACGAGCGAGAGTTGAAGCGGGACGGACGGAGAAAGGAGCGACAGAGAGAAAACGACGTACACGACGAGGAGGAGCGGCGGCCGCGCGCTTCGTACCTACAATCGCCGCCACCGCGCCGCTCTACGCGGCCGACCATGATTTGCGCGGGCCAACGCTGCCCGTTGACAAGCGTGTGATTTCAGAGGTAATATTCGCGCGCGTTACGACCGCGTGCTAAAAAAGTGTGCGTCAGCCAACGAGACTAGCCAAGCCAGCCAACCAGGCGGCCAGCGAGGTGGACGAACGCAGCGGGCGACCGAGCGAACGGACGTACGCGCGAACTCGTCGTGATTTCGGATGACGCGGTCTGCCGCCGGAATCCTGTGCCGGAAGGAAGCGTCCGTCGAAGCGTTCGTTGAAATCGAACGCCATTGATTTCTCGCACGGCCGCGAGGGACCACGGCCCGACCGCGCTCTGTAACGGTGAGAGCGTCGCGCGCGCGGCACAACACGAGGGGGAGAGCACGCTCCCCCCGGCCCGTTCTGCTCATTGCGGATGCTGGAGTGCACAGCCAGCAGCCCGGACGTCGTAACCCACGTACGCGACAACGTCTCCGAGGAGTCCGCCGCGCGGCAGTTTACATCGTCATTGCCGCCGCCGCCGCCGCCGCCGCCGTCATGGCAACTAGAAGATCGTCGGTTACCGCACGGCAGCCGGATCTGTAACCCCGCGGCTTGTCGGACTATCGCACGTGAGTATGTTTATGCGTTCATCCATCCGTTTTCGCGCGCTACGCAAACCCGTAGAAAACGCGAACGAGCGCAAATGAGCCTCTCGATTATTGTTTTTCCTCTCGATCTTTTTCGCATCATCGCACCTTCCTGCTACGTCGATCGCGCCAAAGTCGCGTCTCTCCTTGTCCTTGGCGTATAACTTTGATCAGGAGGACGTCGTCCTTGTCGCCGTAGAATCTCCCGCTTCTCGCATACCTCGCACGTTCACGTTTCATAAGCCGGTAGTTTATGAGAATCGCCTATTGATTGTGCAGGGTCAAAGGCAATACATCAATGGCCCTAGAATCAAATGGCAACAACGTGGTGTGGTTGAACACAACCCGACCTGATCAAATACAGCAGGTATGCGTTGCGCGCAAGGTAGCTTAGTGACGAGCGAGGGTGCGTGTATATTTTTGTGAACAATGATCAAATGCTGGTCGATTTCACTCACAAGCGTTCAGTATGTGATGAGCGTTGCGGATAATGTTTGTAGTAAAAGAATTTAGACAATGTTTAAGATAAACTTCTCAGAATATAATTTCCCTCTTTTAGCACTTTTGACATTATCTGACCAATTTTCTCTAATCAACAGAGTCAATCGATTGAGCAGCAGCCATTGAAGTGTTCTATGTTTACTCAAACAGAGCAAACTAATAGTTTCACTCAGACGGAGCAAAGTAATTCGAGTTACGGAGATCAAAGACAGGTTTGTTTGATTATTTTTCAATAAATAAGATATAGAATTTAAAAAAAGAGAGAACTTTTATCTAATTATGTTAAATATTGTTCTACAGCAGCAACAAACAGCAATGTTTGATCCACAACAGATCCAGCAGCAGCAGGCTGCTGCTCAGGGTCAGCAGTCGCAGCAGCAGCAATCCCAGCAGATGTATGTGACTTCGGACAAAAAGGATGACAAGTCTCAGCAGCAGCAGCAGTCCACTACTGCCGAGTTCCCGCCCTCTTTCTACTACAATGTCAACATGCTGCAGAAGGTTCAGACGAACGCGGTGAGCACAATCAGTGCGATCACCGACGACAAGGGTTGTTACCGCTTTGATGTGCAACCTGTTGGTTATAATACATTACTGAATCAGATGAGTATTGCCGCTGCCGCTACCAACTCTACGTACAAGTGCGATATCTGTGGACTGGTCTTCGGCCACATGAGCCTGCTGCAGCATCACAAGCGGATTCACAACACAACGCCTAGCAATCTGCAGCAACAGCCGCAGATTGTGGTACAAACGCCGACAACAGTGACTGTCGCCACCACGCCGGACAGACCGTATACTTGTGACGTTTGTGGGGCGTGTTTTGCATTACCGGGAGAATTAAAAAGTCACAAAACAAACATGCATCAGAAACCTAAGGTGCAACTTTGTGAAGATTGTGGCAGTGAGGATCCATGCGAACATCAGCCAACTAAAGTTAAAAAGAGTATGTTTCCTATCAATTCATTGCGATTCATTGCGAATAGTCAGTGTCTATCTCACGGTGTTTTCATTGATTTCAAAATGACAATGTAAAGGATTTAATCGACATTACTCTGCAGCAGCTAGGAATTCTCGTAATATTTTTAACAATAATTGTTCTCAACATAAGTACAATTCTTTACATTCGATATTAGAATGTATGGATTTTACTTTAGTTCTAACAATCTGTCTCGCTGCAGTATTATTTGCAGTCGGGCATGCGAAACTTATTTGACAAAATAGAAATATATATTCGTTTGTGTAGCTATCAAACCTGGTCATCATCCTGTGAAACGGAGGGGTGTTACCAGTGTCACCAAATGTCACAAATGCAATGGCACGGGAATTATTTTTATTGGTGAGTATTGTTGAGCTTTTGATCGTTTATGGTTTTGTCACTTGATATCACCGATAGGCCGAAGAGATGTTGCTGATAAAACGCGGCATTATTTCCCTTTCAAAGTTTCAAATTTACGTTTTCATGCTTGTCGGAACAGTCGTTACAATTAATTGCACGCATAATACCATATCTGTATCAGCAGCATTTTGTTTAAACATTTGGTCATCTTTCACCTCTTCTCTCCCTCATACGTTTCATTGCTATCATGATCGTACATCGGGTGATGTATGGTAGGTAAACACGACGAAAAACTAGATTCCGGAATCAGTTCCCTCGCAAAGTGTGGCGGCTGCAAGGCTACAGGCCGCATCATCATAGGAAGTAAGTCGGATATAATTACCGTCAACACAGAGTATGGGATCTGTTTTGCGATTAGTATGTCCGAATAATAACCGTCTGTCTTGGATGATGACAGTTCAAATTTATTTTTCACGATATGTTCCGTATTTGTACAGTTTTTTATTGGTGCTCGAGTCAACAATACGCCGATACTTTTATAATTTATATAAAAAAATGTGGACTTTTGCTATAGAGAAATATTAATATTGATTTTATAAATTTTAAAAAATCCGATTTCTTTAAAGTTGACATTTATAAAAAAAATCGCTCTAAATCAATCATTGGATATATATGTTCTTGATGTATTTGTTAAAAGCACTCGAAACGAAATTTGAAGTATTTTTAATAAATACATAAAAAATAAACATTAATCAATTCAAATTGATATTTTTTAAACACCAAATTTGATGTTATTCGTTCCTGTTGATAATTTTTTATTTTTGTTTGCATGATTTTGGTAGATTAAATATATTCTTTTGTTTGTTTTTTTTTTTTGTTTGTTTGTTTAATATTTCCGCTTTATCAGATTTCAGACTGTCTGTGACTATTTTGTTTTGCTGTTATTTTTCTTCTTTTTTTGGTAGAACTGTCGACATCTAAATTTAAGGACGATGGCACAGAATAAAATCTCCCCTAAGGGACAGTTTTATAAATTCAAACCGCCAAATTTTAACGGTCTCCTTATATAAGATAGCTACTGTTGACATTCTGTTCAACCGTTTATGATTCTTTCATTTTATTTCACGATAGGCCATAGAGATTTTACCATTTTTCATGAATAAAGCCGCAAAGTTTCATATCGCTTGTGGCATACAGATTTTCTGATAGTGCACTAACTTTTACAACAACCTGCATGATGAAATTGTTTCACACAACAATCATTACCATTTCATATTGTAATTTCATATTCCATATGTACATTATCCCTTTTTTTTTGGATGTAAACAAAGCTCGTACCGCGTTCGTAGATTCTTCACGAGTCAACTTCGAGCTCATCACTTTTGTAGAACTGGCCCTTCGAGGAAAACTAAAGTTTGGTTTATACTTTAAATTTCAGGTGGCAAGCAAAACAGTCAGAACCAAACGGAAAAGCCGTTTCATTGTAACGTTTGCGATGGTACATTTTCTCGATATTCTTCACTTTGGTCCCACAAGAGACTTCATTCAGGGGACAAACCATTCAAGTGTGAAGTCTGTGGTTTAGCATTTGCCAAGGGTGAGTAAACGAAGTATTATGCTGCGGAAGGTGTATAACGAGGAGATATATTTATTTCTATAAGTGTCTAAATAAAGATAAGATAAGTTTACGCCGTAAAATTTTTATCATTTTTCAGCCGCTTATTTGAAGAATCACGGACGAGTTCATACCGGCGAGAAGCCGTTCAAGTGTAGTGTTTGCGGCATGCAATTCTCGCAAAGCCCGCACTTAAAGAATCATGAGAGAATTCATTCCGGCGAACGGCCCTATCAGTGCGAAGTTTGCGAAAAGACGTTCGCCAGACACTCGACGCTCTGGAATCACAGAAGAATCCACACCGGCGAGAAGCCGTACAGGTGTAACATTTGTGGTTCCGCCTTCAATCAAGCCACGCATCTTAAGAATCACGCGAAAGTTCATACTGGTGAAAAGCCACACAGGTAATCTCACATTTAAAGCATTAAACAATTCGCATTTACACTTTTCTAAAACGTAAATCGTCTCTCGCGCTTTCCAGGTGTGATATATGCGAGATCGGCTTTTCCGATCGTTTCGCGCTTAAACGTCACCGTGCAATTCACGAGAAGTACGGTCAGACGTCGCGGAATCAGAACACGAACAACGCGACTAACGCACAGCAGGCTAACGCTAGTAGTCAGCAGCAACAGCCGCAGCAGCAGCAGCAGCCGCAGCAGACGCAGCAAGGCCAAGTCGTGGTCGTGAACGCAACCACTCCCGTCACCGTCAGCCAAGGGCAAGGCCAAGTGATGCTCGACGAGGTCTACAAGTGTCAGGTGGCCTTCCCAGAGCCTAAATGATTCAGCTAGAGAATACCTTTCAGAAGCTGGTAAAAAAAGTTAACTTTTTTAACCCTTTTTTTAATAAATATTAATCAGAAGAATATAAATATTAATTATAAGAAAAATTGCGACATTCACGTATGGGTGTCGTAAGATATAAAAAAAATTAAGAACTATGGCTCTGTCGAGTCAAGTGAGTCCGGTATGAGTGACCGAGCGGCGCACCTCTTTTTTTTCATGTGCGACGGCTCAGAATAATGTGGAATAATATTTGGTGACTGTCGATAGCTTGGACTTAGAAATATGGATAAAAATTTCAAAAAAAAAGGAAAAAAGCAAAAAAAAAGATGGAAAGATTCTGCGATATTACGTCATGAGAAATTTCGTGGAATGTATCCTCGGAAGAGTTTGGCTCGTAAGATTATTGAACGACTCCTAAACGCTAAGATCAACGAATTCCTTGTGAAGTAATAGAGATATAACTTTATATTTTGTCATTAGAAAAAAAAATGGTAAAAATGGAATTGAATCGTATCGTGGCACATTTCGTATATATTAGTTTTCCAAAACAAAACCACAATTGTAATCATTTTTACATATGTGTAATAATCATTGCTTTCCAAAACCATGCTTTTGTGGAAAACAAAAAATTATTAGACGTCTTGCCAGCATTTCTATAACGATGAGAATAGGCAATGTGCAATAGTTTTGACAAATTTTGGTATTAGATCAATGACGAAGTGTACTTTCGAATGAATGTAACAACGGAGGATTGCGGCGCCGTGCGTTTCGGCGATGGAGAGCACAAGTATGGGGTACCGAGTTTTCCTTTTTCTTTTTTTCTTTTCAACAAATGTAAGATGTACATTGACTCTTTTTCAAGCGAGAAAAACAGAATTATTCAACGCCCAAACCTCGGCCCTTCCGGGTTTTACGATATAAAAACAGTCTGCACGTCATTTCGATTAAAACTGTTTTAAATTCGATTGCTAAAATTCGATTAAAATGTAATTTCGACCGCGAGAATTATTTGTCTGATAAATGAGTGCGAGAAACGGCGCCACGTAACGCAGCGTACTTTTGCGGGTAGCGTGGAACGGAATGACATCGCGATCTGTGCGAGCCCTCTTCCGTCCAGTCAGAAAGCATTGCATTACCGAGATGATGACAACGATCACGATAACGGCGGCGAAAGAATAGAACGACATACCTATATAACTCGCTGGAGTTGCAATAATAATAGTGAATATCGGCGGGCAGACTAATCCGTTTTATAATTTTAAGATTTCGCAAACTATATAAATATATTAGTTGACAAAATAGTTGCTAGTTTGTAACAACAGGTAGCCAAGCTAGATTATCTATATATAAATATAAATATATTATATATTATATATATATACATTAATTTTTATATCCCCACTTGTTAAAGCGATTCCGCACCGTCGCTACTTTTAAGTATCAAGATTCACCAAACGAATAGATTGTACATGAATAGCCCCATATAAATCCAAGATCGATAACTTGTGTGCTATAGTCGCGATATATCGCTTTTGTCAAGCTATTATTTGAACACTCTTGGAAGTGTCGATTCTTGGAGCTGCCTCGCATTTTTTATGCGAATATTCCTTTTTACTGTTATTTAATTTTTTTGGCGTCTTTATTCATGGATTTGTCACCGAGTTTTTGTCTCTCTTTTGCATAATTTTAGATATAGTTTTGGGCAGAATTGCGAACGAAACACATAATTTGAGGGTGTTCGAAATATTTTTTTTATGCAAAATGGATTTATTTACATTCACGGACTATTATGTGACACGTCAATCAGTTTCAATGGAATCGTCACTTGAGATTTGCACAGAATTCGGAAAAGGGGATATATCTCTGTTTTACTAATTAACTTGTAAAGTAAAGGTACGCAATCATATAATTTTACTTTTATATGATCATAATACCTGTTACAGTATTTTCAAATAGATTAGAAACTTCGTGCTGAATTTCTTATTCTTATTTTCGGTCTTTCGCGGACGGAAGTAGAGCTATCTAAGCCGTGACTCAAAGTCAGCAATTAATTGCGCATTTATCACCACTTCGTGTTATCTTTGTCGTTCTTGTAGTTTTTTATGGTATGCAAAGAATAGCAATTTTGATATAATACTCAGCTAAAAAGCTGTTTACAAAAGGCATGATCGCGCATATAGTATGATTGTGATGGTGTCTTTGTAAAGAACATGTAAAAAAAATATTGATTTCTGTGTTAATAGAAAATTCAGAAGATATACAAAATATTAACTAACTGTAAAAAAATATTTCGTATCTTTCAGCTTAACTTTAGCAAATCTAAATTGATTTTAGAAATTTATATTGTCTCTTATTTTCATTTTCTTCTAATTGGTATGTGTATTTATAATTATTATTTCTTATCGATTTTAGATGTAGAATTTTTTTCCAGCAAAATAATTTTTAAAAATGAAATTTTTTCATGAACAAATATAGGTAGACTGTGATGATACACGCGCATAAAACTAAACTGACGAGTCACAGATTAGATACACTTAAGTTAAAGTGTAGTCAGTACGTATGACGCAACATCGTAAGTTTTACAAAATTGTTGAGTGAAACTTTGTTTTTGTAAAGAAAAAAAATCTGACGTATCTATATGAAACTTTCCGTTTTAAATCGACTAATAGATCTTCCGTTTCGATTATTACGATAAAAAAGAATCAGGATAATTGTCAATCTTGATACTGCGTATATTTTGCAAAGAAGCGACATATCTATGAATTCGTTTCTTAAAACGTTTATGTATAATCCATTGTAATCAGTTTCTTGAAGCAGGATTGTCATTTCAGTATTCTGTATACTCGCTTAGAGCGGCAGGCACACAGCTCGATTATTTCACGCGTAAAACAGTATTTTTACAATCGTCTCATTTTTTTAAGTGGGTATATATCGAATGACAGCGAAAAAGAAATTATATTAGTTCGGTTTTCTTTTCTTTTTATATTAGCGTTAAGAGTTAATCAAACCATACCATTTTATAACAATCTGACACTGTAAATCTTTAATTACATATTTTATTTCATTTCGTAACAATTGGAAAATATTTTTATATATCTTATCGCCTTTCTCGAACGAATTGTAAAAACTTTATCCCACAGATGTAAAACTATAATTGCGTGAATACGAAGTTTCTTTTCTTCACAGTTTTATTACGCTGCAGAATCAAGGAATTTTGAGTACGGTCAATGACAGAACTGTATCTATATGAAACATTCATCTACGAGCAGATACAATAAGAGCGTAAATGTCACCGTGAAAAAAAAAATGATATATCCAAATTAACTAGGAGGGCTCTAATGATCGCGAAGAAACGTATATTTATCCCGCGGTAAAAAGAAGAATGTAAAAGACTAATAAGAATTTCCCTTCATGGCGATTGATAGCGATAATCATCTCGCGACACAACGTTTTCAATTAATATTTCATAAAACATATTTTTGGGAAAAGAAGCCTCTATTTTGAGTACGTCTCTATCTCTATCGAAACTGTGATCTGACGGTCAAATTTACGGCAAGCGCACGGCTTAATAAGCGTCCTCGACAAAACATGAGACAAATACTTCAAAGCTGTTTACGAGCGAGCACTTTATGTTAACAAATGCGCGCGTGCGAGCCCCTTTTTCAAGAATGCTTTTGTATACTTATACCTATGTCAACAAACTTCTAATTAAGGAACTAATTGAGAGAAAGATTGTAGAAATCGGATAATACCAGGTGTATGAGTGTAATTACACACTGTTAGTCGCGTCAGTAATTTGTAAGTAGTTTGTGAAGAATCGTTGCAGCAAACACAGCGCCGTGTTTCAGTGTTTATTTAGTTATTCCGCAATCGCTGTATAATTAGATAAAAATGTTTTCTTTTAACGAAATCAATTTCATATTCTACAATGCACCTTTTAATTGGATAAATTAAGTAAAAAGGAAAAGAGTAATTTTTCAACGGCGCATCTTTCTGCAGCGATTCCGTGCTCCGAGATAATATTTCATAGGCAGAGAACTTAGAGCTTCCGCTTGAATCAAAATCGTCTGGAAGCGTCTTCCTTAATCTCACACGAGTGTACTATGATTTGCCGGGGCTTCGTTCTCGATTTCGTTTGTACATACATTTGTAAAACAGAACAAAAGACCTGTGCGAAGTCCTGGAGATATTTTTTCACCACTTTATTAATATTATCGAATATTCTCGAATGTAAGAATCTGCAAGCGAACGGCGAACAAACTCGCAGAAGGACTGTAATCTTGCGCACTTAAGGGTCGAGGTTTCGGGGTGGTGATTACGTAAGCCGAATTATCCGTCTGATAACGCAACTTGCATTCCCAGAAGAATACCTCGTACGATCACCGAAATCCCTTCAAGCATTCGACCCTTGTCAGCGGGTAATTTTCAAAGGCCTGAGAAAGCGTCAGTTCGTTTCTTCATTGCGCATTACTGTAATTTTGTATTCGCGCCAAGTGTAGCGATAACGCGCGTCCACACGAATTTTTGTATGTTTCCATTGATTGTAACAATTTTATTATCCTACATCGGATTGGTTCGCAATGAATGTAATTAACGACGATCATTCGACTCGCTAATCATGTACGAATGAAAGAGGTCATTACTACGCGCAGATTAATTTGTCACGCCTTGCCGAATTGATTTACGACGTAACAGCGATCGTAATAATTTTTGATAATAAACCACGTTCCTAATGAATTATCTCTTCTTTATCGTACGACTAAGCGTAACGATTGCAAGGGCAATACTCGGATATCGATTGTGAGTACTTGTGGATATCGTTACCTGACGCGAGCGACGAAATGTAAAATAGGATTAAAATGGCCTCTCGTAACGCGTAAAGAAGACTAAAAAAAGATCCTTCGAAGAAATTTGCAATTTTCTAAGATAATCTACGACACGTTTATCTCGCGCGAACTCGACGACGTGTGGGCTTAACGTTTACTCATCCCGAGGAAACATTTCGATTACGAATTCTGTCTGCTATTGTAAAAAAAAGAAAGAAAAGAAAACGTCGCGATATCTCCGCACGTCCTTGCGAGCGAAGTAAAGTGGAAGGAATACAAGCTGTTAGTTTCATTAGGATGCCATTATTATGACTACCCGTCGGTATTCTTATCATTAGTTTTACAGATGAATACTGGACACCGCGGTCTTCTTTTTAACTCGCTTCTATCTCGTATCATTTAAATTCGACTGCTTTGTATCATATAAGACAATGATGTACGAAAGAATGTATCTATAATGCGTTGCTTTGATGTAAGTTAAATCGCCCCTCTCTCTCATTATCATGCTCTATCTCTATTTCCACGCCTCTCTTTCTCTCTCTCTCTCTCGATCTACCGTTTCTCTTTCGTCGACCTATCATCTAGATCTAGCTAGAATTTTTATTCGCGAACGTCGACGAGAAGAGCCATTGTTAAGTTGTTTTTCTTTTTTTTCCTATTGTTCCGCTTATTACGCACGCGAGTGCAACCGGAACTTGGTGGACTTTTTGTCATCCAGAAAATAATTGGTTTTACTTAAAAAAAATTTGAACAAATTAGTTTAACTCTTCTAAAATTTTTTGGCGTTTTATTACTCATGTGAAATAATACAAATTCATATGAGGTAGTAAAAAGATCAAAAAGATATCTAAAAAAAAAAAAAACACCGTTTTTTTATCTTATACGTGTTTAAACGTGTTTTAGATAAATAGCAAGTCCGAAACGACAATGATTAAAATAATTTGCTTTATATAGGTCAAACTAATTAATTTCGGATGATAAAGAGTCGGCTGCGAGGTGACCGTCACCGAAAAACTTACTTGTGTATACACAATTTTATATGTGAGGGGAAAAGAGGAGAAATCGTAAGAAAAATGTCACTTTAGATTAGTCTACTGTCAATATAACTAGAATAATAATTTTGAATGTAACGTGTATCATACTTGACTATTGCCTAGATAACGAGCAACCGTACCGATTAAAAAGGAAACTAGCGCACGATTATATCAGACCTTAGGTAATAATAATAAATAATGTCCGATGGACATTTTCATTTTTGAAGACTCCTGAGTGAACTTTATTTTTTCGTCGTGTGTGCGTGCATGCGTGTGCGTGCGTATGCGTGCGTGCGTGGGCGTGTATGAGTCAAGAGAAACATACATGTTATTTTATACATTGATGATTATGGAAAGATAAAACTTTGTAGATTTCGTAAGGCCACAATAACTATTTGCGAAGTTTATCACTTCATTCAACCAAACCCGATTTTATCGAGCTTTTTTATGCTATATTTATTCGTTATGAATTATTGATTTTCTTATAATTCTTATAATTGAATGTTCCAGAGCGCTATCTTAAAATGTTGTAAAGTCTTTTATTTAAAAATTATTTAACAATTCTTAGCGGAAATGTAAATAGCAAGTTATTATTTTTTAACATAATATTTATAAGTTAGCCTCGAAATGAATGTTAAAATCGACCAGATATATGAACTATCTTCTAAGCTCTTGATAAATTTCTATTTCAACATATTTAACTTGCATTGCATTTGAATATTTTATTCTTTGATTGGAATGAATTTTTCTATAAAAGTTACAGCAAAAAATTCAAATCTAGCGTAATTTACTTTTTAAAAATATCAATAATTATGTTTCCATTTCGACATTTTTTTTAATTGTTTGAGTTTTAATTGTTTCAGATAAAACGTTTGAATTGCACAAATTAATTTCAGCTTTTCCGCCACATGAGATGCGGACGTCGCCGTAATCAATCAGCTACTGTCACGCCGTATGACGTGAAATCAACCGCAATTGTTATGGCGTCGTCGTGAGTGTCGGTCTTGTAAAAACTCTTAACTGAGACGAGATCCGCGCTGTGAATTCTCATGCAGAACCTTCGATATGTCGCGATATTCATCATGACATCGCTCAGTCATCATTGAGGCTCGTACGGCCGAGAATCCGGAGTAAAAAGAGGTGAAGGTTTCGTTACAACGAGGGAGGAAGTCCTTTGACGCGTATGTACAGATCGCGTATTTTCGATTTGTCCGACTTCGGCATTTCGATCACATGGCAAGTCGTTAGTAAAATTCGGCTTCTTCGTCAACGAAACGTTCCTCGTTTATTTTATGATTTATTAAGCGTCATTGAAACCGGCGCGATTTTTAGGTTCGGATTTGCATGCCATAGACACGCAAAAGTAATCTCTATTTTACTCGTGAAATATGATCGTCAGCAAAACGCATTTTTTTCCATGTCTTGAATTCTAGACTATTTGACTCGGTCATTTCGTGTCGTTAATTATTAATGCAACTTTGACGTACATGTTAAAGTGTGTGTCAAAAAATTTGTAACACGTGCTCGTAAAGAAATATGTTTATATGGATATTATATAATAAAAAACTAGCCGTCCTCAAAAATCAATATGTAGTACATTTTGTAGTTTCCTTCGTACTGAGATTTCCTTCTTTTATCCAGAAATTAATTCATATTTACACATATGAGTAATTAATCCCTAAAACCGGAGAAGCCGATTTTCTAGATTAGTTAATTCTAGATCACTTTAGCATATATCGAACAGCTTATCAGTTCTAAATATATCCGATTTCTGAATATTAACTAAAAGTAATTTATGTGGAAAATTGTTATGCTGGAGTCGGGAATCATAAATATTCTTAATTTATTAAAAATTCGATACATTTGTCAACAATACACTTCACGCATTAAACCGCTATTTACATTGCATCTTAAGAAATTAACTCAATTCGTGAACGGATAGATCACTTTTTTGCCGTCGTCTAACGGGTGTATCTTAAGCACGGCGGGTCTCGGCGAATTTCGGCGTTTGTACCATCGGTATCCCATCCGTAGAGTTAAGAAGTAGATGATTTCCATGAACGACAAAAAGCTGAAGCCCAGGAAGAGACCCAACAAGCCACCTGTGCTTGCTGTAAAACGTATTTATGATTTTTTTATTTTAATTGCCATTGAGATAAGATGCTTACACAGGAATTCGATGAATCCAAAAAGTTCATTTTTCACGTATTTCGTGAATTGGGAATCCACGAAGAATAAGTGAACTACCGCCATATTTTCCCTGTGTAAGAAATTTCAAGAATTAAGTATCACATAAATTACAAAGAAATATATTAAAATTTACTGCAAAGTAAATAGGCGCTTGTAAATGTGCACTTTAACGAATGCATAGTTTTAAAAAGCCCAATTTTAACTATGAATTTGATTTTTTTTTGCAAAAAGAAACCATTGATTATAAATTTTTTAAAATTAACATTAAATTTGTGATAACATAATGAATATTTCGATGGATAAATATTCCTTCTGATAGTCTACTTATATATTTTTTGAACACCTCCTGCATATTCAGGAGTCTAAATGTCAACCTGTTGCGTTCTTTTATTCGCATTAATGAGCATTTACTGCGACTTTTGCCATTTTATTCGCGTCAAATCGAATTTAATTACGTAAAATAATTCATGTTCTTCTTCACGTATCGTTTATCGATGTTAAAAGACGATAATAGCTTGTTCTGGGAAAGTTCGGTTCTATAGTTAATCTCGAAGCAGCCTGGCCAGCAGTTGCAACTACTCGGCCTGTAACAAAAAAATTTCATTAGTGATTATATTATTTTCTCCTCGCTAGCAAAATCTGATTAAAAATTCTGAGCTCACATTGTAACGTTTAGCGTAATCGTTAATTCACTCTCGTCGTAGAGTTTGTTTTCCATGGCTCGTCGAGCGCGTTTAGCGCATTGTTCGTCCCGTTTGCCGCATATCGGCGTTTTCGATGATTCTGGAAATAACATTGTTACAGATAGACAAAAATAAAATTTTGCCACCTTATGAAAAAGAGACTTACTCTACTTTTTCGCGTTTCTAGTTAGACGTTGGCTTAATCGGACAGTTTTTTCGAATTTTTCGATAAGAATAAAAGAAAAATCTAAAAAAAACTTTCTGATCAACTCAATATTAATATATGTGATAACAATTTTAAAGATAGTATTTTTAATTCTGGAATGCAGTTTTTAATAACTTTTATAAATATATTTTTTATTAAATATTAAATGATACTCTTTTCTTTTTTATCTAAAAAAAAATACATGATTTTCTGTTTCATAAATTCATCAAGATTAAATATTTTTGTTTAATAATTTTTTTAATTTATCAGGAGATCTTGAAGAAGGCTAGTGATAATTACTTGGCATGTAATACTGCACACAGTTGCAGATCGTCTGCGTAAAGTTCGCCTCGCACTCCAGAATGCAGTTCCTCTGTGTATACGTTCGGTAGTACCTGAGCTTCCTCTCGGACGTGAAGAAGCACTTCCGTTTTTTTTTCGGTATGGAAACTATCGACGGACTGGCGTACGATAATCGTGGTCTTATGATCACGCGGGTCTCCTCGCCCGGCGTGATCGAGAACGCGAAATCGGCGATCTTCGGTGTCTCCACAGGACTGTGGAGCAACATCTATAAAATCAGTCATTGTTTAGCATAATCATTTCATTAGAAAATAACTTTGTCTCTGTAGACAAAATTTCTTCTAGATGTCTTCACAATCGATGTCTGAAAAAATAATTGAAGTTGTATCTCTACGAAAATAATTTAAATTCTCAACTTGCAACGGAGAAGCTCGTTGTTTATTAATCATGTTTTTTAGACGAATATTCCTGAGATCATCTTGTGGCATTCAAAGTTTTGCTTATGAGCGTGAAATAAAGAGGGGGAGTAGGAAAAAGGATTTTCGTAGCGAAAGGACGCACCTTGAAGCCCGCGCCAGCGGTCGACGAGCAATAATACTCATCCGCTTCCACGTCAAGGACCAAAGTCAAGCCATAAAACAGTCCAGCGCCGTACGGTCTCCACGGCACAACATCCGCCGGCATATCCTTATATCCATCTTCAGCGTTCCAATCGATGCTAGTGGATGGATATGTTATGTTCATTTCAGGCCAGTCGCGTCTAAAATGTCATTAACGCGGATCAAAAACTGACACACTTAACGATTAGAAGCCAAATTTTCGATTATAAAATGTATTTGGCTATTTATTAATTTCATAATTGATCGAACTCGATTAATCGAGCTTTACTCACGCGTTATAGAAGAGATACTTTTTGTTCACCGAATTGAAATTGCAACAAATGCCCTCGTCGGTCATAGTGGGATTAAAAATCTTCTCGCAATCCGTCTGATTCCCGACCCAAGCGCAAAAATATAACATATCTGTGCACGACTGAGATACCTGAGCAACAGAATAAGAAGAATTGAGGTAAAATCTCAATTATCAATTTTAGTTGAAAAACATGATTTTAATTCTCATAATTATTTTAATTGTTATTTCTCAATAAATGTGTAAATAGTACTATGTACATTGATCATAAATGGATACACCCGGCTCCATTCTATTTCTTGCTCCTCGTTGTCGTAAGTTATGTTGCTTTCCGAATTGCAGAAATCTTCCACCAATAGTTGGTCCAACCTGTCGAAGCTGACAAAGAAATCAGCGAAAGCAACGGCTCGCATTAATCGAATAATAACGCGATCGTAATTATTATGTTAATAATAATTTATCATTGATGTTGTACACTTTACCTACGTTCGATCCGTTTTGCTTCACTTTTCTTGACATTGTTCATATTGCATATCGTCACGGAAGGAAATGGAAATTCGTTAAGGGAAACGGGCTCGGGACTCAAGGAAATGATAATGGGAGCAGAGTTCAACTTCTGATAAAGATACCATATATAATATACAGCCGTTGCGAACGCGGCAGTGAACGACAATATCCAGAAAATTCTAGAACAAATTTTTAATACTAGTGCATTGCCATCTTAGAATTTTGCACAGTAAACAATTACAAATTTTATAATTTGTGCGTATTATTTCATTATACTATATATGTAATAATACGCGCAGAAAACTTTTTCTTTTTTTTTTAATTTCTGTAGCTTCGTGTAATCTCTATTTTGCATAATTCTAATTCTGTAGAGAGCTGCGTAGATCAAAGTACTCACTAAGTAATAATGTTTTCAGATTTCTATACAGATCTTACCTTTCTACAATTGATAGTTCCGGATCACCGACATAACGCAAACCGTGAAGGCTGCTGTTCGCACAATATTGCTTGAGGAGCTCAAGGAATTTTGCGAGCATTGAGTACTTCTTTTTCTTCGGTCTGGGAACCGCAATAATTAGACAAAGGTATAAATGGACGTTTCTTTTTTTAAAAGAACATATTTACCTTTCGGGTTTCTCATTCTCTTGTTCGATGTTTTTATTTGGGACTGGTTCCCTTGGTATAAGCAAATTATTGTTATATCTCGATCTCAATGTGAAATCTTGCGATCGATACATATCCTGAACATAATTAAGTTTACTGATATTTATTTTTGCCTATGGCTTTCCACAATTTTCATTTTATGTGCATTCATTAATTACAATCCAAAGAAATAAAAACGCATAACAAAACACTTGGAAGTTAAATATGTCAATAAGAAACATTAACTTCGTTAAATAGTTATAAAGAAAATTTTTTTATTAAATTGATGAATTATTTTTTTGAACATACGAGTTCGAATAAAAACTGAACATACAATTTTAATTGATGATGCATATTTTATGGACAAAGTGATAAATGAGGCATTATGCATTGTATGCCTCATTTATCACTTTGTCCATAACACATACAATGCGATTCACACAAATGCTTTCACATACACACAAGATATTGAAAGATGAAAAATATTTTATTTGAAATTTTTCCTTTTTAGACGGTATCCTACCTTCGAATGATCCCGAGATGCAAATCCTTCCAATCGCTGAGGCGGCCTATAGGGATTCTGCAGGTGTACAGTGTTGATGGAATACGGCAGGGTGGAATTGTTGGCATTCAGGTAACCAAGCGATACTTTATCGGCGGTATTGTAGTAATTCTCTTTCCCGATGTCCGCGGTGTTGCGGCTGGAGGCTCGCGCCGGCATCACATTCGCGTCAACACGCTTCAAATGAGCGATATCAGACGTTTTACCGATGATGTGCGTTAAAATTCGCGCATCGTTCCATGGATTGAAAGTCGACTTCCTCTTTTTTAGATTCGAAATTGATGAATCCTCCATTTCACAGTCAGTGTCTTTCAATCCATTATAATCACAGTATTTCACATTGAATCTTACCTTCTTTGACTATTTTATCAAATAACAAATTTTTTTTCTTGATAGAAATTGTTTTAATTAATGAATGTTCAAAGATATTAATTTGTATTTATGTTTTTATACAAGATTTGGCTATCTATTATCGCACTTTTTTTTGTACAAAAACTATTGATTGAGAATTTTAATAATAAACAAGGATATTTCTCTTGGTGGCTATCCAAGTATGTTAATCATTCTCGACTCATAAAATTTTTCCTCCGGTTTTAATGAGTCCCGCTACCTTTATCACATACAACTCGAAGCGAATCGCCGTCAGTTTTGTAAGACAATACTGTCGCCTGATTACGCGACGGATAAAGCTCCCCCAACCCTGTCACGAAGCTTTTTCAAACTATCCCTGAAGACAGCTGACAGTTGACTGAGGCGTGCAACAATAGCGGCAAACTTCCAACTTTGGCGATACGGTGCTCATACCGCAACCCTCATACTCGTGTGCGTGCGCGCGCCCATGATCTTCCAAGATAAATGGACATTATTATTCCAATGTTTCCACACTAATAAAGCGTCATATGCGACATGATCGCAAACGGACTGAAAGGGTTTCAAGTTTTTTTTAATCTTTTGTAGAAAATCTTTAGTTACTTTAATTAATTGATGGTTTGATAAATTTAAATAAAAATTTTTTTTTAATAAAAATTTCTCGATAAACTCAGTTCGTGAATTTTACTCGAAATTTTATTATCAATTTCAAGAAAATTGGTTCCTAAGGGATCATATTTTTTGCGACGTACGTGACGTGTCCTAATAGTAATCTTTTTTGAATTAGCTGTTCAATGTTATTTTTGTTGACATGAAAAAAAACCTAGTAAACGTCACTTGAAAGCATAATTATGCTAAAATAACAGGAAATTGACGGCTTATCTTTGACCATTGTCTTTATGCGTGGAATCTCATGTTTTAAATTGAGACATAAAAGCGATATATGTACCTCGACAAATACTGTATATTTATAGTGCGATCCAATGCTCCAATTAGAATTGCGTTTTACATTGCCTTCAGTGTTACGGTCGTGACAAATGCGCTATAAATAAATAAATAGGGTATATTTGCGAAGAAACGTTTTCGAGGAAATGAGACATCAAGTTTATAGACATTACAGGGCCACTTTATTTTTATTTGATCGGAAATAAGCGTTTTATCGAGTGCGAATCGCGTGCTGGATGATCACGCGAAAGCATTTATTTTCCTTCAACCGACACTTTTCTCGAAAAGCTATCGTATGCAAAATGTAGTTGCGGCGTGCTGTAATGGTGCATCCGGCTTATCGCTTTATTACAGAAGCATAAGTACACGAGAATTTATTATCATCATCGTATTGAACATGCTAGAGACAATATCACTGATGCAAAGCAGGATAGATCGATGGGACGTGTATAAAAATGCATAAAACAAACAATTATGCATTGTTATGCGTTTTAGCGGCGATGTAACAAACGAGACTAGATCTCTTTTTGCGCGATTGCTATCCTTAAGCAAAGATGACATTAGTTAATAAAAACGACCGTGAATAAGCATGTTTTTTACGTCACTTTATTAGCACGGAATTTTTCATTCCGCATTGTTTTGAAATAAAATTGATGCCATTAATCATGATTTCTCCTTCTACTTTTACAACGTTGCTTGAATTGCGCTAGGAAATATGCTCCGTAATATATTTGTACAACATAATTTCCTTCTAATTGAATTTTAATGTTGTTGTAGCACAAAATAATGCTGAAGAACTACAAGTGATATATGAAACAGCCAGGAGACCGATAGTTTCGAGATAGTTTCGTACAACATTAATGTATAATAAGACAAAATGATTACGAGTTTGTCCGGCGGTGGAAGTGTTTCGTGACCGTCGCCTCTCTAATGGATCGTCTCAGCGTAATTACAAGACAAACATTCGTGTTATCCTTATCGATGTTTAGCGGCACCTCACGCGAGTCGCCGATGGTCGTACCTTGAAACGAAATGTATCCCCCTCCTCGCAGCCCGCCAACCGGCGATGATGCGTTTGTACGAAACAGCGAAAGCAATTTGCTCGATGGACATCAGCAATTCATCATCACGCTTTGATTTATCTAAGTTGATGGCTCGAATATGTCAATTACGTAGGCTAGTCACGGGGGATTAATTAATCTTTTATTCATGAAACCCCGGCCGCTGATTAATGAACAATATTTCGCGACAGAAACTGCTAAATAATTCACACGAATTATGCGGGAATTATTTTGGGGAGGGAATATTATTTCGTAAAAATGTGAGCAATTAGACGAAGCTGCACACTTTAAATGGAGAAACCTTGGCGAGCAATAGCAAGGTCGAGTCTTTTCCAAGATAATACTCTTTATACAGCGGCGCTATTAGGTCACCATCGTTTGTTCTGCGCTGACGATGTCATGAACGACGATAATGATTATGCGGAGAGACGCGCTTTTTAAATACACACGTGATTCTATGAACGCAATTAATGGCATAGAATTGTCCAAAATTAAAATTATGAAAATTCCGACGGCAGTGAACTGTGATGTTCCACGGCATTTCGTCTCGTCGTCGACAATTTAATTAATAATTATCTCGTCGGATTATGTATCGATTCGCGGGAGAGAGCGCAGTAGATCTCGGACTCTGAGCTCTGATAAAGCGAGTGATTAATTGGCGGAATGGCGGTATTTATCTTTATTTGAAGAATTAACCATGCATGCGCAATGGATCGGCGAAAACAGAATTGATATGTAGTGCTAATTAGTTTAGCGTTGTCGATTTGATTTTTGGATAATACTTTATTTGTTGCAGGCAAAATGTCGCGCAGAGGCAGGAAGCGGAAAGTGGAGAAGGAAGAGCCAAAGGTAAACGATGGGGATCAGGACAATTTTTTCCCCGACGAGACGAGAGCGGAGATGGAAACGATGTGGGAGGTAATTTAAATCATCCGCAATTGATCATTCGTCGAATTTTCAGGCTTGTGAAAAAATATCTCTCGCAATTATAATAATTTCTTTCAGATACCACAAATTTCTCACTTTCTTCATCTGGCGCGGGAGTCCCTCAGTATACCTCAACTGTCTATATACGAAATGGAGAGGATGCTGTCAATGCCAGGAGCCTCGAAGCAGCTGGCAAACATTATGACGTGTTTGCTGAGGTTATTATTTTAAATTCGATATTCCAAGTTTGACAAAAAGATTTACGAATGCAAGACGATTGCTTTTAATTGCAGTTCACCAATCACCAAAGCAAAACTGCGTAAAATACCGCCGATGCCGTATGAATTTTGGACCAACATTCTCGCGCACAAGATGAACAGCTGGTTCAAAGTTTATCACGCGAAGCACAAAGATGCAACCAAAGTACGTATTTCCGCAAGTTTGTGTTGCAAACCGATAATCGTCATTTATGGCTTTATGTTAAATGTTACAGTGTTTTAAACATACACACATGCATAACAGCGTGCACCACAGTGATCAGAGATGTGAACAAAGATTTTTAGGTTCTAGAGACCATCGGCGTCGAATCAGAATTTTGGAATCTCTTCCCCGACGTCTTGTGTCTCAACGGCAAGGACTTTGAAGATCTGACTTTCAAACAGAGAGTTTGGCTGCTGAAAACCGTCTGTGATACTATCATGGTGAGTTTGCAGTAAAGTATTAGTATTCTAGAAACACGAAACCATGATATTAAACTGTCGTTTAATTTTTCAAGCATACACGAAAAACAGTTCAGGAAGATATAGCAAAGCAACCGTGGGAGGACCAATTTGAAACAGTTTTAGGAGTTGATCGTTACGGAGCGAGATACATTTATTTTCCGCAATTTATGCCGAATGATCTCCGAATTTACAGGCATTCTTTGGACAATAAAATCCTATCGACTGTCAAGGTATTCGCTTATTCCCCTGAAACTTTTAAAACTTGAAATATATTTTTGGAAAAATAATAAAAATACATGTTGTAATTTTTGTGCAATTTTGCCCATCGTAGAATAAATTTGTAATCATATGTGTTAGAATGAATATTACGCTTTATAATATCTAATTTAAAAAATTTGTCAGATGAACAGAATGGTATTAAAATCTTTACTAAATATAATTTTTTAAACAATTTAATTGCTCAGTGCATAAAATTATGTATGGAAAAATAAATTTTTTATCTCACGTTGCAGTCTGTCAAATCAAATCAAGAGACGGAAACCATCAAGTTAATTAACGCGAGGTTGACTAGATACAAACAAAAGAAATTGCAGTCTTGCAATAATTCATCTGAACGCAGATCGAGCAGGCGCAATTGCAAAATCGAGGATAAGGATCTTAATAGCTACAAATGCAATAACGATAGCACCGCAAGTTCGTTTATCAGCGAGGATACGAATTTGAGTAGTACCAGCACATACAGTAATAACAATAATATAAGTTTGGACACCTTAAAGAGAAAGCGTTCCAGAAGTCTGTCGAAAACGTCCGAGGAAAGCACGCTGTCCAACGCGAGGTCGTCCAGCGGCTACGACACCAACACATCCGGTGATAACAAATCTATCTGCACGTCGCCGCAGATGTTCAAGGGTTTCACTAACGCTCAGAACGACCATAGCAAAATAGAATTGATCAATGAAATATTAGACGATCTGAAGTCGGAGATCAACGAAGAGAAGAATACGAACGAATATAAGAGCAACAATAATAGGGAATCGCAAGAAAACTTCATAGAATCATATAAAACAGGTTCCTGTAACGAAACTTTAGTTGCGGAAAGAAGCGAGAATGAGAAATTAGGTGATAATTTGTCCAGCAGCTCGAAAACGGACGATGAGAAACTGAACGAAATAATTAGTGCCGAGAGTTGCAAGCTGTCTGAGGATTTATATCTCAAAAATGTCTGCAACAATGACAATGTGAGTGACATTTCAACGTCGACGTCCAAGTCGGATGACGAGAAGTTGAGCGAAACGAAAACAAGTGATATTAGCATGAATAAAGATAGTTTAACTGAAGTAGTGACGCCTCACAAGTCGTATCGCGCGTCTTCTAGCGATAGTGAAAAAATAGCCGAGCGTAAAGATTCGAGAGAAGCTTCTACGTCGCCGATAGAGTCAGAATCCAAACATCTTGTTCCAGAAAGAAACTTGAGGAAGAGAACAAGACTGCGGACTCGACATAGAACGGCGCAGCACAACGAAGAAAGCAAACCCGAAGCGGAAGAAGATAATAAAACGAGTGAGGCGGATAAAAAAAATTTGTCCGCAAGCGAGATGCGACTGCAGGAAGACGTGGAAGACAACTTGGACGACGACACAAACAGCTTAGATTACAATTCGCAAGGAACCAAGGATCCGAAGACAGAGGAGCACAAGCGACATTTCAACAAGATGCTGTCCGACCTTAGTGTTTCCGAGTTTCAACTAGTAGTCGACAGCGTGGGAGGATTGAGAGATCTCATTGCTAGTTTTGAGAATTCGAAAAACAATAATGCCAACAGCGTAAGTTTGACAAGAGGTTTGTTCGCGTCGCAATACTTCAACGTGCTCCTACTTGTTCTAATACGCTTCAATTTCTAGTATACGTAACGTAATATTATAGATTGGAGCGAGTAAGAGCATGTTGGAGCAACGCGATGCTGACAAATCTAAGATTATCGATTTCATTGAGAATATTTCGCAACTTATTTGCTAAGAAAACTCCGTTGCGCTTACAGGCGGAAGTTTATCCTCCTTGTGAAGTCAAGCTGGTGGAAAAGCTGACTGAATTACTAAAGTCGCTAGAACCGGTAGAAATGACTTTGAAGGATTCGACGCGGAAAGCGAAAGCTAAACTTCAAAGAGAATGGTCCAACTTCAAGGAGGGGTACGTATGGCGACACGTTTTTACGCACTTTAATGCACAAAATAATTATAAGGCGTCATTTTTCACAATCTCATACATCATCACACATCGAAATGTTCATAGAAACGCAATTAAAAGTGCCAAAATCTCATACCGTTCGGTTTTGACGTTTTGGCATTAACGTAGATTGACGAAATTTCAATTAGCAATGAATTGCTTTCGATTGAAGTTTCAATTGGACGCCAATTGGCTTCAATATATATACATTCACTGAAATCAACATTGCGCATCTTTCACGCTTCTGTTTTTCATTGGAGAGTTCAAACCTGATGCTTCATGAAATTGCTACAATTCGTGTGTGATTTTTGACATGTGGCAGCCGACCACACTTTTTCCAGTAACATTAACTTCCGGCGTATTTTAACACTTTTTGTTGAGCGTGTATGGAGACAAGCTGGTGGTGTGTTGTAGCAGTGTGGAGGATCAGGATTCATCCGGTGAGGGTGGTCTCAGCTCTAATTGGTGGGTTCTTGGATCGCAGGGCAGGGATTCACTGTCAACTACCGGAGACGCAACGTTACAAGCGTTACCGCAACCTGCCCTATCCCCATTTGGTGCCCAAAACACGCAACAGCAGGCGCAACCAGTCAATAGCGAGCACGAGAGTGCGAGCAAAAACTGTTCCGAGCAAAGTCACAATGCGAGTGAGGAAACGAGCAACAAGCGGCAAGACAGAAACGAGGAAAAGCAGCCGGACGTCGGCGCGCCGTCGGGAAGAAATCAAGTCGAGGACAGAAGAGAGAAGCGGGAGGGCGAGGCGAACGAAGGCATGTCGAGCGGCAAAGGTTCGTCCGCCTCTATTTTCCATTCGGGTTTGTTTTGTATCTTTCTTCGCGCCGAAAACAACAATAAATATGTTTCCCGCAGATGAAGGACAACAGACGCGACGAGTGTTACGGGCGCGCGGTATCTCCTCCTACACAGAGCAATTATATTCCGATTGCGAGACCGAGGAGGACGAGCTGGAGGAATGGACCGACGTTGAGGCAGTCTATGCGGCTCCCGGCGCACAGGCCGATACATCCGCTTCTCACGCTACTCCAAAAGACCGACACGCTGACGACTGGTCGGACGAGGAGGACTCAGACCAAGATTGGATTCTACCGGGCTCTCGCAAAAGGAAAAATAAACGTCCGTGTGAGTGTTCCGTTGATAACAGATTTTTTTTCTTTGAAATCTATTTTTTACGTTGAAATATATCATTAAAATATATGATTGATAGAACACAAAGTCTAATATAATTCATTATCTTGTTTATTATTTTGTACACTTCGTATGCTAACTTTTATATACTGTTTCAGCCGCTAATCGCAGACTAAAATCGTTCCAACACAAGCTGCATAACATCACGGAAAATACGAACGACGCAGGGTCTAGTGTACCTCAACCTGACAATGTGAAAATTGTCAAGGATAAGTTTAAGGTTAAGCTCCAGGACAGCAAGGAGGTCGGAAAAGCGCAGAGAATCGACTCCGCGCAGGTCTCTGGCAACGTCGTCGCGCCTGCAACGAGCAAGAAGAATTCCAAGGCAGTGGTGTCTTCCACGAGCGCAATCTGCAAAATCGAATCCGTCAGTAGCGTGCACTCTGAGCTTGACATCAAGGACGAGGGTCCGATCTACGAGTCCAATCCGGCGAACAATTACGTGCAGAGCAACTACAACTCTCCGAATCCCCAGCAAAACTATTATTACGTGATATCGCCGCAGAATCCTGGAATCGCGGGAGGGAGTATCATACCGCAGGGATCCGCTCCGTTGATGCAGACGGTTCAGGGGGTCGCCCCGCTGCCGATTCAACAGAGCTACTACGTGCAGCCAAGCGTGCAGCAAAATTACGTGATCCAGAGTCCGACTTTTCTGCCCGCCCCTCAGCAGCAGCAGCAGCAGCAGCCTATATTTCAGCAGCAGGGCGGACTGCAGATAGTTTCGACCGACGTAAGAACGACGTACGTGAACAACAACGGTTACGTGCCCTATATGACCCATAATCCTCAGAATATGGGTCATCCGAGAGCGCAGAACAGATACAACCAGAACATCAATCCACCACGACCGATTTTGCCGTATCCTAATGGCGCGGTGATAAGAAGCAGCAGCGCGCCCATCCGGGGCGGTCGTCAAAGATTCATCAATCCGCAGCCCGCGAGAGGCATCGCTCCTCAGCAACGCATGCCGACTTCCAGAGCGACGGCGAGACAGAAAGCGGCGCAGATGTCCAGCGCGGAGAGCAGCGGCCAGAAGACCACATCTCTAATCGTGATTAGCGATAGCGATGACGAGATAGAGATGATCATCACGGAGAAATCTCCAGCTCCCGCGCAGAAAGCGAAAGAGACGAGCAGAGTTCGATCAGCGCCCGATGAAGACCAGTCGAGACAAAAACCTACGATCACCTCGGACATCACCGTCACGTCGGGAAAGACCGTCATACCGCCGCAGATCATTCAGCGAATGAACCAGGGCGGTATATCCATCACGCCTGTGAAGAACACTCCGCCGCCGCAGTCGGCGAATAGCAACACGCAGCTGGTGGTGGTCGTAAATGAGACCGGAAGTCACTACGCCTTGGCGCTGCCCAACGGCAGCAAGCTCATACTCACGCCGGAACAGGTGGCGCAAATCAGAGCGTCGAATGGAGGGAAATTGATCCTGTAAAGTGCGGAAGGCAGCGGTTGTCCGACTGCGCGAATCGCGCACATCTTCGCTTCTCAATTCGTCGCGATACGCGCGGTTGCACGACTTTATTTTGATATATCAGCTCGATTGTTAATTAGAATCGTTTCATGCATGCATATACGATCGTGCATTTAGGGAAAGTTGAAACAGAAAGAATTTTCTCTAATGTATTCATGTTTTTATAAATTAGAAACAGATCAATTTCTCTATACAATATTTTTCATTTATGTACAATTTCAGAAAAGTATTATTTCTTAGTTCTAGTTAATTCCCTTGTGCAATGTACAGTTTACGCGTTACCCCATTAAATATATATGGTACAACGTACTATATGTGAAGCATAACGGCATTGAAGTCATAGGTTCTATTAATTTTACGGGTACCTATCATTACAATAATCGTAATGCATAAGCTAGAGTATGTTAACGTCTCGACCTACAGATTTGTAAAGGATCAGAATTTAATGCGAAACACCATCGCAATATACATTTTAAAAAAATGAGAACATCGATTTATCTTATAATCGAAGGAATAAACGGATAATCGAATATTGGACGCACAAAAATTCACAATTGACTTTTAGTTTGTTGAACTACGATGATCGAGAAATATACTTTTAGCGGACATTAATTTTAAGTTTTACAAAAAGTATTGATGGTGCGCCGCGTAATGAACGAAGTGGTAATAAGACATTACTGAGAGATACATTATTGACTCGATAATACGCAATACGTTACTATAATGATAAATACGTAAATGATAGGATACATTAATATAAGTGAAAAATTTATTACTTGAAAAAATTATTAATTAGGCCTTTTGCTTTATACATACTTTATAACATTACAAATGTTAATATTAATCAACGACGGCAATTAATTGGACTTTACTGGAATCAAACCTTTATCACTATGCAATTCTAACGTTCAATATATATTTCTGTAATAAAATGCTACATTACAAATCACTGTAATTCCTTTACATTAGAAAACTATTCTTGAATATCATCTTAATAAATGTACTGGTACTTTGATCTACACGAAATGCATACTTTATTACGTATATCGTACTTTTTGATTTGCATTAATTGATTGACAGGTAACCGTGCAAAAACTTGGATAATACATTTCCTTGCAATATATTACTCTCTGCCTATATAAGTTACAAACAAAACACTTTACATATGTTACAAAAAAGTAATCACACTGCGCTTCGAAAGAGAAGGCGTTTGCACTTGCGTTAAACCGAGCAGGAACATTAAATCGTTTAACACAAATGCATTGTATCACGAGTGAGTGGTAACATAAATAAGCAATCAGCAGCAGGTCCCGGCCTGATCGACTGTACGAGATCAGGAAACAGCTCTCGTTAATTGGATTACAGGAACTCAGCGATATTCTTTTTAGTTGCAGAATTCTCATTCTATTCGCGCGGACGCAAATCCCCGCGTCGTCCTTGAACGCAGCTGCTTTCCTTTACACCTGATTCTTTTCTCGCGCATACGGCAAGTCTTTGTCGAAGGCCAAGAACTTGGACAAGCGTGTTCCGTTATAAGGCGTGTCACTTCCCGGCGGATGGAGCCGCATCTAAAACAAAGGCCGACGTTAGACAATTACGCGCACGACGATGTTAGCGGAAATAATTAATCCGTGTAATTTATATTTTCCTCTCGCACTTGAGATACTGATAATTAACTTTTTTTACTTATTTGAATTTAATCTGAAAGACTACGTACCACATGCTCCTGACTTTCGTTCCTCGATATCGTACGATAAAAATCGATGAAATAATTCAATATGATGAAAAATATTCTACAAAAATGTTTTATTTGTGTGCGTCTTGGAAGTAAAAATTTTTATACAGCGATGGAATATTTTACAGGTTGGTGGCAAATTTCTACCATTAACAGTTTTGTTCAGAAATTACACAATTAAATTTGGTCCTTTCGTTAATGAGATTCGTATTTAATTTTAAGTGCATTTGATTATTTCTTTCAGATTACTGTGAATTGTCAGTGAAATTTGATCAATTCAAGACAACGTCCCAACTAATCGTACTTAAGCATTATAAACTAACTGATGGCGGTGTGATTAATAACTTGCTAACTATCTGGATTCACGTTTGAAAGCAACAAACTTCCCGAAACGCAAAGGATTAATGATCAATTGCCCAGCTCCATTGCGGTTAGTTTTATTAATAATGTTATAAAAATTAATTCGAAGCTTAAACAATATAATATACTGATATTACTGTATCTCGTATTCTATGATAAATTCGTAGAAAAATTTGCACTATGGAGAATTAATTATTTTACGAGTATCATGTTTCTATTATTAATCTTTCACGACTTCTATTCAGTGCAACAGTGACTTGGCTATATTGTTTATCAAGAGTATGTGTGCAACGTGAAAAACTACTAATCATTGTTACATGAAGAAATGGACAATCGATTCAGGCAGTAACTACAAATTATCTACGTCGCCGTATTGAGTATTATTTTATAGTATTATTTTGTTCTGTGAATATATCGAGCTCTTCGAGCTACAATGTAGCGGCCCCAAGGCATTAGTAGTGGTGTGGCTTTGATTTTATTTGGGTTTGCGTGCGCGTGGATTTGCGGCCGTGCATCGTCATTCCCTGCTCTATTTCTTGTAGTCGACAACTTCCTCGATGTAGTCGATGTTGTCGATGGCTTTCGCATCCGGATTACTGATCCATCCGGATCGCTTCTGCAACGAGAAAAAAGACCGACACCAATCCGTTACACGCGGCGCTTTCCATGTTACGATGATGGCGTGAATGGAATAAAATATCTTTTTTGCAGTTAAAGGATTAATTCTTGATTCAATATGCAAGCTCACAGCGCGCTCTTCTCTCATTAATAATTAGCGGTAGCACCTTAACTAAATTAAATATCGAATAAATTTCAAAAACCTTACAAGAGAGCGATATTTTTTTATATATATATCTCTTATATAAACTTGCTTAAGGTATTCTACATTTATACATTATTTAATTTCGATTGATCGTGGATTTTTGTGTCCAGCAACTTTTACGTAAATTGATCTTGAATGAAACTCGACACTCACCATGATTCTGTACTTTTCCTTGCAAGCGTACTCGGTTTCGTCGACGTCGTTGTAACAATCACTTTTATAGTCCTCGGGTAACGGGCGACCCTCGAACTCGCAGAGCTTCCGAAGCGGCTGCGCCTTGACGAGCATCTTCTCAAAGCCGATCGGCTTGTGTTGCGGACAGTAAAACACGTCCGGGGTGTTTTTGTCGAAGACGATGCTCTTGCGCATTATATCACCGCATTGCACCGCGACGAGAAACGTCTATTGTAGGCATAAATACAAGAGATCCGTTAAAATAATTCGATTATTTTCCTTCAACATGGTTTTGTAAAAATGCCAAATTGTAAGTAAAACTAACTCCTATAAATCGCATGAAAATTATCTTCGTCTAATTTATTTTAGCCTATTTTTTATATTATCGCTAATTTCGAAAACTATAAAATTAAAAAATTGTACATTTGAGACATTGAAGAAAATTATATCTGATGCTTCACGATTAATATATATTTAATGCAAAATTATTCACGAGCTACGGAAGGATTGTTTTAATTTCATACTAGGAAGTTTCTCGCGCTCGTTTCGAGGATTAGCAATAATTATTCATGTGCTATTTTTCAGACAATTAATCGTGCGATTTCCTATCCGCCATAAATTGTCGGCGCTTCATCTTTCCATAGAAATTCCCGGCCTAATGGCGTGCGCACGGAGAGAATAATCGGCTTCCGGTAGCAGGAGACGTAGAAAAATGCATTCGTTGAGTACACGCGTCTCACAGCAAATGAAAGTCCAAGCACTTACGGCGAGTACGACGAGCAGGCTGCAGATGTAAATGTTCCCTGCAAAAGACGAAGTAAAAAGCTGAGTCAGCGCGGAAAAATCAGCTGCGCAATATGGTCTACTATATACAATGGGAAAAAAATAGAGAAAGGATCCGGAATATTTACCGGAGCAACTGGTCTTGCGCAAATAAATCTCGCAATTTTCTGTCGATAAAGAATATGTCGAGGACAAGAATATAGCGTTGAATAATTTCTGCTAAAATTTTTTTGTTCGCTCTAATTATCGCTATTTATTCGCTATATTTATTCAATTGGCTAAACGGAGTATTTATTTGTTTAATATTAATAAAATTAACACATATATAAAAGAGTTCTCAAAAACTGTGTTTTAAAGACGAATATACGTGAAAAGATGTAATCAACATGAATTTTCTTTCAGTTAACGTAGGTATTAATTAGCAAAATAATTAAAGCAATTTTTAATGAGACAAGAGATAGCAAAAGATAGTGATGCAAATTAATGCAAATCAGTACATAACGCCACAAGTGGAACTGATTTGTGCTAAAGATTGGTTAAAGAGAAAAGTTTCTCGATGTGCAACTCTTGACCAGAAAATATCTCTTTTGTCTCCCACTTGCTTTTTCAATTTAATATTAAATTCTAAAGATGATTACATTCTAAACGTGGTCACACGATCAGATAAATGTGAAATAATGGAGGGAAATTTTTAAATCGCTTCTGTTGATTTTGAACTAAGCGAATTATTCAAATAATTAAGTAACAATTGAGTAATTTAATTGCTTAATTATATAAAGAACTTATTTTTTTATAGTTTATGCGGTATTAGATATCTCGTTTACGATCGTATGAGCCTTCAGAGCTGTTCGTAAATTAAAATCTAGATTTGAATAAAGTCCTCTAGTAATAGTCATATAATTACGATTATGACCCTCGATAAAAAAGTGACGTACGGATCTTCTTTCCATCTCGCAAGCCAATTAGCATAGACGCGTTTCCACACTTTCGATTCTAGGTCAGTGTTTACCGTCGCGAGGCGTATCTTTTTTTTCGCATCGCACGAGCCTTTGCACACGTATCGTTTTTCACGGCCAACGGCCAGAGTCGGCTGCGAAGCGTCACGAAAGGTTTCTCTTATTTCACGCTGACCCAAAATTAATTCGAAGCGTCTCGGCTTTTTGACATTAGCCGCGCGGCCCACGGGACTTTCTCCGTCGTTTGCGCAACGCGCAATTGTCGAGATTTATGTGACAATTGAGTAACGCGTGGCGCGAATTTGCACTAATGCATCGACTGCAACCGCCTGTGAACCAGGATGTGTTGTACCGCGCGTTCCCGAAATAGAGGGAGGTGAATGACCTCTTGAACCAATGGACTTCTACTTCGGAAACACTCTGTACATTGTATCCTGGTTCCAACGGGCAGTCGACGCATTGGAGTAAATTCGCTGATTCCTATAAATCTACACAAAATTCAAAACACAGAGCGTGTTATTCCACTGTTCTTAAAAGAACACAGAACAGTTCATCTCGATAAATAGGAAACGAAGAATCATATCGCTAATGTTGATAGATGAAGCACAGGATTGCGTAACGTTTAAATGCACCAGGTTGCAGTTGAGCATGACATTTTCACCACGAAAGATTTATCCGTGGCATTTCGTACAGCATCCACGGATCAAATAATAATTGCGGCATTTAATTGCCAAGGTTCTCTATTTTCTTCCTTTCCTACATTCCAATTTTCCTAACACTTGCAGTTCGACGGATATGTACTTTTTTCTCTGACTGTTCTTTTTTTCGCAGCTCGAGATATATAATTTAAACTTACATGTACAGAATGTTTTACATTCATCGTATATCCTTTCATCTATATGGACTTCACATGTTTGAAATAATTAATGTCAGACATGAAGGTGTTAATCAAGAAAGCGTCTAAGAGATATCTCTAATATTTCTGATATTCTAAGCTAGATTAAAATTACTGGATTGTAATAAACTTTCGAGATACTTATGTTTTAATCGGGTAATAATATCAGAAATCAGAAAACATCTAAAAAATGTATAAAAGTGTAGAAAAAGAATTAAGATATTCTTTTTACATTTTTTTAAATATTCTAGAAATATAACTTTCAAATTATTATTCATCGCACGGTAATATCGAAAAATCAAAATTATATTAAAAATATTTAATAGACGTCTGAGAAAAAGCACAGGATTCTTTTCCAACATTTTTAAAAACATCTTTTAAAAAATTTCTGACATTCGGCTGTAAAAATTGATCGAACGTAGTAAAACTTGTTTAAATTTAGATACTGCACAGCGGGAATTCTAAGGATCTAAGATCGTTCTCCGCGGTGAACAAGGCAGGATTCCAACGCAACGCGTCGCGAGGTCGCGAGATCCGCGAAACGCGATATTTTGTTATCCGATGTTCGATCCATTTTATCAGATGATAGTAGCGTAAATGTCAAAAAGGGGCCGGGCTAATTATGAGTCACCTGAGTCGCGCTCGACTTACCCATGCTGTTGTCGGGCGACGGACGTACGTTCGCACCTGTTGATCCTCACAACACGGCGTCTCCTCGTCGACTGAACCGCTACCTCCTCCCCGCTCGAAGGCCGCCCGTTAGATAGCATGGACAGTGACTATAAACCCAATTCTGGGGCCTTACGCACAAAGAGACCACAAAATGAACGATAATAATGAAATAATATGACAATTAATAAGTGTAAAAAATATGATATTGCAGTAATTAAATTTAAAATAATATTACAATAATTAAAAAAAGTAGTACATTATTATTATAATCAATTTTATATTTCTTTTTATATAAAGAACGATGTTAAATAATATCTATCTTAGTATCAATGTGTGTTAGTAAAACTTTTACCTGTAATTTCCATAAAATAGTTTAAATAATTAAATATTTCTTGAGATAAGTAGGTGTATGATAATCTAAGGGCCTTAGAATGTCTTGATTCATCGCTGGATACAAGATGCTTCAAATGCAGGAATCCCACGTTTCACAGACAATCGGCGACACACCGCGCCGGATCTCTGCCCTTTTATAGATGTAGGATGAATCGTCCAGCGTCATCTCGCGAATCAAGTCAAATGAAATAATTGAAGAGCCAAATGGATGAAGGCGGTACGTTGTAAAAGCAAATTTGTAAACATATTGCACACTTGTAATTTTCTTAAATAAAATTTCAATTTTTCTCTCAAATAGATTTAAAATCATCACTTCTCAACTATAAGTTTTATTAAACATTGTTAAAATGTTTAAAATGTTTACTGACGTAAAAGTTGTAAGATGTAACGCGTTACTTTTGCCTATTTAGTTCTGCGTGCAATAATATCTTATTCAATTAAATGTATACCGCAATGTTACGTCGACGAATTTTTGGTAAATTGAAGATGGAAAAAAAAGGTAGGCGTTATGTGGGTGAGCAGACTCGACTTTGCCTTATTCAGTCGGCGATAGTGTCATCGTTACACTTGGCACAAAGAGATATCGAAAAATACGAAACTACTGCAAAATTATATAATATACATTTCTCAGTGAAATATTGATACATTGCATTCTTATTGAAATATAAAGTTTTTGCAAAATATTCAAACATAATTAATCACTCTGTTAATTCTATTCGTGTATAAAAAATATATCAACATATATTTTTCACACTGTATGATAAAAAATATGCAATATTCAAAAAATAAAGCTACAATACACGATCACCAAAATAGACGTTGCCAGCAACGTCTTACGCATCATCCATCTGTAATAATATTTATATTTAAAAAAAAATACAATCAGATAAAGTATGCGAAGATTTGTGTACTTACAACTTTATCAAAATCAAAATCGCATATATCATTTATCTTCATATTGTTCGATTCATCGTCGTCGTCTTCATCAATATTCTTCTCCTCTTCTTTGGCTGATTGCGTTGTGAGCGTGTCGCCGTTATTGTCAGATTGTGTGTTATCTTCCTCTCTTGACCGTCCGCGTCTAAAAGAACATACATTTATTAAAACAGTAATTTGTATTGAGTTTCTTCTGATTATTTCAATTTTGTTTGAGAAAAAATGATGAAGTGAGAAGAATACTCGCTTCTTAGCTTTAAGAGGTTTCTTTTTCTCCAAAGAGAACAAATCTTTGATCCTTTCTGCCACCGGTTTGCATTTCTCTCTCACAAACTCGGGTTGCTCTAACAGATTTTTTATATCATCGGCAACAGGCGGTAATGGCTTGTCCGGATTAAGCGCACGAGCTGATAACATGTCCCACATATGTTGCGCTCCAGGATCCGGCATGTAGCCTGGCAAATATTTTTCACTCTCGCCAGTTGCATCATCATCACTGCAGAAAAAATAAAATAAAAAATATTAATATTGTGTATTCATCGAGAATTAAATGTAAGCAATATATATAAATATATTTACGCATCGGGCAATTCTAAAGACGTTAACAAGTCATCCATAGCATCACTTTGTTCCTTCGACAGTTGCTTCATCATAAATTTCAATGGTCTCTGCGCTATTGCACCGTAATCTCGCTCGAATGGCAGACCGATCTCAATAAAACACTGTTACAAAAACATTATCAACATAATTACTCGGTTAACGATAGCGAGATAAGAACAGTTGAAGAAAATATTTTTACCCAAGGTTCATTCGGTACATCGGTGCTTGGAAATAATGCCACCATGTTAGCCTCCAAATTTTTCCTGTAGACCTTCTCCACTATAGCAACTACCTTCTTCTCAACCATAGCTCTCATCAAGCTATAAAACGGCGCGCTTGCCGACTGTAAGAAATTTCTTATTTATTGTTATTGAATTTTAAAGCTACTAAATGCTACAAAAATAATCTTGTCACTTTACCTCGTTAGCAGGTACAATAATGTACGAGCCATCTGATAGCCAGTACTCCATAGGAACATTTTCCCGTGCAGTAAAACCGTGTATCTTATAACATCTCTCACTAGTTTTGGGAGTCATGAACTCTTTAACCTCATCTGCAATCGATACATTAATCGTTTAAATCTATATTATGTAAAGTAAAATATATTGTAAATTTGAATATAAATTACTTGAAACAGGAATAGCTTTGCCACCGTACACGTAACCACGGATTGTATCGTCTTTTGTGTGAACAGTCCGATTATTGTCCGTCCATTGTACGGCTTTTTTAATTTGTTGATCAGACGTATCGGATGTACCGATCTTAGCCATGGATACCATTTGCGGTAATTTTGCTTCAGTCGGCATCTTGTAACATAAACAAAATGTAATATGTGTACAAAAATTTGTAATTAATTATTTTATCTACATAAAAGAGCTTTACTTTAGAAATCCCAATAATTGGTATGTGAAAGTCACCTAACTCCATGAGACAAGACCAAGGCATTGGTTTAGTCGATGGCCGTTTGTAGAAACGTACATCAAACATAGTGTGTTCAAAAGTATAATACTGTCCATCAATCTAAAGAAAAAAATTAATTTCAAATAAAGAAATATTATATATGCAATGTTTCTCTTACAAGCATTATTCAGCAAATCTCCACTTGTTTGAATTACCTCTTGCAGAACATCCATAAGTAATACTTCACTAGCTGTTTGAGAGTCCTTATCTGTATTATTCAGTGCTCTTTCTCCACTGCAAGATATCATACAATTTTTATTCAAATTTTTAATGAGCATCTTTTAGCAAAAGTCAAAAAAATTAATTCAACATACATTGCTATAAGCAAAACGTTCTCTGAACTTAATGTACTTGCGATATCATCTGCTTGGAATTGACTTACAATGTCCTCATCCTCATTGAAATCAGACAGCAAGATTATTTTCCTTTCAGAATTGTCTCTGAAATAAAAAACCTAAATTTATTTATGTATTAACAAAAAATTAATACTGCACCTAATCATACTTACACACATTCCTGTTTCATATATTCGACTGCAGGATAAATTGCCTCCATCCAGGAACAACTCTGATTTGTGGTTTCCAATTTCTCAATGCTTTCTATTAAATCCCAGTTTCCAACTTGCATATTGCATAACTTTTGTACATTATCCGATCCTGAACCCATCAACATCACTCCTACTTCATCCTTTGGGCGTAGAAGAATCTAGACAATGGTTATGTCAAAAATTTATAAAAATATGAATACAAGAATAGAAATATCATTAATAATGTAAGAAAAAGAAATATACCTTCTTTTTAATAATATGTTTCATGATATACTTTGCTTTATCTAATAACCGAGAATTGCTTTGTGTGCCATGACGTACAGTCCCCACATTCACAAGAAAAGTTAGATTTTCCTAAAAACACAGAATATATAAAGATTCTGATTTATACTCCTAGACATTGCTTCATAAAATTTATTGAATACTAAATTTTCCTATAAAATACATAATTTTTTTGTACTTGACATCTGATATTCCAAATTAACTTATCACATTTTCTCAAAAAGAGATCTTTAAAAAAAGGAAATATTTAATGTTGATGTGTAAGGAAATATGAATACAACCTTTATTTTCTTCGGCGGCATTTTTTGCGATTGTTAACTCTCACTGAGTTTGTAATAAAAACAATTATTTATGGAACGCAATTCTCCTGATTCTTATCCGACGTACCGGTAATATCAATTCAAACGTCAAAAGTCTAACCTGCGACGTGGCACGTAATAAGATTGCTACAGTCACGGTGTGCTATGTAATGTATATCAAATTTAACTTCCGTCCAGCTAAAAATCGGGTGATGGTAACGATAATTTTATTTGTCCACTGAAAGACATATTGTCACATGGTTGATCAATTTCGAATAAAATATAAAAATGGTACTTTTAAACGCACAATTTATACTGTTAATAAACTTGGGTTTATTGTCCATACATACTAGTGTAGGAGAAAATAAATACTCGGCCGAAGCGAACAAACCTAAACATGTAGACTCTTCGCAATTTCCAACTTCTCTCAGAGACTTGGATAAACCATTTAGAATGGCCAAATTAAATATACTTTGGGCTAAAGCGAAGAACGTAAGTAATCGATTGCTTAAAGATTAAAATTAAAAATAATATGAGTTTTCCTCTTTACTTTAGCGTCTGACAGATACTAAGCTGCAATCAATCTTCAGTGACCTGAAGATTCATGATAAGGAGGAAATCGCATACAAGCATTTCAAATCTGATGGAAAAGATCCTGATGGCTTAGAAGAAGCACGCCTGAGGAAGAAACTCATTGGTAATTTTGTATTATATTGTTACTTTTATTTATTCTACTGTACTGAATGTCACTGATGTAACTTTTTATTTTATTAAAGGAATAATGAGCACATATGGTATACTGGAACATTTCGCTGAGACAGAAGATCCAAAATTACTTAAAATTCACAAAGCACTGAATGATGGCAGCAATTATGCTGCAAAGGATATGTTTGATGATAAAAGATTGAACAAATTGTGGGCTAAAGCTGAAATGGCTGGTTTTACTGGTATGTTTATTTTTTATCAATAGAAAAATAGCTGTCTACACATTGCATATATATCATATATATGCTTATATTCTAGATGAAGAGCTTGATGCTTTAAAGCAAGAATTCCAACATCATCAAGACAAAGTGGATGAATACAAGAGCTTATTGAAAGAACAGTCAGGAGATGCAGAAAAAGCAGAAAGTTAGTATTGCACATATAAGTAAAATATATAGATTATTTGGTTTTTATATTTTATGTGTATATATTATACCTAACATTTTTAGATGTCCTGCATCTTAAACCAGAAAGCTGGAATGTATTAGAAGAAGAAGAGGAATTATCTAATAATATACCAAATCAGAAGTTAAACCACATGGAAAAGGCAAATTTACTTCGGTATATATGTCAAAATATTTTATACATATTTATGAATCACAGTTTTTATTATTGTATCTATTTCAGTGAAAAACATTTGGAGATAAGAAATGGATTTGATCGCTTAGATAGGCTTGCTGCAAAAGGACCAAATCATAGAGAGTTCACAGAACCTAAAGTACAAGGATTATGGAGAATTGCATTAGAAGCAAAATTCTCTTCTGAAGAGCTAGCATCCTTAAAGGTAAGATATAATTCAGTCTCACAGATTTTCTCTTCATATATAGTTGTAGCAATAATAAGTTTCATGTTAAACTGCAATCAAATTAATTTTATTTTTCTAAGAAAACGGTTAATAAAATTTTTTAATATTTCTGTAAATAAATTGAATGCGGGTTGATGATTTCGTTAATTCCATTTTATGGAAATATATGCTATGTTGCAGGAAGAACTACTGCACTATGAAGGAAGATTACTTAAACTGCGACATCTGCACGCTGAAGGAGCTCTGGAAGCAGCCCAAAGAGGGCAACTCCACGATTTAGAGAATTCAACTGCAGAACAACATATAAAGAAACATATTAGAACCGTGCAGAAACTTCACACGGATCTAGAAACCAAAATCATGCAGAAACATACAGAATTGTAATTAAGGTAAATGTGCCATTGACAAAATATTAAAATATATACAATTTATTCAATATAAATAAAATACTTAAAAAAGATACAATAAATAACAAAATGTATAAAAATGTTTAAAATTGATAATTTGTTAACACTTTGTTAAAAATAATTTTGATAAATATCTAATAAACCATTAAATTTATACAAATTGTTGAGATATGTAATATATATGTTGATGGTTTTTGACATTTTCTTAAAAATAATTTTGATAAATGTCTAATAAACCATTAAATTTATATAAATTATTGAGATATATAACGTATTATAACAGAATCTCTCTTACAAACGATATATGAACAAACTATAGGGAACTGTTTTATTTTTACCTAAGGCGAGTACATAAAAAATGGAAGAGTGTGTTTGTTGCTCGAGTACATTTGTAATATTATTAACAATTAAATTATTAGCATTATGAATCAGTATTAGATTATAAACCAGTTGCGAGTTTACTATTATTAGCCTTTTTTTTTTCTTTTGATTTCCCTTGATCCTTCGATCCGACTAGTCTCTCGCATTCGCACCAAGGTGTGCTTGATTTATCACATAGCAACGAAATGTTAATTACCGTTAAAGAAGTGTCTGATATAGTCATCTTAATTGTATCTAGTATTTTATACGAGACATTATTCAAACCAGTCTGTCTATCTCGCTTTCTAGTGACTTCGCGTTGATTATAACACTTTGTCATATCTCTCTTCCTATGATTTCTGTCATGTATATGCCTGTAATAGATACCATATGTCTAATAACTGCCAAATTCAAGTATCAAATATTTTATTCTGCAGCTTGCGATAAACACATCGATATTTTTCCAATAAAATGATACTCACTTGAATGTATCATGTGTGCCTGTTGATACATTTTGAGGCCGACTGACGCTTAAACCAGCTTCTTTCAGTCTAACATAGAACTCGTCATCCTCGAGACCCCATCCCCAGTATTTATTGGACATTCCGTTCACTTGTATGAAATGTTCTCTAAAATGTGAAAATATGCACATGGATTGTTAATATCACAATATTTTATTAGCATACTTTTCGTCATGATTAAAAATGTACCTTTTAATAAGTAGTATGCCACCAATGAAGGTGAAGTAATGATAACGGGGATGTAAGTCTGGTGATGATATATGATGAGGTCCTGCACTTGGATATGCATACGACAATTGATCGTTCATAGGCAATAAATCTACATCGTGCATCGCGATATAATCAAATGCTTTCTCCGTTTCGAGGAAGCCTACATTTATAAGAGATGCTCTATTAAATCTGTACCTATCCACCTAAAAAGATGCAATGTATATGAAATATTCAAATAATTAATATTTATTAATTTCTTCTGTATATTTTTATAAATACCTGATTTAATACAAATATGTGATAATCTATATTCTGCTTGTCTAAAAATTTCTGCATATGTGGTACAAACATTAGCAACTCCTCAAAACGATCCCTAAATGGCACCAGTATGGCTAATTGATGCACAGATCTCTTCTTACTAATCTCATCAGCCGCCTGCTTGAGATGTTGACCTGATTGCACATTTGCTTCGCACTTGCACTCATCTGAAAGAAAAATATCACACACACACACACACACACACACATTTAAAGAATCCGCTTTAAAATGCAATTTTTTTTATATACCAATGACTAACCAATATTGATAGGCGATATGCTGATTATGCAAGATGTGATAAAGGTGATCAAGATGCAAGCGAAGATATATTTAAATCTTATGCTTTTCCATATATTATCCATGCTGAGTAATCTTTGTGTAAGAATCTCGTAAAACATGAGATATATACATTAAATTATACTGTTTTTATTGGTTTCACCAATATTTCTCAATATAATTTTTTCTTTCTTTCTTTGAAATCTTTTCATATTTTTCTCTTATTGTTTTCAGAGAATCGTTTGTCGCGCTAGTTCGAACGACTGAATCTCTCATGTTCGTGCAAAATGTACACATCTCCGGTGAACTGGCGAGCATCATATATCTGTGCATGCGACTCGTTTCTTATTGTATCACGATATTTCAATGATATTATATCACATATTAAATCAAAACTGCCAAGATTCGTATTGTTCATGTTATTTTGCGACTGCTCGTGGCATATTCGCTGCCACAAATCGACAATTCGCAAATTTTCAATCAACCTGGATCACTTTGCACTACTGTTAGGTTGCTTGCACCGATTCGCACGTTCGTGCACTTGCAGTGTTCTGAAATTAACCGAAAGTAATGCAAGATTCACAATTTAATAAAAAAATTTCTAGGGATTAATATAGTGTTAAATAAAATTGTCGTAAAGCGCGTTCATTTATTGGATACCGAATGTCGGACGCAGTATGAAGCTTGCATAAGGAAAGGCAGTTAAAACGAACATACTCTGCAGCGTCGGTCCTGCTCATTCTATCCTCGTTTAATGAATGGATTACGTCACGCTCTGTGTATGCTTGGGTGTAGCTCTGGTGCAGCTGGAAGAGTCATGTTAAGGGTGTTGTCTACATAATTGATTCAAACAATGTTTAAAGGAAAAATGCGGCCCGAAAATTATGCGATACTGGTGTTCTTGTGCAGTTTTACGTTCCACGAAATTCATGGTACTACGAATTTATTTTTATTAACGTTATAAATGTGAAATTAACGCCACAGAACCGCGTTTTGCTCTCTGCAATGCACGTCAAGTTGTGAACAGTTTTTCTTTACAAACTTTAATAATTTCTAAAATAATCACACAAAATTAAATAAATTATGATTTTGCGCTATTATAATTACAACATTTGATCACATCAATTTATTTATGTTATGAAGGATATTAGGATATAGCATGCTTAAATATTTTTAATTGCTAATTGTTAATTAATTATTTACAGGTCAGCGATATACTCAATACAACCAAAACAATCCGTACAATCCGTACAATCCATACAATCCATACAATTCATACAATCCATACAGTCAACACAGCAATATCACATGGTGCACTATCTCCAATGCTGAGCAGTACAAATGTACAAATTTTTCTATGGCAGTCGAGCGTGAAAAAGCCTTCTTTGGTGAAAACTATTTCAAGGTGATTTGCAAGCAAGCTTTCAACAAGGAAGAATGTATGAGTTTGGTGGAGAACGAAGATGCAAAGATAACATCATTAGATGCTGGAGAGGTCTTTGTAGGTGGAAGATATCACAGTCTCATACCGATAATGCAAGAGTTAGATCTGAATCGTGTGAAATATCAATACGCTGTTGCGGTGGTTAAAAAAGGCTCTCTGCCCGATGTACAAACTTTGCACGATCTTAAAGGCAAGAAGGCCTGTTTTGCTGGCGTAGGAACATTAGCAGGTTGGGTTCTTCCTATTAATATTGTAAGTAAAAGAAAAATAAATTTTATCATAATCAAATCCTTTGTTCTAATGTGTTTATATATATAAAATGTGTTTGTTCAGCTTATGAAGTATGGAGGAATGGACATTACTGATTGTAACAATCATGTGCAGACAACGGTTAACTTCTTTGGGCCTAGCTGTGCGGTAAATTCATTGATTGATAAATATAATCCACTTGGTAAGTTTAAGATGACAAAAACATCATAAAAAAAATAGATATACATTTCTATCTTATAATTGTAATCTGTAAAATCAATCACAGGTGATAATTCCGATCAGCTATGCCGTCTATGCATTGGGAAAGTACCTGGTCAAAAGTGCACGAATCAAGATCCTTATTCAGGATACGGGGGAGCCTTCCGCTGCTTAGTTGAAGCAGGCGACATTGCCTTCTTAATACATACAACTGTACAAGAAATGACTTCAACGACGTTTGATTTCAGTATGTAGTTAACTTTACGAAGAAAACTTTAAGAGAAGACAACAAAGTATTTATCTAATTTTTGTTATTAGCCGCTTTGAGGAAGGAACAATTTGAGCTACTGTGCAGAGACGGCACTCGCAGATCCGTGGACGAGTACAAAACCTGCAATTGGGGCACAGTGCCATCTCGCGCGATAGTCACGTCTTCCGCGGTTAACTTCGAAGATATTAAAAAATACCAACAATTTCTTTTGCAAGCAGCACAAATATTCAACAAGAACAAAATTGGCACAGCAGACTACAATAAAGATAATAAAGATAATAATAGAGGATTCAACAATCCAAATGAATATAGCATAGACTGGGACAATCGTAACGGGTACAATCGAAGCTTTGGTAGCGATGGCAGAATCAATGACACATATACAAACAACAATTATAACATAAACAACAATTATAACACAAACAACAATTATAACACAAACAACAATTATAACAACAACTTTCCCAGAAACTACAATGAGTCTGTGCAAGTACGACCGATAGAAGTATTTGATTTGTACGAATCGGCGCCCAGATATGGAAAACAGCACAATTTAATGTTTTCTGTAAGACAATACGAATTGTTTATTCACTTTGTTATTATTTATTCTGATTTATCGCATACACGTATTATTATTCCAGGATTCTACAATCGATTTTCAAAAACTGCCTGAAGAAGAGCAAACGTACGGAAAATACTTGGGCAAAGCTTTAGACCTTATATTGGGAATACGTCATTGCCCCGTAAATCGGATGATATTGTGCGTTACGTCCCAGCCGGAAATGGACAAATGTTTAAAAATGAAAGTACGATATAAGCTACATATTTCACAAGAAGAAAACTGCTTATATCGCTTTAAGAATTGTTTAAATATCATCAAATGTTGCAGACTGCCTTAAGATCCCAGCTCTTGAAACCAGACTTGGATTGTCGCAAAAGTCACAGTCAGATAAAATGCATGGAATCAATACATAACGGGTGTGTAAAAAAATATGTATAAAATACACATTGTATTTAAGTGTATAAATTATATGTGCATTAATCTTTTTTTTTTTTTTTTAGTAGAGTCCGATATAGCTGTATTAGACGCCAGTGATGTGTATACTGCTGGATTGAACTACAATCTGATTCCGTTTATGTCCGAAGTATATAATCTCGAAACACCAGATTATTATGTCGTCGCCGTTGCCAAAGAAGAGGACGACAACACAGATCTCACGTACCTTAAGGACAAAAACACCTGTCACCCTGGAATCAACATGGCTGCGGGCTGGGTTTATCCATTGGCGCATCTTATCTCTAATAGTTTGATCAGAGGATACGGCTGTGATTCCGTGCGCGCCGCCGCCGAATACTTCAGCAAATCTTGCGTGCCAGGCGCGCTTAGTACCGAGTACAATATAGGTGACTGAAATTATGTACTTCAAATTGCTGACTGAAAAAAAAAATTCTAAATCAGTATATCAACAGTTTAAAAGTAACAAAAACCTTAGAAGAATCTTCTGTAGGAAAAATGATTTCTATCGAGCTCTTCTCATCTGTTATTTTATTACAGGTGTGCCTTACGATAACATGTGCGATTTATGCCATGGAGTGAGCCAGAGATACTGCCGAAGAGACGCTTCCGAAGATTACTTTGGTTATACAGGTGCTTTTAGATGTTTGGTGGAGGGAGGCGGGGACGTGGCCTTCGTGAAACACACGACGGTCGCGGAGAACACCGACGGCAAGCGCAAAGAGTTCTGGGCGCGCAATACCTTCACGAAGGACTTCGAACTGCTATGTATGGACGGCACGCGTCGCCCTACCTCGGATTATAAGAACTGCAACTTGGGCAAGGTGGCCGCTAACGCTATAGTCACGCGTGGCGATTATTACGGCTACAACGATAAGCAGATTAACGCGTACATCAATCTGCTCACATACGCGCAACAATTCTACGGCCGGAAGGAACAGGACGAGTTCAGCTTCAGCATGTATTACAGCCTGCCGCCCTACAGCGATCTCATCTTCCAAGACGCTACCCAAAAGTTGATAGTCATCCCGCCGGAGAAGCGGGAGTACAGCGCGTATCTCGGACAAGATTTTATGAGAGCTAGGAGAGTCGTGGATTGCCACGCTGGCGCCTCCGCTGTAAGCTATTCAGTATTTGCCACGATAGTTATGATCATTTTCACTTTTGCATTTGGTAGATAAATATCAAGATTTATGACAAGATCTGCACGAATACGCGAAAAATTCGTGTTGAGATTACCAATGAAACACAAGGATCTGTTAAATAAGAGATCTAGTACAGTATGTTTGATCACATATTGGCAGCATAGTAGATTTTCTCGCTGTAACATAAGCTAGCACTAACATTATATATGAGGCATATTCTAAATATTAGTCAAACGTTGTTTTATACATATTTTACAAGTGTAACTTAGCAGTACAAATGACTGAAAGATAGAGTTCAATATATAAATTCCGTGCCTTTGTGTCCGTCCAACGGAGGTTGAACCTCTAAACATATCCGTCCAAATACGATATAAATTGAGAACATTCAGATAATTTTAAGAATTATACATTTTAATAATTTGATATATGTATATTTTATATACACCGTCCACATTAATGTTTTTATATTAAATAAATTTAATATTGAATAAAGTTTATAAAGAATTTTCAGAATAAGACTTCGTTATTCCACATGTAATGCAATGAAATAATTGTCTTAAGAAAAGAATTGATAAGTAAATTACTTATTTGACCGGGCTTCTCATATTTACGTTAAAAAATATTAAAATTTTGAATAATAAAGCGCTAAAAATAGATTTAAAAAACTGCTTTGAAATTATAATTGAATAACGGACGTAAAAAAGAACCACTGCTTTGGCTGACAAGAAATTTGCACACGAAAAACTTACATTTAAACAAAAATTTTTCATGTTTAAAATTTGTTATCCGCTGCATAATTCAAATAATGCAATTTCAACTGAAAGATATTGCATATAAACGTATAGAATATCTTTTTTATACCTTTGCATTTTCTGAGATATAAAATAAAAATCTCTATCAAATTATACAAAAAAAACTACTAAAATAAAAGACAAATTAAAGTTTTATCTGTTTCATGCTATCTTTCTAAATTATATTAGGTTTTTCCCACAATGAGGAAAATATGGTTTATGTTACACTTAAAGTGTAATATAAACCATATTTTTTTCTTCGATACGTGATAATACAGAGATGGTGATAAATTTATCACGAAACGAAAATGTTACGAACTGTGACCGTGGAAGATAATGGTATTTTTGCGAGAAGCGCTTTATATACAAGTGCACTTCTCTCGCCACGATATAACGGTAATTATTACTTCATCTCGATTTAAAGTCTCGTACGTGTGTAAATCTAAATTACAAAGTTATGCGTGACCTCGCGTATGTGTGTAAAATGTAAGTGTGGTATACTGAGATTTCCTGGAAAAGTAATTACAGTCCGCGCGCACGTCTTCCCTCTCGCAGACGGGTATAAAAGGCCTTACGTCGCCCTTGAAGTTATTAGTACTCGCCGGTGCAAAGCACGTATACTACTTAATCGGTTTAACTCTGTTTTGCGTGCGTAAATTTCCTGCTCGCATCAGGCTCGGTTAGTGCGAGCTACTTTCCGCTATCATGAAACGTTTGTTCCTCATCGTCTTGAACATCGTCGCTGTGTTCGCCGACAACAATTCCACCGAGGAACATGTAGTGACAGCACCGATTGGGAAAATTCGTGGTTCCACCTTGACATCCAGACTTGGCAAAACAATCTACGCCTTCCGCGGTGTGAGATACGCCGAGCCGCCAACCGGACAGCAACGTTTCCAAGTAAAGTATTAAATATTGCAACTGGATATTTAATAATAATACCGTTAAAACTTATACTGTACCGTTAAAAACTCATTGTGTAAAGTGCATTTGCATTTATAATTAATAAACGTAATAAATTACCGCAAATTTGCGTAACCGCAATTTAGCGGTAATTTAGCGTAACCGATAAAAAGACAAGATCTACTGTGATATAACAAGTAATAAATACATAAAAATTATTTCGCAAATAGTTTAAGTAAATTTTAAAATAAATTACAACATAAAGGATAATATTATTTTGTTCTGGCGAATATTATTTTTACTTTCTTAATTCTGTTTCTTTTAGGTCGCAATTCCAGCGGCAGATTGGAGCGACGTTTTCGATGCGACCAAGGAAGGACCCGCCTGCCCGGCAATAGGTGTGGAGAATATCATGGAGGATTGTCTTCGCGTGAACGTTTACACGACAAAAGTGAGTAATTGAGCATGTATTCTCTCGCTGAAACATATAAATTTACTAATTAAACAATTCTCTCCCTAGTTACCGTCATTGAGCGAGCCTGTAAAGAAACCTGTGCTGGTATTCTTCCATCCCGGTGCTTTTTACATCTTCTCCGGTCAAAGCTCTAACTACGGACCTCAATATTTGCTAGACAAAGATATCGTTCTCGTCACTGTAAACAATCGTATGGGATCATTAGGTAAATTTCCGGCAATCACGTTCTTGATCATTTCAAATACGAGCGATAAAAAGTCGCCCAAAGAAATAAAAAAAAAAAGAATACAGATCAAATAATAATATCTTATCGCTCATCATTAAAAAATACGTTTTTACCTGAAGAAAAAATTGTGTTTATCCTTTTTAGGCTTTCTAAGCACCGGCGACTCGATAGCACCCGGAAACTTGGGCATGAAGGATCAGGTCGTAGCGCTTCGATGGGTGCAGCGAAACATAGCCGCCTTCGGTGGCGATCCTCACAGCGTCACTATATCCGGTTATAGCATCGGTGGATTCAGCGTGTTGCTGCACATGGTCTCGCCGATGTCCAAGGGATTGTTCCATCGGGCTATCATGATGAGTGGCTCGATGACGATGGAACCGTATCCGACGAACCAGACGAACTTGGCAAAGAAGCAAGCTGAGCTACTGAACTGCCCAACCGACACCACGGGCGCTATGCTAGTTTGCTTGAACTCCAAACCAGTGGAAGACTTCACGAACACCATGCCGAAATTCTTTGTAAGTGGAGAGAATATTATACTTACGTAAAACAAAGCTTAATAAATGAAAAATAATTATTAATAATCTAATAAAAAGTAATTTTTTTTTTATGAAAGAATAGAATATCAGGTAGAATAAGTAATAGTATAGAAATATTGCAGACTAAATAGTAATTTTGTACAATAAAGATATCTTTCATTTTTGAACAATTAAATAAGAAAATAAGAGAGATTTGAGATATAAAAATGAAGAACTCTTACACGTTTCAGGAGTGGTATGGTCACCCGCTGCTGTTATGGTCAGCAGTAGTAGAACCTGAAGTTCACGGTGTGGAAAGATTTTTGCCCGAGCAGCCTGTTGATCTTATTAAAAAAGGGCAATTCCAAAAGGTCCCATTAATCGCAGGAGCCACTAAAGACGAGTTCGGCGGCGCTGTCGCTTGTACGAATTTATCTACAACTTCTATGTTTTAAATTAATCATTAAATATAAATTAAATAATTGCTGAAATTGATTAATATATAAGCTAACATAATTTGATTGGTTCTAGACGTCGTAAAACAGCATGCGCTCGGAAATGATTCATACATTAACGAGTTGAACAACGACTGGTACAAACTCGCGCCCATAAATTTCATTTATTCGCGCGACACACCCGATTCCAGAAACATAAGTACCGAATTGCGGCAGTTTTACTTTGGCGACCAACCGATCGGCCCGAACAATTACGAGGGTCTCGGCGAAGTTTGTACATTTTTATAAACAATATTTATATTATTAATTATTGACGCGTTGCGTCAAATATTGCCAAGTATTAATGCAACGTCATAGATAGATTTAATCATATTTAATCATATTTAATTTGTTGTATGATCGCGTATAACTATGTTTTGTATTCCAGATCAAAGCGGACATCGTATTAGCACCAATGCATCGCACTGTAAAATTACTCGCAGAAAACACTGATCAACCGATTTACTTTTATCTGTTTTCTTATCAAGGACGATACAGTTTTGTCACGTGGAACGATACTACGCCATACGGTATTATTTTTTGTTCTTATATTACTACTTGCAAGTTGAAATAGTTTTCTGCATACACACAGACACGATCTTTATCTGCCTTCTGAATAAATTATGGCCAATTCATTACTCATCTAATTATTTTCCAGGAGTGGTGCATCATGACGATTTGCAATATCTATTCTTCATGCAGATCAAATTTCCATTCTTCTCGAACGATGATCCGGAAATTCCTACGGTAGAACTTATGACGAATATGTGGTCGAATTTTGCGCAAACTGGACAGCCGGTATCTCCGGCTTTAGCGAACAACGTCACTTGGGAACCATACGACTTGGAAAAAGATAACTATTTAAATATCTCCGCGGTACCGAGAATGATGACTGGATTCTTTCCCGAAAGAATGCAAAAATGGGAAAGCTTGTTTCCTCTAAATTCGCAACAGGATCAGCATTAGTTTGATATGTTCGCGAGTTGTGATGAATTAGTGATCTGATTAAGTCATTAAGCAAAAGAATATGCTATAGTTGTGTTACTCGACAAATGCATTTATATCAGAATTTAAGAAAAGTTTCTTTTTTAATAAAAAGAAATGTTTCTTTATACTGCAATTTTTGTATATTATTTTTTATAAGGTATAAGTGACAAAATTATGATTGAGTAATATTGAATCAAATTATAAAACAATTAAAATGTTAGAAACAAGTTTGCCAGAAGGCGGCGACGTGTCCTGAACACATAGTCGCGGAGAACACAGATGGTGTGTCAAAGAATGCTTATCAAATGTGACTTTATCTTTAAACTGTTCAAATAATATCTTAAGAGAATAAATAAATAAATTATCTATTTAACCCGAGTTTTCTTATTATTTATCTAAAAAAAAGACTTACAACACACATTAAAGCTCGTTTCATATGACAAAGCGACGGAAATAAACTGAAACAGCTTTGAAATTACAATTGAATAACGAATGCAAAAAAAGATCATTGCTTTGGCTGTCAAAACTCATGTTAAATCTTATGTTTAGATCAAAATTTTTCAAGTTTACAATTTCCTATTCATTTTATAATTGAAATGATGTAATTTCAACTAAAACATTGCATATTAAAATATTTGATCAATCAGAAAACAAATCATTATTAAAGAAAAAATATAGTTTGTAACAGCGATATGAACAGTGATATTTTACCGTTGAATAAATCGAAATATAATGATCTAAAAAAGGGACATAATGCACAAATCCACAAACATGATTATCCGGACAATCTCCAAGTAATTATTTAAAATCGAAAATACAGAGTGTAACATTAATGTATGTGGCTGTGTATTTCAGACAATCGCTGGAGTATCCAATGCTCGAGTGCACGATAATTTAAATCAATCTACCAAACAAAAACAGAGATCAAATTCTAGCTCAACGCCGGTACCCCATACTTCGTCTACAAAAAATACTAATTCGATAGCAGGTAAAATTTTGCGAGTAATTTTAATTTATATCTAAGTTGATATTTTGTAAATAAAGTTGATATATTTAAATTAGTCGCTCGTAGATAATTAATTTTGTTCCGCGACTTGGACTTCCCAACATCGCAGCTGTGTAAATCACAAATTTTCAGGTAAACGTCAAACTTTTAAATTAATAGACAGCAAACAAGGAGCGTTGCAACAAGCTGATAAGAAGACTTTCCTCCTCGACACTTACGCCCGTATCGTCGCTAGCAATAATAGACGTTGTCCTAAACGATTGCGCGAACTTGCTAAACCGAAGAGACAAGCTCGCAACGATCAAAATGATTATTTTTCAAACTTTGAACCAAACTATCCCAACACAGCTAAAACTTATGGTGATAAAACTAAACGCACCTTGATAGAGTCAAAGAAGAAATAATATATTATTGTTAACAAAATATTTTATACAATTTCTCTGCAAAGTCGAACAAAAATTTAAGAAACTTTTACAAAAATGCTTAAGCAACGACTGAGAAAATTAGAATATCTTTTTTATAGATATGCATTTTCCGAGGTACAAATAATAAAAATCTTTTATTTTCCAAAATTATAAAAAAACCAATAAAATAATCAATTTTTAATTTTCTTCCTTTTTCTATTATCTCTCTAAACTATAATAGTTTCTCTATAATGAGGAAAATATGATTTATACCACTGCACTCACTATTGTTTGTATCGTTTAAAAAATTTATCTAAGAAAAATGAAAATGTTATAAACTGACCGTGAGAGATAAATGATATTTTTGCGGGAGGCGCGTTAACCACTGCACTTCTCGTCGCAAATGACATCATTAATTATTATTTCATCTAGATTTAAAATTCCATACATGTACGAATTAAAATTATAAAATCGCGCATGACCTCATCTATGCTGTGAAATACACTCAGATACAGTGATACTCAGATTTCCTGAAAAGGTAATTGCGGTTTGCGCGCGCGTCTTCCTCTTTGCGGACGGGTATAAAAAGCTTTATATCGCCCTTGAAATTTTCAGCTCACCGGTGCAAACGTACGGTACGTATATGCATCTAACCGGTTTAACTTGATTTTGCGTGCCTAAATTTCTTGCTCATATTAGGCTCGACAATTCAAGCCATCAACCAACTTCACGAACGCCATACAAATTTTTTGTAAGTGTAAAGAATATTTATACCTATATAAAACAAAGCTTTATAAATAAAAAATAATTATTAATAATTTAATTAAAGATAATTTTTTAATAAATTGGATAAAAAACGAGATAAAATAAACAATACTATTAGAGAATAATCGTAGAATAAAAGAGTACAATAGAGATGCATTTCGTTTTTAAACAATCAGATAAAATTTTAGATTGAAAAATGAAAAATACTTACATGTTCCAGGAAATGATTATAATCATCCGCTGTTGATGTAGTCAGGAATAGTAGAAGTTCACGGAGTAGAAAGATTTTTGCCCGAGCAATCTTTTGATCTTATTTCAAAAAGGAAAATTCGATAAAGTCCTTTTGATCAACTCGGCAGCGTGGTTGTAAGAAATTATTTTACGTAATTTCCAATTTCCAATTTTGAAATTAAAAATAATCATTCTGAGAATAAAACAAAAAAAAATCGATAAAATTAGAGAAATTATTAATATGTTAGCTAACATAATTTTGGTTGGGGCGATCTAGTCTAGTTTTGCGTCGCAAAACAGCACGCACTCGAAAATAATTCGTACATTAACGATTTGAACAAGTGGTACAAACTCACCTTTGTCAGTTTTAATTACGAACGTGACACGCCGTTCCAGAAATATAAGCACCGTTTGCGCCGGTTTTACTTTGACACTCAATCACTTGACCCGAACATTTTCAACGATCTTGTTGATATTTATACATTATTATAAACAATATTATTAAATTACATTAACGCGTTTATGCATCAAATATTGCAAAGTATTAATACAATAACATTGATTTAATAATATTACTGTAATTGGCGTATGTATCACATATAATTATTATTATAATTTCACATATAATTGTGTTTTGCGTTCCAAATCAAAACCGACTATATATTAACTCAAATGCATCGTGTACTATGAAATTAATCGCAGAAAACACAGATTAACCGATTTATTCTTACCTGTTTTCTTGTTAACAGTTTCGATACAGTTTCATGTAGAACGCCATACGATATTTTTTTATTCCTATATTACTTCTTACAAGTTGAAATAGTTTCCTGCACACACACCCACACTCTTTATTTGTCTTTTAATTAAATTGTGGCTAATTCATTATTTATCTTATTATTTTCCAGAAGAGTAGTGCACCACGACGGTTTGCAATATCTTCTTTATGTGGATCAAATTTCCATATTTCATAAATAATGACCCGAAAATTTCCATGGTAGAACTTATGACAAGCATGTAGTCAAACTTTGCGCAAACTGCGACTTTAGCAAACAACGTCATTTGGGAACCATATGTGCTGGAAAAAAAAAACTAAATATTTCAGCGGTATCGAAAATAACAACCAGTTCTTTTGCCAATAAAATGCAAAAATGTGAAAACTTGTTTCCTCTGAATTCGCAACAGAGATCGGTTTGATACCTAACATCAGTTCCGCAAGCTGTAATATATTAACAATAAATTGATACATGGTCCGTTAGACCATTAAGTAAAGTATGTCATGATTCTATTACTCGGTAAGTGCAATTATATCAGTTTAAAAAAAAATTTCTTCTTTTTTCCTAAACAAATATTTCTTTAAATTGCAATCCCTGCAAACTTATTTTTCTAAAAAGTATGGATAATAAGTGGCAAAATTATAATTAAATAAAATTGAGTTCAGTTTTAGAAAAGTATAATTAAAATGTTAAGTGCAGAAGGCCATTATTATATAATAAATGACAGAAGTTTTATAGAAGTTAATAAAAAAATATATATGTTTAAATCTTCGGATCTGATGGTTGCAGTTCCACCAGAGGCTCGCTTAATTCCCACAATTTTTTGCCTTTAGCAGGCTCTTTCACAGCATTAGACAGTCTGTGTTCCTGAAATAAATTTATGTAAAGTTTGAAAAAATATCCTGAAGAACTTTTAATTCAAAAACATTTAATATTAAATTTTAAAAAATCAAAGACTTGTATAATCAATGCATATTGCTGACTTTCAGAAAAAAATATTTACATATTTTATAACTTTAAAAAGTTGTTTCAGAGATTATACTTTAAAAATATAATTCTTACAGCACAATCCATGAAGTATCTTCCCGAAATGCCGTTGAGTTCTTGGGATACTGCGAGATGAATAGTTGTTTGCGCTCCTTGCTCGGGCGTCTTGAAGAATAGTTTGACTATAACGTGCACGAACCAAGACAACGGAATGGGTACATTTCGCCAGATTCCACTGTCTATCATTCCGGGATGCAGGCAATTCGCCGTTACTCCCGAGCCTTCTAATCGTCGCGCCAGCTCCAACGTGAAGACTATATCCGCATACTTTGACACGTAATACAAATACGCCGGCCAGGTTGATGTGGGATTGATGTTGTTGAGATTTAAACGCGCTAATCGATAAAGCTCTGACGCAACCACTATGATACGACTTGGTTTCGATCGTTTTAACAAGTCTGTAAAAAAATTTCCACATTCCACTATTCATTGAGAAATCATCGTTAAATAATATAATAATACTTTCATTTTTTGTACATGCATCAATTAACTAGGCGAGGTTGTCATTTTATTATAATGGTATGTTTTATTATTTATGAAGGCTTTACGCGCGCGCGCGCGTAAGTTAGGTAAAAAACTAAATAATTACTAAATACATACACATATATATACACGTATAATCATTTTGAATCATTTTATCATAAATTTCATCATTATTATTTTGAATTGCGTCAGACATCGATACACAATTTCAAATCAATAAAATGCTCTATATTGTACTATGTACGTATGAATATGTATTACATATGATATGTGTTATTGTAGGAGATAATTTATATTCATTTCAAACATATTTATTCCATGCGCATCAGCAAGGCAAATTGATTCATATATTCTTATTTTATTGCATGGCTTTATATTCTATGATTTCTTACCGATTAAAAGATGAGTCAACAAGAAAGGCCCGAAATAATTGGTACCCATAGTCATTTCCAATCCATCTACAGTCACCTGTTTCCGGAAAGCCCCTGCAGTTCCGGCATTATGAATCAACACGTCCAATCTGCTTTCCTCTTGATTTATTTGCCGCGCAAATTCTCTGACTGATTGCAACGATGACAAATCCAATTTGCGGACTACGATATTGCTGTTGCCCGACTCTTTTACAAACTCATCTGTGAATAAAAAAAACATAAATAAAGACAAGTAAAATTATTTATCAGAAAAAATATACATTAAAAAATGTCTATTTTTATAAATAAGTAAAACGTGCTATTTTTTATTTATTTAATGTCAGAATTAAAAAATAATAAACAAAAATTAATGATATTTTGCTTCAAGAATTTCAACAGAATATTATCCTTTGCATTTGTTTTAAATAAATTTAAATTGATTAAAACAAGTGTAAAAAATTGTATCTCCTTTTACATATCAGTCAATTATGTCGTTTATCCGATTTATGATTGTTAAACGCAGTGTATATTATAAAACAAACGATGCATCGTCGAACGAGGAAGTGCAGAAAATTGCAAGTAGCCTAGAAACTTTATGTAAATGTACATACATGATTATAAAAAACGCTTTGTTGAACGGCTAATTATAAACGATATTGTGCCGATGATTATACAGTATGTAAATCATTCAGCGAATTAATTACTATAAAATATACGTAAACATGCTATTAAAACATAATTGATTGAATAATAATTAAATAAATAACACTGCATCCTTTGCGTTTACATAAATTCAGTTTTCTGGAAAAATAGCCGAGTAGCCGTACAATAATAAAAATTTGTGAATAAAATATATAGAATAGTTCTATTCTCATTATGGCTGTTCCCATTCAACAATGTCTCATTAGAATAATCACATTAATGGAAAAACCTTTCAATCGATTAGCGGTATCCATGTTTCTGCATGCCATAATGACTCTCGCGCCTCTTTTGGCGAGATCTCTCGCGGTCTCCTTGCCAATACCGGAAGTGCATCCTGTGATGATCACCGTTTTTCCGTTCATTTGTCTTTTGCTCTTGCAGACGCCTGAACTGAAATAAGCGTAGAGACGAATGCCCACCAGCAGCAGACTCGCACCACCAAACACAATGCCCGTAGCCCAGCAAAGCAACGTTGTGCAAGGGATGCCACCAAATATCATATTATCTTAAACAAAACAAAATAAAAGTGTTAAGATTCCAAATAAAATAGGAGCGAATAAAATTCAACGTTAATTACATTAAAATATGCATATTATTACTTCTGCGTTATTTTCTGTTTAAAAATGGAAAGAAAAAAAAAAAAAACAAATCAATGTATTATACGATAAAACAATTAAGATTGCATTAAACTTGTGCTGGCTTTCGAAATGTTAATTTCTTAGCGAGTACACCTTATTATCGGTTTAGAAGAGAAAGCTTCAAGCGCATCTTCTTGGAACGAAGAATTCGCGGTCAACCTGCACATTTTTACACATCTCTAACTCAGCCGGAACATGAAAGTATAATGTCTGGATTCTCTCCGCCACTACACCTGTACTAAGGTCATTGACCATGTACAGTATGTCTAACAGAAACGGTATTTCGTTTCTCAAATTTATTTCAATAAATCTGAAAAAAATTACACCACCATATTATAGGTAAAAATGTAATACGCAACCACAGTAAGTCGTTCAATCGTTATTGTTATCAATAATAAATTGGCACGCTGCGGAAATGCCAAGCTTATGGACCGTTATAGCGACTGAACGACTTACATTTGGTGGTCGCATCACATTTTTATATGTAGTACATGTATAATTTTTTTCAGATTTATTTAAATAAATTTAATAAAAAAATCTGGTTGCGTTCTTTTTAGATATATCATGTAGTGTTTGTTAGAGACGTTGAAATTACTCTTTACAGTATAATTTCTAACCTATTTTAAAAATCTGGCAAATTAATAATTTTATTTGCGCGCAGAAGCATGCATGAGATTAAAATCAAGGTTTCGTGGAGTAAAAACTAATAAATTATGTTGTCAAGAATAATCAATATTTTTAGAATGCAGATAAACTTAAATAGCAAAAAGATAAAACTATTTAAAATATATACAATAATTTTAAACGAAATTATTTAATAAACTATAATATGCGTAATAGATGTAAGTTTTCATAACACAATATAAAACTTTTCATGTAAACACAATATAAAACTTTACGTCAAAGTTAGAGAAGAGTAATTTCAAGTTATAATAAGCAATTATTAATAATGTCCATGCTTATTATCAGTTATCACGCACAAGGCTACTAAATAGCGAAAGTATTGTAAATTATATATTTATGAAACTATAAAGTTGTTTAAGAACTATAAAGTTCATAAGAAGTAGTTTATAAGAATAGAATAGAAGTGGTTTATAAGAAGTAGTTCAACAATATATAGCATGACCTTAACGATATTGATGTAAAAAAACTACTTTTTTCACAAGAAAATGCTCATTAAAACACACATATGCACTTGAATTATTCCATGATTTCAATATTGTGTTGATCAAAAAACTTAATAGATCTGATTCTTAGAACTCATTAATCGATTAAAATACAAGTTATTAGAAAAAAATAATCTTATACACACTATGCAGCATAACTATTCAACGGATAAAACTGTCCAAACTGGACCTTGCTAAACTTGACACTGAAAGCAGCTTATTCGAACTCTCTTGGTATCTGCAGACTTCTCCCACTTTCTCCCAACCAGTTAGGGGACTACAAAGGCATTTCTCCTTTAAATTTAAATCGATCTTTAAACAACTCCGCCGCAAATTATACTAACTGAGGATTACAACTCAATTTATCAATTTATAGTGAAACATTCTTTTTGTATGCATATAATGTAAATTTATATTGTAATAATACAATAATTTTGCGACAATAGTTTTAATAATAATTTTACTCATCATTTTGATAGTTTTCTATTTTAAATTTTATTAATAAAAATATTGATTTCAATAATGTAATTAAAAATGCTTAAGATAATAAGATTTTTCACTATATTCTTATTTGTATTAATTCCGTAGAATGAGAGTAATTTTGTTGCACATCTGTATAATAAAAGCAAAGATAAAATATTAAAAAAAGTACAAGATAAAAATTAAGTTCGCAGTAATACTCACATTTACTGCAACTGTTTTGAAGTTTTCCAATATCTTGCGTGCCGTTATAATCCAAGTGTTGCACACTACTGATTCTAGGCTTTAGTCTTCGAGTGACCGAACTACTCCTTCCCCACCTTTTGCGGTCAACAATGATGAGAAAGTGATTGGAAGAGAGACCTTGTGATGCATAACTTTGATGTCGATTTTGTTTTTATCTCGATGAGTGAATCTGAGGAAACTAACAGATACATATTTTTATGAAATATTCTCTCAAATAACAAAACTAATTATTTATTATCTGATAGAATTATTAACGCAAGAATTGAAATAGGATTCAGTACATGAAAAATTGCAATACCTCTTGCTCCATTAAAAATCAGAATTTTTTTTAATAACCAGAGAGATTCATTGACTGTTTATTTAGTTAGAAAATTTCGGTTACTTGATAAATCAAAATATGCAAGTTAAATTTAATTTTCATAAAAATCTATTAAATTATGTCGTAATGAGAAGAGTAGTATTTTTACACACGCGATTTGTGATGTACATCATTAATTTCGTAATTTTTTTTCGCATTGCTACAAGTTTTTAATTTGTTTTGTTTTCGTGAAAATTGTGTGATCGTGAGCGCAATTTTGCATGAGCACTGCCTTTTGACGGCGATTTTGACGAACAATCTATTCCGATGGTATTTTGCAGAATTTGTGTTGTTAAGCTAGAAATACGTAAGTCTTTGAGTTTCATCGAGTTCTTTAAATATGTGATTTTATGATTTAATGTGGATATTATCTCTTCCTTTTCACGCAACTGCTGCTTCAACTCCGTATAGATTGCACATGAAATATTTTCGTCATTTACACTTTCAATACGCTCAGTTGCTATATCCACAAGTATGTTGCCTTTGAATGCGTTAAAAAATTTGTTAAATTTCCATCAATTATTTAATTCATGTGTGTATTAAATTGTTATATACAAATATCTCACTCTTACGTTTGCCAAAACGAGGAAATCTGCAGTAACTAATGATATTCCATATACGAAAAAAACAAGTAATCCAACTGAAAATGATAAATAGCCCTCGAAATCTTCTTAATTTCGATGAATTAAATTCACAAATTTCTTTATTGTCGGATTTTTGTGAGATTTCTGGGTCCAAATCAAGTTGTTTTGAATTATCGTCCATTGAATTGTCTACAATCTTTTTCTCTGTAAAGCATATATGTTTAAAAATAAACGACATTACTTGAAGAGTCGTAAAGTAACACAATTACTTGATATTTGTACGTTGATGCCTTCCATGTTAAATTTGAGCTTCGATTTATGTAATCGAAACTCTTCGCTATCTCTCAGAATTTTTATTTTCAGTTCTAACAACAACTTCTCGATTGCACCTTGAGATGCGTTTGCTAGATGATGGATTGTGTCCTTGTTTAATTTCATGTCAATTTTTGTGAGCACTTTTCGATTCAGTGTATTCCAATTCTCCTTCTTAGTGTTGTAATTATTTGCTGGCACATAATTGTGTAGTTCCACATATCGCGGATAATAGAACTTCAGAATCTCCGCCATAAGAACTATTGCAAATATACAATAAGTAAAAAAATAAAAGAACATTTAAGATATGGAACTCTTTCATACTACTTACAGGATTAAAATGTATGTGTCATTTTACTTTTTGACTTTTTCTCGCAGCTGAATTTATCGATTAAAAAAAAAGTAAAAAATGATGACATCGGAATAAAATCGATAATTACCAGCATCCGAAAAGTCCCTCGACAAATTTTTCACCTGTCTGGAGAAGGTAATCCCGTCGATCCATGCGTCAAGTTCCTTATCCGTTTCGTTTAGTGCCATGTCGCCGATCATTTTTCCTTCCTTCATCGATAATCGTTAATCACATTCCCAAATTAACTATTTTTTACGTTTCAATGTGTTGCGCGTATGACTTACAGAAGAATTTTGGAACATATTGCCATTTAGCTTCGATTGTAACATAAAATCGTTTATCAAAACTTACAAAATATAATACGTTATAAGTTATAACCAAGTACAAAATCTTCCTTTATTTTAAAACACATGTGAAGATAGCCAATCAATAAAAAAATTTCATGTAAATTAAATTTCTAGCGTCATGTTTTTATGTTATTAGGTTTCTCAGCGTGACTTTTCTAGGAACATTTTGCATGTAATGGTTGCTGTACCGTCAAGAATTCATGACAGACTTCATGATAGTAGTACTCGTGTAAAGTATTGTTGCAAGGTAATTGTCATGGCTTCGGAGCGGTATAGTTTTTCATTGACGACTTTTAGGTAAATACATTTACAGTAATATAATAATGGTGTGCGAATTATTGCAATCCGAAACAATGTCTGTATTTAAAATAAAGAAACAAGTACTATTAGGAATAAGTTTAATAGTAATCTAACCTCTAAACCGAGTTTACATTTAGCATATCCTTTAATTATTATGAATGAAAATTTATAGTTGAATTAGTGGCATTTTTTGCATATTAATGTTTTACTGTCAAACATATCAATAATCGCTTAATCTTGTTTGAAAAATATATGCTATTGAATAATACACATAACAGGATGACTAGTCAAATTGAGTGAGGTGTATGTGTCAAATGTAAAACTTGTGAAAAAACATTATATTATTTACAATATTTGAAATACAGAATTTATATTGAGTATCTTACAATGAACAATTGATGAACTTATGATGAAATGAATTGTATTTTATAGTCCGTCAGGCAAATTGGTGCAGATAGAATATGCCTTGGCTGCAGTAGCTGCTGGTGCACCAAGCGTGGGTATCAAAGCATTGAATGGCGTTGTTCTTGCCACGGAAAACAAGCACAAATCAATTCTTTATGATGAGCACAGTGTCAGTAAAGTAGAAATGATCACGAAGCATATTGGTATGGTCTACAGTGGCATGGGTCCAGATTATAGATTATTAGTGAAACAAGCTCGAAAAATGGCACAACAGTATCTGCTAGTTTATCGAGAACCTATACCAACTGCGCAACTCGTACAGCGTGTTGCAATGGTCATGCAAGAATATACACAATCTGGGTGAGTTATTAATCATACATACAACATACACGCACACACATACTCTATAATGTCTTTACTATTTGTTTTTAATCGCTATAATTTGTATTTTTATTCAGGCTTTAAATTAAAAGTTATATTTCCAATTGTAAAAAAAACCTGTTTGAATGAATAGATAAAGTAATAATCAGATAATTACAAGTGATAATATGAAATTATTGTTGTTAATTTATAGAGGTGTCAGACCATTCGGAGTGTCTCTTCTAATCTGTGGCTGGGACAATGACAGGCCCTATTTATTCCAATGCGATCCGTCCGGCACGTATTTCGCGTGGAAAGCTACTGCGATGGGTAAAAACTTTATCAACGGCAAAACTTTCCTAGAGAAAAGATACAGCGAGGATCTGGAATTGGATGACGCTGTTCATACTGCCATTCTAACGCTGAAGGAAGGTTTCGAAGGACAGATGACTGCAGATAATATAGAAGTTGGCATTTGCGACGCGAACGGATTCAGAAAGTTGGATCCTTCTAACGTCAAGGATTATCTTGCAAATATTCCTTAAGCTTAAGTTTTTTTAATGTATTACCCAAATAAAACTTCGCGATTAATGGATTTGAATCAGATCTTTGTAATAAATCTTTTTGCCCAAAAGAAAATAATGACTTGTAGAATGTTTTCTCTATAAGAATAAAATCATATTAAGAAATTTTATAACAATATAATGCCCGTATGTCCTACATATAAAATAAAAAATACTACATGTAAAATTTTTGTCCTACATATAAAATTTTTAATTCTGCGAATTTTATTTTTGTATTTAATAGTAGCTTTTGTACTCTCATCATTTTAAGTGCAAAATGTGCAATTGAAACGTGCACATCTAAATGCTGCAATGCGATTGGTCCGCTATCTTGGACGTTTCGATAGACTTATTCAAATAGCAATTAGTAACGGAAACGCGTGCGATGACTGCACAGTCATAGAATCGCTCTACATTTCTCGTGCTTGTTATTATTTAAAAGTGAATCTCATGCGCAAATAACCACTACAAGTATTTCATATAGTGCCGAATGGTTGTCATGACGCACTAAGTGCAGCGTGTTATCGCCGTTATACATCAAAACCGCGATTCCGTGCCGATTCGTTTCTGTGTGTGCGGCGTCGATCGTGTTATGGCGGACTGCGGTGTTGCGTTTGAATTGTTTCGTACTTTCGCGAGTGTGATTATTCGAAAGTGAGTCTTACGCGCGAATAGTGATCGCGAGTGTATTTTAAAGTGCCGGATGTTCATCGCAATGCATTAATTGTCGCATATAATCAGCGTTATACAACGCCGCGATTTCGCGTATCGACGATTCGTTTCTGTGTGCCGAAGTCCGTCATGGCGATTTGTAGAATCGCATTCTAATCGCTTTCCTTTTATCTCTGTCACAATTGTTATCGTCAAAAAGTGAAAAAGTATATCTCACACGCAAAATCTATCGCGAGTGTCTCGTAAAATGTTGGACAATTTATCATAACATGTTGAATATCGTGTACAATCGCCATTGTGGTGTGCCGGCTTTTGTGTGTGTACGCGGAATGGATTAAAATCATCGATAGGCTTCTTTCTCGCCGTAATACGCAAAAGCATAATTGGTGCATGAAGATCATCATCAGGTATGTATATAGCGTTTATAGGTGTCTAAAATTATCATAGTATTATTTGCATTGTCATCAACCCTTACAATCCTTACGACTTCCGTAACTATTCTTTATATGTCGTTGATAATTACATTCGCTTGTTTACCGACTGCGGTAAAATAAGGCGCGTGCATATCGATTAAGCACCAACATTACCGACGGCAGTTGCAATCAGGTGAGGCGCAATCTCGCTAAGATGCTGCTGCTTTCACACGGCTTTTGCAGTTGGTGCGCGGCTGGCTGGCCTACCGGCTCGTCTTTATCTGTGTCTCGTGTCACCTCGCACCGTAACGTTACGCTATTATGTCGTCGCCGCTTCCCTCGTAGTGATCATTTTAGCTATCGTCGATTCTTTACGGCAAGCGGCTTGTGCTCGCTTTCGGGAGCAGTTCCGCGCCTCCTCGAGACGAATGTCCGCAGGTAAGACACGATCATCCCTCGCGATCATCCCTCGCTGCAATAGGTCTGTTCGTTTCGGCTGTAATCCATTGTACTTGCCACATTTGGTGTGAAATGAGAGAACACGAGGGATAGACGCACTGTATTGAAAATTTCACTGAAATGAACAGGTTTAATTGCTACATGCTATGACTATAACCTTGTCTCGATCGCACCAATTTCCATCAGCTTGCCAATTATTTACCACGACGTGCCATCGAGGCTTTCGATAAAATTCGAAATTTGCTACTAGTTCAGTTATTGAGCGTTTAGCTGTCGGATAACGTTGCGGAAAAGTGACCGTCAAATGTCAGGTGTTTTTATCGCACTCTTTCTCTCTATTCTTTTTCCACTTTTAATAGTAGTAGCAAAAATAATTCTTGTGGAAGTGTGTCAATACGTTCTTGACATCGACATTTATACTTTTTATTACATATCTTTTTTATTGCATTTTTAAATTCCGGTAACGAGAGGACACATTCCGATATACGTAACTTAGTAAAGTGATTAACATATTGTTGCGAAATACGTCAACGAAACTAAATTGATTAGCTGGTCGATTTGCGGTTTGGTTATTGACCTTTTAATATGGAAAGCAGGGATCAGTTGATTTTAGATTAATTGATATGATTATAAATAATAATATGCGTTTGATGATAAACAAAAGTATATATAAATATTGTAACAGCATTGCATAAACTGAGAATAAGTAGTTGAGATCAAAGTAGTTAATATTTTTCTCGTTCGACATTAAATATTTGCCACACGGACGGATATGTTTACGATAGCGGGCATTGATACGTCGCGTTGTGAAGGGGACAACGATTTGTTTACGCGCGATCTCGTCTCCGTTTCCGCGTTTCGATACCTCTCGGCGTCGTGACGCCTGCCGTGCGCCGATACAGTGTGACAACAACACGCGTGCGAATCGCGCGCGCAGCGGCGCCGATCGATGCGGCCCAATTCTAAGCGTTCCATAAATTTCGATCGCCGATACCATCCGAAATACGTAACGAGCCACAGCCGGCGGCGGCTCTTCGTTTCGGACTCGGTATGCCAGTGCTCCGTTCCGCGAAATTTCGTCGATCTTTGAGTTTAAACGCGAGGCGGAAGGTATCGCGCAGGCGATCCGAAAATTCACCGTTCCACTTGACTTTACTCCAAACTCGCCGATTTCAATTTCGGAGATTCGCTGGCGATGAATTCTTAATTAAGCCACATAAGTCTGAGATTGCTAAAGTATTCAGAAAAAAGAAAACAGTTCGACAGAACGCATTGAAATTTATCACGTGAGACAAGGTTTTAATTTTAATCAGTTCTAAAATTAATTTGTTGAATCTTTTTAGTTTTAAATTAAATTTAAAAATGTAAATTAAATATTAGTTTATTAAATTTTATATATTTGAAAAAGGTATTTTTATAAATAATTATTGAATAACAAAAATAATGGTTGTACTCTTTGTAGCAGCGGTTTTGTGGGAACTGTTTTTACTTGATTTTGATTATTTTGCGAGCTGTTTTTACGGCTGCATAGTTTTTTATATTTATAATTCTCTCTCTCTCTCT